CCTGCCGGATCAATATCCAGTTTCCGGATAGCCCCGGCGACTTACCTGGGACATTCCCGATGGTATTTTTTTTTTATATCGCTCGCTGAAAACAATTTATCGCCTTAGTTTACTGACGTATAAGTACAAGATAAACACGTGTTTGTATGCTCACGCACGGCCGTGACATTGTCTAATGATATCGACATACTTTCTTTACGTGTTACTTAAGTTAAGTTTATTTCCGGTTCAGGACTAAGACAAGTCCTCTACACCAGACTCATATATGTAAATACATAATATACAGGTATAGAAAATACACATGTACATAAATATAGCTATAGTTAAAGTTTGATTGTTGCCCTATAGTTATAATAAAGTTCTTGATTCTTCCAGTGGTTGTCCAGTTTGTTTTTAAAAGAGTTTATATTGGGTGCCGATACTACTTCTTCAGGTAGACTATTCCATATTGATACTGTTCGTATTGAAAAAAAGTTTTTCCGTAACATGTTGTTGCTCCGTTTGGGGAATATTTTTTTTGAATTTCCTCGACTGCTGTGGCGATCTGCCACATCTCTCCATAGTGGTACAGACGTGCAACAATCTTTATCATAAACATTCAATATTTTATATAATTCAATCATATCACGTCTGATTCTTCTAAAGGCCAAAGTTGGTAATTTTAACTTTTTTAATCTGTCAATATAGCTTAAATTTTGCATCCCTGGGAGACTTTTGGTAGCTCGTCTTTGTACAGCCTCGATCTTGTCTATATGTTTCTGTAAATGTGGCGACCACACAGCACTAGCATAATCCAAATGGGAATGAACAAGACTTTTGTATAGTGGAATAAATAATTTAAAATCCATAAACTGGAATGTTCTTCGTATTAATCCAAACATAGAGTTTGCTTTCTTAACTTTCTCAGATATGTGTTCATCAAAAGCTAATTCGGAATCTATTACTACTCCAATATCTCTTTCTTTTTCTGTTGGTTCTAGAAATTTTCCTTTTAGATGGTATTTTGTTTCTGTAATCCCTTGCCCATGACACGAGTTTTTGCCGATTCTCATTTGTTTGCATTTCTCCGGATGCATTCTTAGAAGCCAGGTGTCGCTCCACTCACACATTGTATTTAGATCATCTTGTAACATTGTACTGTCCTCGGCTGTTTCCATAATTCTAAATATTTTAGTATCGTCGGCAAACAAGTACATATCAGACTGAACAGTGTCCGATAAATCATTAACAAATATAACGAACATCAGTGGTCCTAAGACGGATCCTTGGGGAATCCCAGATGTAACCTTGGTCCATTCAGAATCCTCACCGTTCATTGTTACTTTCTGTTTTCTTCCTTTCAGAAAAGTACATATCCAATCGACGATCTGTGTTGAGAAATTATAAGCGCGAAGTTTGTTGATGAGTCTGTTGTGTGGAACCGTGTCGAAGGCTTTTTGATAGTCCATGTATATGCAGTCTACCACTTTACCGTTATCAAGAGCTTCTGTCCACTTATCCAACACCTCCAAAAGTTGTAGACCCGTGGATCTCCCTGATATGAAACCAAATTGTTTTTGTGAGAAGTAATTGTTTTTTCTCATAAAACTAGTAACATGCTCTCTTATTATAGATTCTAGAATTTTACACACGACTGATGTTAGGCTCACCGGACGGTAGTTTCCTGCAACACACTTGTCGCCTTTCTTGTATATGGCACAAACACGTGCCTTTTTCCATTCGTCTGGGAGATTTCCTGTAGAAAGCGACTGGTTAAAGATTTTGGTTAGGGGTCGCGATATAGCTTGGGCAGTGTTTTTGAGGAACATGGGATGGAGCTCATCTAATCCAGGAGATTTTTCAGATTTTAAATTTTTAAGTTTTTTAAAAACAACATCTTCATCTACTATTAAATCGTTCATTTCTTCTATTAATACTCTATCACTTAAAACAGGTATGGAACCCTCATCCTCTGTTACGAAAACGCTACTAAAGAAGTTACATAGTATGTCTGCTTTGCCTTTGTTTGAAGTGATTTTTGGTGATGTTTTATCTTGGGGAACTGAATACAGATCTCCTATGTCCGACTTTGTAGTTGATTTTGATTTTATATAGTTCCATATGGCCTTCGGGTCTGTTTTAGCTTTCTTTGCAATGTTGGTTTCATAATCTTTTCTTAGCTGTCTTGTAAATTTTCTTACTTTATTCCTTATTCGATTATATTCTTTTCTTGTTGTTTCCGTTCCCTTTCCTAATGCTATTTTCCTGGACAATGAGTGTTTCATCTTGATTGCTTCTAACGTCACTTCATCACAAGGAAAACTGCGTTTGTTGTTTCTCCCAATCATGATTGTTTTCCTAGGGACGTGCTCGTCTTCTATGGATTTTAATATGCTTTTGTATGTTGCCCAGTTTTCGTTGATGCTATTTGATTCTTCTAGTACCAGATCCCAAGGTATTTTATCCAACTCTTCGTTGATTCGGTCATAATCTGCTTTCTTGTAGCACGTTTTCTCTTTCTGCTGCAGTTGTACTCTTGTATGACACAGTACGTCAAACAATAGTACACTATGGTCACTTTTACCGAGCGCACTTAGATATTCTATATTAGATACTAAATTTTCATTATTACTAATGACAAGATCTAGAACATGTGGGTTATCTTTCCCTCGCCATCTCGTCGGCTGCTGTATATGCTGGGAAAGGAAATTGTCTTGCAATGTTTGTATAAATTTAAATTCCTGTGATTCTGAGGTTTCCCCTTTTGTATTCCACGAAGCCCAGTTTATATCTGGATAGTTAAAATCCCCCATTATGAGTAGCTTATCGTATCCCTTCTTTACAGCTTCATCTATAAATAGTTGTAGGTTACTGTTATTATCACCAGTTCCGGAGTCCGATCTGTATGTGAGGCCAATAAGGACTTTTTCATTATTATTTATATTTATATAAATAAAAAGGTTTTCCTGGAATGGTGTTTCCATTTTGACTTCTTCGGCTATTAGGTTATCCTTAATAAAAAGTAACATTCCCCTACCTTCCTTATTTTCAACATTTTTGCCAAACATTTTATAGTTTGGATTTCCATCAATGTTAAATTCAGAGATCTTTAAACTTTGTTTTTTTGATTTTGCTTTAACCTCTGTAATACCTATGATATCAGGGTTCGTATTATTTACTCTGATAGAAAGTTCTGACATTTTGTTTCTCAGTTGATCAGCGTTTGTGTAAAAACATTTTAAGTTTTCTATTGATTTATACTGTGGAGCTGTTGTCTTTTTCCTACATTTTACTGATCTATTTGATTTCCTGATATTCGTATTTTTGTTATTTTCCTGGCCCACGGGGGTCCCCGTACTTTGTACGTGAATTCCCCCGATGAACTTTGGTCTCGTTTCTTTTTTGCTAATTCCCATAATTTTTTCTCCTCCTCCCTCTCAGCTTTTGTTAAATCATTACTGATTTTTAAGCTTTCGTAGTCCTTATTATTTCCTAGTTCCTTTATATTTCTAAAGAGCGCCTTTTTGGCATCTAGACCGCCTAGCGTTGCAAGTAGTGGTCTATCCTTCCGCTCATTCTGTGGTTTATCCTTGTCAAATTTTCCTAGTCGTACTGTTTTCAGCACGTCTTTCTCCTCAACTCTGCCGTTGCAGCTTTGTAGAAGTCCCGTTATTATGTTTTTATCGTGCACAATCCTTTCTTCTCTTTTAGGATTATTGCATTCGGGTGCCCCATATACAACGATATTGTTTTCTCTCGATTTCCTTTCGTTTAGTTCCGACATAATATTGGTGATGTTTGATGGAGCCTGTGTCTTAGTAGTCTCCGTTATTTTTGGCCATTCTGATGGATTTAACTGTTGTGAGTTTCTCTCTTCCTTTATTATTCTCCGGACTGTCTCCTCGTCGCATTTAGTTTTGACCGACTCTTCGAGAGCCGAGATCCTCTGCTCAACAGCCTCCATGATTTCCTGGCATCTTTCCTCGATCTTTCTGTCGGTTATAATGTTTTTCTCTATAATTTCTCTGCAGGCAGCGCAGAACCACATGTAGTCTGATGACTGCAGAATTTTATATTCTTCGTCTGGCTTGCCCAGGCATCTTGTGCAATATCTCTGAATAAAGTTACTTATGATCAATTACAAATCGAAGTTGATATATTCAGTTGTTAAGTACATTTATTCAATCTCGACTGGACATTTCCAGGGAAGTATTTTGTAAGTACACTAAAAAAAAAATAAATAAATAAATAAAACGAAAATTTTCCCCGCGGTCATTCTCGAGCGAAACTGAGTAATCGTAACCCCTCTAGCATCGAGAATGACACTGAGGCTTTTCGCTATATTTTTGTGGATTTCCACAAATGTCTTTTAATTGATGTATGATATGCATATGTTTCACTTTTAAAACTGTAACATTTAGTAAAACATCTTCAGATTTCATGGTTAAATCAATAAAGCTGGAATCATTATCAAAGACGTAGGCCTTTTTACGTTATGTTGTTCGTGTATTCCGTTGTCCGTGAATAACACGTTCTGGGTTGGTCAGTTGTTGTAAAGTGACGGTTTTTATCACCGTCAATCACACCAATCCATATCCACGTGTCTGAGTGCTCGAAGTTTGCAATTAAACATCTGTCCGTGTAACGCACTCACTGGTGTATTATTTATGCGGACAGTGATAATGCTTATTAGTTCCATAAAATACTTCTACTGTATGTCACGAAGTTTAGTACACTGCATACTTGACACACACCAAGGTCTAAGCTCTACTAACGCGTTCCGTTTTGTGTATATGTCCATTATAATTAAAAAGAAAGTTAAATCTTATATATAAATATTATTGTCCGACACTTCATTACCAAACGGAAGTGACCGAAAGGCTGGGAAAATATTTTACAACTCGTAAAATCCCTGCCGAAGGCGAAAGAAAAGGAATTTCTTTCTTTCACTCAAGCGTATAGGAGATCCTACACAGTAGTAGGTCACGTGACGAAAAACGCGGGTACAGACGCTATCCACATTTGGCGGCCATTTTGCCCAAGTTTACATGATCTGTGTTTGTTTTGAAGGTCCGATTTCTACTAATACTTGAAAATGGCAAGCAAAACCGGGACACCGACGAAAACCTCGAAGAGGACAGTAACTACGACAACTTATACCCAACGGTCATCAGGGGAAGAGACCCCTTCCACGAGCTCTGCCTCGCCGGGTCGGCGCGGCGTGCGATCTCCCTCACCGGCGAGGTTGACCCGTCAAAATGAAAAAGACCAACTGCAAAATCTGAATGATCGCTTGGCATCATATATTGACAGGGTCAGATTTCTGGAAGCAGAAAATAGTAAACTGACAGTGCAGATCAAATCCGTGGAGGAGACTGTGAACAGAGATAGGTCCAATATAAAAGCTGTATTTCAGACGGAGCTTGACGATGCTAGACGTCTCTTGGACGAGACTGCTAAAGAGAAAGCACGTTTACAGATCGAAGTAGGAAAGTACAAAGAGGAATCGGAAGACTGGAAACTCAAGTGAGTTAGATTTCCCCCTTCTTTAAATTCAATCATAAATAATATGGTCGGAGTACTGTCAATGGGCTGGACAGGTAAATTTCTAATGCACCTGTATAGTATTCTCGCTATAGGCTGTTTCAAAATTGTATTTGCAATTGCAAAACGAGTATCGTGAAAGTTTTGAGCCGTTTCAACTGAAGTGAATCAGATAAAAAAAATTATAATGTGTATAAATGTAAATTGCTATAGCAATTAGAAGTATTATTACCAAATGTCAGATGTAGAGTTGTATTTTCAAACAAGAGGTCCCAAATAATGGAGTAACCGAACTAGGATATATACATGTATCTACTTCCTACTGCTTTTCATTCATGCTACGCTGATTGAAACTGATGGGTATTAGAACGAAATCTGGAGAAATCAGGAGGAGCCTATTATAAGGGCCTTGGTCGGTGTTGTTGTGGCGTGGTCCCAGCTGGGATAACACGCTCCCTGAGTCATTGAGGCCTGACACCCGATACTCTTAATAACCATCTTTCAGTGTGTGTATTCCATTTGTTGTTGAGAGTTGTGGAGTATGTAAACTAGCAATGACTTTGATGTCGATTGATAGACAAGACCAAAATGTTACAGTAAATATAGATGTAAAGGTCTCCACTGTTATATCAGATTTAGGCAAAAATGAAAAACAAATCAAATTTCATACCATTACAATACATTGTTTCCTTTAATTGATAAATTATGTATACTTGTTGATGTTAAAATAAAAATTTTGTATTTGTTATCAATAATATATTTTTAAAAAAATATATCAAAATAATAAATATGTGAACATAAGATTGATATTTGATAAAACTCTTGAGTGTTGTATATTTATATTTTATTTGCATAATATATGTGTTTTTTTCTTTATAATCAATTTTAAAATTGATATCAGTTTTGTTTGAATGTTTATTTATCATCATGTCGGCAGACAGGTTTATCCTAGTGTCATTGTGACTGTTTGTCTTTTGTTAGCAATGTGTTGACACTAGACTTATCTGGAGTAAAACAAAAGCTTAAGCACCCATAAGCAGTAAATGTATTGCACATGTGTGGTTTTGGCCATAGTAGTGTGTTCTGCACTCCCTCCCACACCCACGCTCCACTGTAGTAAACTCGGTGATATAACATTACTGGGAACTTAGTCATTCATTCACAAAATCCTGTTGTAGCATTAAGTCGCTCTCTGTGCAGAATTCTTTGTGTGAATGGAAACTGTTTTTAGTTTTCTTTCCAAACACAGGATGCTTTTCTTAATCCTGATATACTTGTGTTTATGATTTATTGGTAGAAAAAAATTTTTGATGACTTTTAGGTCTTTAATTAGAGCAAGGAAATGTTTGCAATTCTCATTTTTGAAAATAATGCACAAAAAAAAGGATATATTTTTCTAGAAGAAAATGCTAGAAATCTTTCTAAAATTTGTTTGATCCACTTCATTAGCAAACATGCTTTGTTTTTTTTTCTTTTTTTTTATTTACAGGAGTTAAAAATAAATTTTTTGAGAAAAATTGACCTTCCATGTGTAATAGATCACTATATGACATTGATGAATGATATGAATACACCTGGTAGCAGGTCTAGGTTAGAAATAAATATATATCAATTATCAATACTATATTTAAACTAAGATGTTTAAATATTTATATATCATCCAATCTTTACCAATCAGCTGGTCAGATATTAGCGATTCTGTCTGCTATAGTACTAGAAGTTAATAGAACATATTTAGGACTAAGTAATGCATATTCATGATGTCTGATTTGGATGATGGTTTCACAGTCATAAAAGAAAACAAATTACCTTGTATAGCAAATATTCTAATGAACTTATTTTAAACAGATGAAGTGTTATTCTCGGTGTGTGAAAACAGAATTTTTAATATGTTGTATTAATTAAATGATTTTTTTTACTGCCAACTGAAATGAAAGACAGTGTTTTTGGTTGTTGTTTTTTTTTTAAATAGGGAACCAGGTACACATTTTCTAACCCTGCTACTCCCCCTATCTGTCCTATGTCCAGATACTACTTGTAAACAGCCCTGAAATTTAGGAAACTTATTAATAAAAGTTGTAATTTTGTATGATGATGTATCATTGTTTTTCCAGATATCACAAAAAGGATCGAGAACTGAGAGATGCGGAAAATCAGAATACAGCACTCCTCAAAGAAAACGCAGACCTGGAAAACCGAGCGACCAATGCGGAGAACCAGAGGAAGCAGTTGGAAAAGGAGTGCAATGTATGTAATCACTCGATGAACTCCTACTTCAGGATAACCGTCTCTGCTTATTGCTGTAGTTTTTCTCACAAATTTGTTATATGTGTGCATCCTTGATATGAAAACTAACTCTTGTTACTTGTAGCTTGAAGCTTGTGCTTCAGATCTGAAATCGATGGGGTTTTTTTCCTTCATGTTAGACAATGTTATGATTTGCTTCTCTCAATGGGTTTCATTATGGAGAAAATAAAAAAAAATATCCAAATATTTCATGACTTGCACGTAACATATGAAGCTGCATCATTTCTTGGCTTTTAGAAGTACAATCGTGGTGTGGCTTGCTTTAATATATAAAGGATTCTGTATTGAATTTTCCTTTTAGAAACTTCGAAGTGATTTGGCCGCACTGGAGAGACAGTTAGCCACAGCGAAGAAACAGCTAGAGGATGAGACACTACTTCGTGTTGACCTACAAAACCGTATTCAGAGCCTCAAGGAGGACCTCTCCTTCAAAACTCAAGTGTACGAACAGGTATGCTACCCTATCAAAGCTATCTTAGCTTCTACTGCTGCCTAGGTAAAACATTTGATATGTATGCTCATTAATGAAAATGCAATAATTTTTAATTGAACAACTCTGTCTTGCTCTTGCACAATATATAAAGCTTTTTTTCACTTTTTCTAATTTCTGACATTAAATTGGGGAGAATAACACTGTGTTGCTTTGAGACTGACGATTAGAAAAAATGTCCTTTGAAACAAATGTAAGCTGTTGCTTCTTGCGAAAGCCATATATGTGTTTATATGAACTGTGAAAGATTATAAAATATTTCTATAGTGCTTAATTATCTGAATTCAGGTTACACTGTTTCCATTTAAAATGAAAGAGAAATTTGAGCCCTGTATGTAATGTTTGTTATTTAAAGTTGTAATCAATTTAATTAATAAAGGAATTGAATGAGACCCGTGTAAGAACAACACAAGAGATAGAGGAAGTAGATTCGTCTGTGCGCATGGACTATGAGGCCAAGCTACAAGAAGCGCTCCAGAGTTTGAGAGAAGAACAGGATATACAGCTTCGAGAAGTTCGCCTTGAGGTTGAAAGTCTCTATGAGAGGAAGGTAATTATTTCATGTATATACACTAAGATTATTTCTACAGTGGATATTAGATTAAGTGTGGTGAATTATAAAATGCAAGAATTATGGGCACTATTAACAGACAAAATAACACTTCTAAGTAACCAATCTCATGATTTTGGATAATTCATCTACATTATCAGAGAGGAATTTTTGTAGCCATTTGGCTTCTTAGTTCAGAATATAGAATTTAATACATATTTTCATTTTTTTCCCCTCAATTTGGAACAAAGTTCTGCCTAGCTTCCTCTCTGAAGTTAAAGTTTTTGGTCCATCGGAAAATTGAGAGCTAGATGTGTGTAATTAGTTTCTTCTCCATTAATTACAGATCGGTGATGTGCAGTCGGCCCTCGACAGGAGCATGAATAGCTCAAATGTATCGTCACAAGATCTCCTGTCGACCCGTAAACGCCTTGATGAGATGTCGTCTGAAGTGACAAAGCTTCGTGCACAGGTATATGTGATGTTTCTGTTTCTCTTTTGTGCTTTATTCGTGTTATTAATGTCATGAGTAATCAGCAGTACATTGATAAAGGAACGTTTTCTGCTAATGCATGTATTGGAGGGTAATCAGAAGAGTATTATGGCCATTTTTGATTTTGAAAATGATCACTTTTCTTTCTTGTGGAAATATTCACGATTTTGTTTTCCTTCCTTTCCATAGAATGCTGCTTATGAGGCACGCATTGCTAACCTCGAATCCCAGTTGGCACGTGACCAGGAGGAGTTCCTTGAACGTATAGCCCAGAAAGATCAAGAGATCAATGATCTACGTATAACACTGGACGAACAGACACAGGAGTATGCTGACCTATTGGATATCAAGATTAAGCTGGACAATGAAATCATGGCTTACAGGAAACTTCTGGAGGGTGAGGAAGAAAGGTATGTACAAGTATTAGATATGGGATAGATAGGAAATTTGGACCTGTAACAGAGACAGAAGATCTTTTGTGTGATAACTATTAAGACAGGAGAGTTTTGGAATCAATATCCTGTTAAGTAACATATTTTCAATGAAGGCCATTCCAGGGAAACATCTACTTCACCCTTGGACTCAAAATATAAATCATATCCTTGTTCAGTTTGCTGTCATTACTTCAAAACATTTATCACTTAAATTCTTCATGTGGTATCACTAAACAAAATTGTAGTCCTGGGAGGATTAGATGATTTATTTACTGGAATAACCAAGAGGTTGAAAAGCTATGTTTTTTTTTTCTCTCTCTCTTTCTCTCTAATCTGCAATTATTGATAAAAGAGTATCAGGGGGGATAACAATTTGGGTGATGGGGTCTGTCTTCTTGGATGAGAATGAACTCTTACATGAAAAAGAAATTTTCTTATCAAATAATTTACGTTCCGTCCTCAGATTGAACTTGTCACAGACTTCTTCCACTTCTGAGTCAACTCCTGGACGATCTGTAGCACGAGGTGCCAAGCGCAAGCGAGTTGCACTTTCTGATACTGTGGAGGAGTTTAGCCAGTCATCTTCCAGCTCTGGTTTTGCTACAACATCTTCAGCTAGCGGCCATGTGGAAATTAAAGAAACTGATGGTGAAGGGCAGTTCATTAAGATTTTCAACACATCAGATGAGGTAAAACTATTGAGCATCTACATTTGTTTGTAACTAAGGTACTCTGTCTCCATCGCCTTCAAAGTTTTTCTACATTCTCTTACTGCTGTTAGTTCTTGCCATTACTTCAGAGTAGTGGACATATTGTTATAAAACTATTGTTGAAAGATTGTGAAATTTTTACAAAATCTGCCTTTAGCCTATCAATGTAATTTAAGAATAAAAGACAATTCAAGAAAGAGGCTTTGAAAAAAAAAAAGAAAAATTGTGAAATATGATTTCCCAAACAAAATATGTTGATTCCAATATAAATTATATACACTACTGTAATTCAACATCAAGGCATGTATTAAAGTTCAAGACTTTTGTATATTCTTACTTGCAGGATATTCCTATTGGAGGGTGGCAGCTGAAACACACAGCCGGAAAAGAAGGCAGTGAAAAATCTACTCTCTACAAATTCCACAGAAGTCTACTTCTACGAGCCAATCAGTCCTGTACAGTAAGTAGGAAAACAGAAATAAACAAAAGCAAGAAAGGAAGAATATGTCAGCTGTGGTAGAAATGCAAATATTTATTGTATTGTCTGATAAAAATGATGTTGGTGACAACCTAGCCATCTGATGATGTACACACATCACAAACATCAAAACTGTTTGACCAATAGAACGCATTAACATTCATTTTCTTCCTCTAATATTTTAGTCAAATCGCCCTGTATGCATGTTATTGTCTGTATGTTGTTATTCCTTGAACAACTCTTACTATGGCCATATCTTGATTTAAGTACTTGGTGGATCTTTCAAATTTCAGTTGTTGGTTTTTCTTGGCTCCATGTTTTGCTATTTGATTTTGGGGTCGGTCAAGAAAATAAAATGACAGATTGGTGGCCATCTTGGATTTTGTTCATAGAAGTTTGTTACTGCTATTTTTGAGAAATACAAGATGGATCCTTCTCAAATTTCATTTTAAGGTTTCCCTTGGTCCTTATGCCATTTGGTCCGTTATTTGAACTCTGTCAACCTTTACTTGACCTTTGTTTGAACTGTTGTAGGTATGGAGTTCTGGTTTAGGTAAGACACACAGCCCACCTTCTGATTTGGTGATGAAAACGCAGGAATGGGTTACCAACGGTGACATGAAAACTGTCCTCATCAACAGTGATGGCGAGGTAAACTTTTAATATCAAGATAGGGCTTCTTTCAAATCCAAGGGTTCACAGGATTAACCTTGTCTCACCATGCATACATGTATATCCCAAGCCCTAAGCAAAACGAAATTGGTAACACAAACAACAGGTCTATTGATGTTGAAATTTTTAATCCAGTCTAGATTTGACAACTCAGAACATCTAGATAAAATCTAAGCAAGGATTAAAAATAGCTTTGTTGAAAATTGATAAGACATGTCTAGAGGAGATATTGCTTTGAGTAGTGTAGAGAACAGTTCTTGCACTTTCTATTGTTTACAGGAGGTAGCATCAAGAGAAATGTCCAAGACACTAGCACGAACCACACAGTCCTTTCGTACAAGTCGAGGCTTTGATGATGTTGATGCAGGCGTAAGTTTAAACAGTTTAGTCAGCTATTGGTCGTTGCATCTTTGATATAAATAGTGTAATGTATAGTGATATGTATAGAATATTATGATACACAAAATATTGAGATATGTATCAGTTTCAGACATACAAAATTGTGATGTTGGAATTATTTTCACTTTGTATTTATCGAGGATTTTTCTGTGCAATTAATATGAGAATGCAGCCTGTATGAGATAATTCATTTGCTAGAAAACAAATTATTGAGATGCAAATAATGATTTGTTTTTACGTTTGAATAGCTTTCTTTTTTCAAAAAAAAAGTGTGAAAAAAAAATGGATTTTCTTTTAACAGCGAGGAAGTGATAGATGCTCTATCATGTAGAACAGCAGGCAGGAAAAGGAGTTGGATTTTGGGAGATGTGTAGACCATGGACCCCAGGATAACTGTACACCAACATTTCTTCAAAAGTGCCAAGGATGCACGCTTTCGTTCAGGGTGGAATGGTGTCGAATCTCGTTTTTCTATGTATTTGTGTTCTCCGATTGTTTTTTGAGCATCGTGGGAATTGATTCAACAAATATCTACACCAGGTTTTGCTTTGATTAAAATGCATTCAGGGAATTGTGAAATTTACTGGATGTAAAGTGATCCTGTTTACATGTCTAATTTATTGTTATAGAAAATTCAAAATTATGTTGGTGTGATATTGGTCATGTTTTGGTAGGACATCTTCCTGCTGAATATAAATCAACCATTTAAACTTAGGACACTGACAACTTGTTAAAATTTTCACTTTTAAGTGATTTAATTTCTTTTTGAGAAGTTTTGTTACTTCATTTCTGATTTGTAGCAAAGATCATGAAAACCCATCAATCCATGTTGCTGTGTTTATTTCATTTTTTTGTTTGTTTTTTGCACCAAGTTCTTACAAATACTTACAAATCTTAACCATGTGAGAGTAGTAGTAGTTCAATCAACGTCACATCAGTTGAAAAATTTTAAATATGTAGAATGTGTTGTGAAAAATAAGAACCTAGCGTGGATGACTGATTTATGGTTTATTAGCTAGGTATGTCATTTGCTGCCTTTCCTACCTCAAACATGTTTAGAGGTAAAATATTCAACAGGAACGACATTTGATTGCTGGCTCCATTTTTTCGAGTCGAGATAAGTACTAACAAAAACACCACATTTTGCTGTCAAACACGCTGCCATTTCTGTTCACTCATTTCATTTGTAATCTATATTCATATCACTGAAATTGTTATTCAAATGTCTTCCTGTGCAAGACTGTTAAATAGTTAAATATCTTAAGGTTTATTTCTGTTTAAAAATCTGAATTGAAAACCTGACAAATTGATGCCGAAAATCTGTATTGGATATGAAAGATGGTATCAAACTGACATGTTAATTCCACACCATAAATAATTAACAACACATGTGTTGATTAAAATAGTATGCTTAAATTTGCTTACAAGTAAGGCAGCTTGAAATGGTGTACATATTTCCTGGCTATATCTGTTATAGACACAAGGTGTACCAAATTTGCCTTTAATATTTAATTCCAGCATAATGTGACGTCACTTGGCAATTTCCAGTAATCACATCAGAAATGGATACAGCACTTAATATCGCAACTCAAATTTTATTGAATATTGTGGAAAGATAAAGGGTGTTTTATTTATGTTGGAAGATTTGAAACGTTTATGATAGCAACTTGTTATTGATAGTATTTATGTGTTTGTTGATCCAGTGGACGATTCCTGCCTTGTTGATGTCGTGTTATGTTAATGTCTGGTTGTGGTTTATTTTTGTCCATTCATAGGATTCATATTCTATAAAAACAGAAATTGTGTGGAAACTTTACATGTCATATATATAATTTGCGTATAATGTCTCTCATTTTATTGATATTTACATATATACATATAATTTTTTTCATTCGAATTCATAATATTGATTTTTCAAAGCTTTCTCACTTGAAATTTGATTTCAGTTTTGTCAATTTCGCAATTTGCGCCATTAAAAGTACATGGTTTAATTATATAGTAAAAGTTTATTTGCTAGATGTCTTCCATGTAAACCATAGCTTTTTAACAAGGAAAATCTTGTTTTTTAAAAAGTGCAATAAAAAGAGGTCATTGTTCGATGATTTCACAATTTACGAGGATTTTCTTGATGAGTTCCCTGTAGGTAGGGTACCCATTGGTCTTGCTAGATGGACTGAAGCAATCCTGATGAAGTGTGGTGTCAGGGACACCATACCAATTTTTATCACTTGGATCTTCTGAACAGAACAGTTTAATATAACCATGCTATCCTTTTAGTTTCTGAACAGGATATGTTCATGTGATTGGCTTTGATTAATCATTATTCCATGTCTTTTCACACTAGTCACTTCGGTGGTCTTCGGTAACAGTGGTTTTAAGTCCAGGCGTTTCCTCTCTTCATTGACTCTCATATCATACCCTCAATAGATATTGCCATTTAAAAGTGGAGAAAAGGCAGCTTATAATAAGCTGGGGAAAAAATTGTTCTCGAAAAAAATCTAAATTTGAAAAGACGGAAAATTTGCTTCAGCATTGGTTGAATAATTTATTTAGGCGTTGGTTGAATCATAAATTTTTTGACTGTAATATTTTGATATCTGTCAGAAAAAACAAATATGCTAGAGAGGAAGCGTTGTCTTAAAGGTGGACTTTTCATCATTATTATTTGAGAAATCTTGTATAACCCTGAAAAAACTTGCCTTACATGTGTAGTACATTGTTTAGCACTAATTAGTCATTATTTTCATTTATCTTTAATATATTAAGTGTTTTAAAAATATATACTTATACTCCCTGCATGTAGACCTAATGCACTATAAAACAGTAATTTGTCAATAGCAGTGTAAAAGAACTACATTTGGCAGATTTACAATTAAAAGATCTAAGTGTGATGATGTGATTAGGTAACCGTTACAAATTTGTTTGGTATGTTTAATAACATTTAAATGTGATGTTCTATAGATGATATAGGTTTACATGTATTTCGTCATAATATTATAGTCTGATATTCTATTCTGTAGAGTTTGCATGATATGGTATCCTGGTGCATCACATACTAATTTTCTGACCTTAAACTTTCATTGTAGGAATACTTTTGCTTGTCATTTGAAATTCCATTTCATTACCTTATGCTCAACATGGTAATTATGCTGTAATTATCGTGAATTTTTCATGGGTGCAAATGTCTTGTTTGTAGACTTTGCAGCTTTGTGTACGCTACTATTATTGGTATATGCAAGGGGCCATTCATAAATTCCACATATGGTAAATGTAATGTTTCTAGTTTCGTCAATTCTTGACACAATTTTCGGGAAATAATTACAGGTTTCGTGTACTATCTGCTTGTGAACATACATAGCCTGGCTTAGTTAGCAGCTTCAAGCGAGTGACATTAACACAAATTCTTGTACCTCTAAACAATAATGGTCTTGTAGTCAAAGTCTGTGTGATATAAATGTTTAGCTTAAATACAAATGTAAACAAAATATATATATCAAACATCAGGCGCTTTTCACAGAGAAGGGAAAATTTTTTTATGATTTATGTTCTGCAGAAGTGACAGTATTGTAAAGTATTTTAAAAACATGTTTTGGTTTGCATGTTCTCATCTTCAAGCTAATGAATATCAGTTGATTTGCTTTTTTGACCAAAATTCCTGAACTTGTCTAATTTTAGATGTGATAGTGATGATTTTGTGATTCATAGTATGGTTCTTGGATTATTGCATTTGCACACATCTTGATTTCGACCACAAAAATTCACGCATGCATTTATCATGTGAGAAATAGAAACAAAAGAATCATAAGTGGTTTTCACTTCCTCTCAAAAAAAAAAATTATATAAAAAAAAAAAGAAATAAAAAAGTTTTTTGTATATTTTTTCTTGTTTTCAATTCTGATAAGTGTATAATCATGGTTTTCTTTGTTTCCAAGTGTGTACCAGTGAAATGTCGGTGTTCTTTGATAAATATTTCTATTTTGCTTTCTCCATTACTTTGATGAAGATCTTGGTGTAATTATAATAATGATAAATTACAAATGTGTAAAAGATTGTTCCAGTGAATATTTCATTGTATACATTCAATGTGAACTCTGAAGAGCATTACAAGGTACTGTATGTTGTAATAAAGCCAGGCAGCCAACACATAAGGTCTCCAAAGGACGGGTTTCCTGGCACTGATACAGAGAATGAAAATAAGTTGCCGACTGAGGTTATTACTGAACATATCCCACAATTTAGGGAGACTCGAGAAAAAATACTGAACATGCACTATGATGTTGCTGAACTGAAAACTGACAGTATGTGATGTGGACAAGATGACAGAATTTCCTAAAATGGTACTTATTACTGGTGAATGTAGCTGATGAGGATATCACAGACCAGGAGAGATTTATGCTTCCTATCCTGCAGAAAGTATAATACCAAGATATGTCTGGATAATCTTGTAGCATACTCTACAAACATGTAATGCACATAAGAGCTACCACCCTTCAGTTCAAATAAATTTAGAAAAAACAATAATAAAAAAAAACCAAAGAATTTATTGATATAAAGACGGCATGAACAGACAGGTACAAAGCGATTTAGGATTTTTTGTTTACTTTTATTTTGCTCTTCCACTGTCGAACTATTCTGTTGATGGGCTCTGTGACGCTGGAGGGATTGTTATACAACATGTGGCGGTCAGCACTGTTTATCACTATGTGTTTCGAGTTTGGGTAATGTTTCGTCAGTAAAATCTGCTCTGACTTTGCCCAAGCCTGTCAAAAAAGAAATATTAATTTATATAAAACTCACAAGTTCATCGTGACAGCATATTTTTACCAAGAATATGTTCAGTTTAATTAAATTTTTTTTTTTCTGGCTACCTGTTTAAGCCCATAACCAATAATAAACCCAATTCATGACTATTACAGTTCATTAACAAGAGAGAAAAAACGGGATCTTGGCACCCACTACTGAATGACCTTTGTTGGATTGATCCAAGACTGATGTTTTCTCTACAAGAGAATCCTATGTATGGTATTTTCAGAAGATCTTGAAGATCTGATGAGCTTTTGGAAATAAAAGCAACAGTCAAAATCCAAGATAGTCCCAATCAGCCATCTTGTGTCACTGATCATACTCAAAATGAATGGGCACAACTACAGTTAACAGAGGGGAATCTAAAAACATTTACTATGAGTATTTAGTTTGAGAAATATCCTTCCAGTTCCAGTAAGAGTAATGACAAGGATTGTTTACAGGTGGACCAGAGACGAAGGGAAATTTTAATGGTTCATGGTTATGGATATGAAATTTAATTTGACTATTCTGCAATAAGTCCATCCATGCATTAAGTTATATCAGTCGCGATGTTTTCCCCTTGGGCTTAATACAGGATAAATTTGGTAGTAATAATTTTGGTTTATCTTCACACGATTTCAAAATCATCTCACTGTGATTGGACAAATTCTGACACCATTTTGTGTGTCATGTCATACTTTATACATTTCCATGTGATAACCTTAGTATGAAACACCCTATACAGTGACTATTTTTAGCACAATTTTGTCATAAATGTGAAAAAAATTTATTTCAATAATATAATTCTGGCATGTTCACAAAGCTGACAGCAAACTTGCCAGTCAAGTAAGATATTGCATTCTTTTACTAAGTAATCGAAAAATTTAATTGATGAGCGTTTCTTATACAGAAATTACTTATGTGATCCAATGTCATTCATGAATAAGTATAAGAATTCATGGTCAGTTACCTTATTTAAGTAACTTGGCATCTGTCCATCATAGTAATTTCCACTTATAATTGTGACAGAAATATTACCAGGTAATTTTTTAATCATCCGGACAGTTCTGAAAACAAAAGTGGAGAATTGAAAGTAATTTGATTAAAAGGGATATATGTAATATCTTGATTAAAACTGTTATGCAAATTAAATATTTTCAAAATATTCAGTTTTTTTGGATTTTGAGAAATAAAGATGATAGTATACTTTTTACTTCAAAACATTGTAATTAAAACAAAAAAACCCACCTTAGCTGAGAAAATGACTCATTGATGAAATGATGTTCATCTACCACAGAGCTTAGGTGTTTGGGATGACATAGCAGATGTTTCTGAAAAAAATTTGCATTTTTAAAGAAAAAAAAAGCAATGTATAAAAAAGTATGAAAATGAGAGCAAAATAACACATGTACAAATTTTTCTTTCAATTTAATAACTTCAACCTCTTTAGAAGTCTGATTAAAGATATGCCTGTTGAGAATAAAACTTATTCTCTAGATCTATCTGTAAGGTAAATATCTGCTCAGTTGAAATTGAGTTCAACTTTCTGTTTTTTGATAATTTGAACCATTTCTTTTCCTTTCCACTACAATACGGATCATCCAAAGAAAAAAAAAAACCAAACATAGGCCAAACCTATAATAAGAATGTTAGCATCTCAATAATCAATGCATGTGATTTTAAAATCTCCATCTCTTTAGAAGGGAGATAACTCTTTAAATTTTTTGTTTACATCTTTATGTCCATTCTTGTACTTTTAGGAAATTTACATTTTGTCACATGAAAGGAGTGCTGAATTCTACAACTAGGGTCCATTTAGTAGCTCTTATATACAGAGTATTGTCCTTTTCCATATCATACCCTAACTCTTCCATCTTTTGAGCATCCCACTTTGTTACAAATAATGGTCAGAGATTGAGACCCCGTAATCAATGTAGGACTCTCATGGTTGGATAATTTACAAGACCCGAAATACAAAATCTGCCAGCCGTTTAGGTATTAGCTGATGGAATTTCACATCCCTTCACAGTAATAACTGTATAAAGTAGGCAAGATTTATAAAAAGATAAAAATAATTCTTGTTTAAAAGCAGACACAAATGTCTATAAGGTATTCCATCAAGATTCTCTGATGAACCATATTAAATCTGATCTCTTAGACTCTAGAAATGCCTGCATTTTTTAGCAAGACTTAAAATCGAGATTCACCAACAAAGAATGTAAATAAAACATTAATACTTACCTGTCGATATTTAACATCTTCAGGTAACTCTGAATCAAACAGCGGCTGATGTAGGAACCCAAGGAGTAGTGCTAGCCGTGTGAGTCCAAGTGCTGCCCCAAGTTGTAGACTTTGGAACATAGGTACCATCTGACCGTACCTACAAATATCAAATGTAATCATTTCCATTTACTTTGTCAACGTCTCCATATACTTACACACAAAAAAATGTATATATCCAGAATCTTTGATAAAAATTGGTGGTGTTATTTTAGGGAATTTCTGAGGTGCTGGAACAACTGTGAACAAAAATACTTTTGAAAACAAAATCGAAAGAGAAATCTCCGTGTTAATTCTCATACCTCTTGTAAAATACACATCTGTTACATCTGCTTTGTGATTTTGATAAAACCACAAAAATCTCAAGACAAAAATACTTACAACATAATGAAGAGAAGGAAAACAGTGAGGCATTTGATTGGTCTTTGAAGATTGCAATAAAGGTCTGACACCCAAATTAAAGCCAATCATTTTGTCTGTTTCCTTTTATATTTATCAAAGATATCACAGGTATACATAATTCCACAATAGATTCAAAAACTAGTTAACTCATATCAACTCTTGATATACAGTCTTTGCTGCAGTATGAGTTTGTTTACACTTCTTTATACCAAATCAGGAACCTTTGAATGTCACATACATGTACATACACATATTTAGTACGGGAGATCTGAACTGGACTAATTCTCTCTGTGTCTATTATAAATAAAAAAATATTTCCAACACTTACAAAATTTAAAGATTAAGACCAGAAAAAAAAGCTGCAATAATGAATGACACAAAATCAATTTGTTATCAAATACTTTGAAACTTCTTGCACTGAATAATTTTTTTTCAAATAACTCCATTTTTGTTAATGAGGAAGGAGTGTTAAAGGATTTTGTGAAAATTCAAGTGAGAAGCTTTAGCTCATAAAATTCACATGATTCGTCAATATGTGTAATCTAGTACTAAAAATACACGTCAGTTTTTAACTCTTTGTCATGGATTTCTGAATTAAGAGTACATTCCTATGACACAAAAAGAATGAAAAAAACCCAAAGAAAATTCATACTTTTACAAAAATGCAATTTCAGTAGAATGCAAAACAATCCTATGTATATTGTTTTTGTGTCTTAACTCTACTTCCTTACTTTTATGATTTGGCAATTCTTTGGACTATATGCAAAATATTTAATTGTATTATATGAATTTAAAAATATGTGATTGATTTGAAAACATTACACTTACCAGTACTGGTTCCATGCCCCGCTGTCTTGTTCAAACAGGTCATCGGAGAGAGGATTGATAAGAACCATACCTAATATTTGACTGTAAACAGAATTAAACAACAGAAATTAACTCATTGAAACTGTCTTGAAATGATCAGATGATGAATTAATGACTAAATAAATCAGTGCTAGGACAAAGCAAATTAAAACTCTGTTCATCACTGAGAAAAAAAATTTGTTAGAGATCAGAATCCAAGTCGGTACTAAAATTTCATTTGCTGGGTTAACTGCCCTGGGAACAGCCAGGGTGATATTGAGGCAAGATCTTCTTGTGGATGCATGGTGAGTACCAAAATAAACAACTTGCAAAAGGTCTACATACGCTCACACAAAAGGACATTATAATGAAATCACAGAACGGTCCGTGCTTGATCTGAGCTTGATGAGAAACACAAGCTGACACAGATGGATAGTGTTGAACCACATCTTGATACAGGAGGATTTTTGCCCTCAGTTGTGTAAGCAGACAGAGTTATCATGTTTTTTTTAACAAAGGTGTCAGAAAGTAGGTATAAATTGACTTTATCTTACATACACATATTCCAATTAAGGAATTACCAATCCTGTACTGGACATGTACAGCCATGAATGTGTAAGCACAATCTATATTTTTATCATTTATACAGGAATAATATCAACGGTTGTAGATCAAACCATCCTGAGATCATCATATGTAGGAACAATACTGTCTCTTAAAAACCTTTAAACACCCAACAAACACCTGCAATAGTTCTTTGTTCATTCAAATTTGATATCCAAAACTTCCTTACAGCAGTTACACACAATCTAAAGACTTCAAGTATTAAAAGATATGAGACGTTTACAATTTCCTCCCATCTTCATTTTTTTGTACATGACTGAAAAAGCTGAGTAAATCATGCAAAACTCTCTAGCATTTGTGAATAAAACTAATAGTGAAAGGCATGGGTCTCCCTAAGGTTGGTTGGTTTGCACCATGATTTGTGCCCTTCAGGACTTGCTTGGTTTCATCTCACTGATAATAGTCAATACTTTGTCATTGTGTTTACATACTTTTCAAACATCTGTGAGTAGAACTGAGCGACCAATGCTCCCAATTCAGCCCCCACAAAGATGAATGGCTGGGGCTCCTGGCTGCTAACGGTCAACAGATGATTAAGGTCATCAGCCATTCTACAAATAGATAAACAAGTATCTAATCTGTATACTGGGTTAAAACTTCAAAAATCTCATTTGCAGGATTAATTTTCCTTAATTCTTTTTTTGGTTAATGAAGGAGAATAACTATTCATCTCACTATTCTACTGTGAAGGAGTCCACAGTGAAGGGCCAGTTGTCATCTGTTCCTATAAATAAAGGGATATAACTTTAAATATCACCTTTCTACAGTAAACGGCTGCCATCTTTTCCTATCAACAAAGGTGAGATAATGAACGTTCAACAACATCTAATAGTTACAGTTGGAAACTATTGACTGCTATGAGAGATGGGAGAAAACTTTAAATAACATTTTTCAGTAAAGGGTTACCATCTGTTCCGATTAATAAAGGGGAGATAATCAACATTAGATAACACGTTGCTAGAGTACAGGTTTGCCATCTGTTTTAATTAATGAAAGGGAGTTAACTTTCAATCTCACCTTTCTACAGTAAAAGGCTGCCATCTGTTTCTGTAATTGTTTTTAGAATCTTTCCCATCTTGGTCCGTCACATTCTGAAAGTTAATAATACCATAATTCTTACGCTTTAAAATGTCCAAACTTATAAGATTCCACTGTACTTTCAATTCAAAACAAAGAGTCAAAACTGACTGGGTTCCACAGTACACACTTTAAAAGTATCTACTGTACAAAGATACTGTAGTATCACAACAAAATAAGGAATTCTGATTAACAAGGTTCCACTGTACACACAATCCAATATGCCCAGACAAGTTACAATGCAAATACAAATAAAATTATACAAATGACACTTGTAACTAATACAAACAAGAGGCCCATAGGGCCTTTATTTCAATTTATGGCTGAAATTACTTCATCCAAACTTAAGGAAAAGGATTTCTAAATTTCCATGCACACAAAACAGTTTCTCCATTTGGCCCCACCGATAAGTCCTTAAGGAGTCAGCCAAACAATTCATGCTTCATATTAAATTGGGTCAGAATCATGTTATTCCAACAGAAGAGTTTCAAAGGTTTTCCTTAATTTCCCATTCAATGAGTCCTACCCCTCCCATTTCGAGGGGCCAAGACCCACTATTTATACAAAACTTATTTCAATTTACTCTAGGATGAGTCAGATGGAATTTAGGCAAAATTCATACATTCCTACAGAAGAAGTAGGATTTTAAAGAATTTGAACTACTTCAAATACCCTCCCATCACTCGGGCCCCTCCAATGACAAGTAGCCAAAACCCATCCTTTACACAAATTTATTCCCTGTCACTCAAGAATGCTTCGGAAAAGTATTTGGGCAAAATCTTATCATTCCTACAGGAAGAGTAGCATTTTAAAGAATTTGCTCTATTTCCCCTATTGGGCCCCAACCCTCAGGTCCGAGGGGGCTAAGACCCACCATTTATAAAACTTTGCTGTCTTCCCCCAAAGAAGGTTCTGACCAAATTTAGTTAAAATCTGCTTGGTCATCCATAACTAGTAGCCATTTGAATTAATAGTCGATAGATGGACAGTGGATGGACAACAGACACTGCAATATGACATAAGCTCATCGCTCCCTTTGCACCAGGTGAGCTAAAACTCCATTCTATACAACACCGCAGACAAACTGACCAGACCTAAAAGTTTCTGCTTAAAGCAAAGTCCTAGGTTTTTACATTAATGTCTCAATAACTCAAAACTTATATACCAATTTGCAAACATGCTGATTAACATTTTAATGTAAGCAATTTTTCATTAACTCATATTTACATAATCAAACTTGTATAGTTTTTATCACCTACAATTAATGGCCTCTCGCTGAATCCCAAACCAGCCCGATCATACACACAGACCTGAAAATTATAAACATTTTAGTATCATCCATGGACATAAATATAAGATAAAGATACTGTTAATGTGCATATTTTATTGGTAATCACAATTTACCACTTTTCATGCTGAAAATAATGCACTCAAATATTATTTTGCTTTTTGGAGTTTCTCCTAATTCATTATTGTGCTAATTTGTCAAAAGAGGAATTTGTACTAAAATTTTATCACACCAAATTAATTATGTTTACAGTAAGTATATATATTTTGTTTGACTTAATGCTGAATTCTAATCTACACACTTTAAGTAATATTACTATATGATTTACCATATAAAGCTTTCTGATATACAATCATTTTGCATTTATGGTTCTAAGGAAAGTATTTTATGTATCAGGAACAACAATAAAAGTGTATTTACTTTAATAGCAATAACAGAGTGGCAATGGCAATGACAACCACAATAGTGAGACCTACCCTAGCATTCTTAGCCACGTTTGGCCAGATTAATGCCCATACATCGGACGTCTGTCCTCCAGGTGCATCAAATATCACTGCAACCAAAATATATGTATACACAGTAATAACAACTTGTAAAACTAAAAGAAAAAGAGACATATGTAACAATTTTGCAATTGACTAAACTTATAAACAGTACTGTACAGTGTACATGTACACAAATTGAACTAGCTTTTTATTATACTGAATATTTTTCCAAGCTTAATTTCCTGTTAATCATTTTTCTATATCATGGAAAAATGAGAAACAAACAGCTCCTGTTTTGTTTACTGTTTCCTTACAATTTACACTTAACATGCATCTATCACCAAACCTCTTTATAATTTTATACATATCCAGATCATCTTATCTATCTATTACCAAAAGACATCATCTAGAACATTTACCTGTGGGAGGACCCTTCCCCTGACACATTTTAAACATCTTCTGTCCCCAACCAACATCATAAAGTTCTCCTGCAAAAATAAATATGTAATGCCAACTAAATCAATTTCACTTATGGTTTTTAATTGAAATGAAGGAGATGTCATAATATGCATAATAATGCTTCTGCAAATTAATCTGGGAACCTTCAGCTTACTAGATTATAGTGCTTCAGCAAAACAGTTAAACAGAAAATTTCCAAAGCTTTGTGTCTCGATACACAAGAAATAATTCTGTTTTTCTTACGCAAATAACACTTGTTCAGTATAGGGTAAAATGAAATCTGGCTGCGGACCACTCAACCCATAAGATACCACTCAAATCTCCCCTACATTTGCACTGATTTGATCTACCTGGTGTAGGTTTTAGTTCCTTGATTTCTTTCTGTAAAGATGCATAGTTCAACAATGGAGGGACAATAACTATGAGAAATAGAACTTGGAACACTTTGATCAAAATTCGACATCTGCGACTTTTCTCTTCAACCTGCTTTCCTTTCTTTGCCTGTACACCAGTCTGCAACGAAATGACAAAAATGTGAATAATATTATAGGACGATAGAGTGTGTACTTATCTGATATCAAAACGTTACCAAATATCAAAATAAAGACAAAATTATCTCCCTTCATTTAAATTAAATTTGGCAATTAAGTTTTCAGTACTTATTAAATCATCGAATACTTTAAACTCAACTTCACTCGTTGATGTATCATCTTTTGTCATTATCAGGCATTCAAAGGGAGTCGATGTCCAAGAACTGCTGCTAAGATCATAGGACATAATTTGGGACGTTTCACTTAAAAGATATTATCTTCTTACCAGTATACAACCGGCATAGTGATACACAAATTATCCCCCGCCCACTCTCCTCGTGCACTTTATAATTACCTTCTTTGGTGTTTTGTTGTCATCAGTATTAATGTCCTCTGATGATATATGAGGTGGTCGCATCAATGTACGCCGTTTCATTCTAAAAGCCGGTTAGATCTACCGCTTTGATCGAAAATGAACATGTGGATCACACTTCCTGTTAAAGTGAAAGTAATGACTTCCGGTAGTGTGGTGATCGTTTTTGTGACTGATAAGAACCAGACGCGCTAGTAATTGTGAAATTCAGGGAGATCGACATCAATATTGCTTAGTACGTACAGTTTTTTAACGACACAAATATTAGCTTTTTCAGGTCTTATAGTGTTGGATTAAATAAATGAGTGCTGAGCTTCCAATTGCTGTAGCGAGTAGATCCGTTCTTACATAGCCAAGTAACGTGTGACAAATAATTATTAATAGGAAATGATGGTTCCGGTATAATATTGTTTAATAGAACTGTTGTAATACACAGACAAGCATCTGTATGGTAAGTATTTCTTGTAGTGTGTCGGCTTCCGTAGCATGTATTGTAAACATCTTGGTAAGAATGTGAATACATTTAGATGTACTGCAGGACAGTGTATATACACTACATGTATTAGTCCAAATTATTCTGATGTTCTATCTGCTTTTCATATCGATCTGGAGTCGATCGTGAACTATGTTTTAAAAAAACTTGACAACTTGAGAATGATATCTAATTTTCCTCAACTGCTGTTGGTTCACATGTATCTGTTGTCCTGGAGAATATGTCAAATTGTATCTTAGTTTGCATAGCCCTGGAGGTCACTGTCACATAAATCCAATCAACCTTGGACTTTTTCTCCGCTACACATGTAGAATGACCGAGAGAGCCCAGGTCACAGGTGACTTTCTATCAGCAATGTTATTTTTTTGTTTTGGTTTAGATGTGGCAACCAAAACAAAAACTTGAATTACAGATAGGTAATAAGAACCAGTTGGATTAATTTTTAAGGGGATTTTCCTTTATTCAATTGGTAACCCTGTGGCTAGAGACAAATAGGTCACTAGTTGGAGTCCTTGAAAGAGAAAGAACTTTTTCATAACTCCTTCCTGTTACACATATCTGCCATTGGAATGCATGCATGAATGGCCAACAAAATACCATTCTTTGATCTGAAAAACAGAGGCCTAGCTACATTATCTCTTACATATATATGTTTAACTTCTGTCATTTATTTCATGTCTCAATTTGTTCTTATACTTACTGTTTTTCTTTGTTTTAGGGAGGAAAAATGTCAAAAAAACAGGAAAACTCATATTTAACAGCCATCGTTATTGGTGCAGGCATGCGAGGTTCCGTTTATGCTCAATATGCACAAATCTATCCAGACAGATTGAAGGTACATAAAAGGACACAGGGGCCTGCATATCATCTTTAGACACTAAAAATAGTGGGCTATTACAAGACAACACATTGTATTTTTTGTTTTCAGATTTTCTGAAATGACAGTAAATGTTGTGAGTTTATTATTAGACAAGAAGTTGCTAAAAAAAGTTGATAAAGAGGATCTCAAGTTAACTTCAGTTTCATGTCATTCTAAAGGGAGATTTATTTTTTATTTATGATGTGTAAGGTTAGCATACAAATATATCACTAAGGATTATACATGTGTATTGTATCTAAAACAAATCACCACAGCCGTAAGATAACAGAGGAAAGTAGACTTAAGTTATTTTTAGCTGCCCCTATGGATAGGAGAGCTTAAACCACAGTGTCCAACTTTTTCTAATTACCCCTATCACAGTCATGAAGACCAAGCAGATTTTGACTATCATGAAAGGTAGTCAGTTTTGGGCAAGTCCTTTGCCTGACTTCTCTCGTGGCCCCAACAGGGGAAATTGAGGTTGACCTTTAAAGTCCTTCTTCTAATGGGATGCAGGTATTTTGACCACATTATAATTTGCATTGGAGCATTTTTGGGTGAGGCAGAAATAATTGTGTATAAATCATGGATCTCACCCCACTAAGGCTTAAGGGGTAGTGTGCAATATTGGAAATAAAGGATTAAGCTTTAAATTTCTTTTTCCTCTATAAGAATGATAGGATTTTGTGAGATAATTGAGAGAGGCAGGGACAAATATAGAGACCATTTCATTTCAAAAATAACTGAGAATATTATTGTAAACAAAATATTTTGATGTGATTTTGGTAATATCCATGTGAACAATACAGGCCATATTGTTTTTTAAAGTTAGGTAATATTGTTTAAATGTGTCTTAAATGATTTATAATTTTAGATCATTGGAGTGGCTGACCCGAGGAAATTTTATCGCAGACAGCTTCAACAGCAATTCAATATCGAGGACAAGAACTGCTTTTCAGGTAAACTGATGATCTTTTGTTGCATTCATTATTTTCTATAAAATTCTATGATGAAGCTATTTTTTATTGAAAGAGTTTTTCCCAAACTCCAAAAACAGTAACCATTTAATTTAATAACATGTTTTGTCAGAGGGTTTTATAGGTTTTATGTAGACTTTCTAGATTGTATATAAGTAGTAATGACAATGTAATACCACATCAAACATCCGCTAATAAGCCCATCATATGTATTACTGTTCAGTAAGTAAATTTACATACCAGTGCTGTGTCAGTGCTCTTTTAGGGCGTTGGCTGATATAGCCTCAGATGAAATTCCGAGGTATGTGGCTTGACCCTCTCCCTACCATGGCCGTTTGTGTTTCTCAGGAAGCTGAGAAATGGACTGGTCTGTGCTGATATGGTTATGTCCTTTGACAAGACAGCTTACCCTAATTGCTCAGGATTCCATGGGATAGACCTCTCATATGTTGTTCAGCAGGGTAGATGCCAGCTGGGCTAAAAACAGCAATACATGGCAAACGTTTTTTGTAACTATTTTCTTAGATTTCCAAAAGAAATACTATTAGCATTTATGATTAGATGAGGTAATGAGAACAATTTTTAGAAAGTTTGAAGTTTAATCTGATCCCGCTTGTTTGCTTGCAAATACATTAATATGTAAATCATATTAAAAAAAGTATGAAAATATCTATCATGCCAACATTTTATGGTAATCTTCAAATGTGTGGGAATAACAGGGGTAAAAATAAAGATTATAAATTTAAAATAAATTAAAATTTGACCAACATAAAGATTTTTAAAATTTGTGTTAAAGACTTGCAATTATGTTTTTCACAGATTGGAGTGAGGCCAGTGAGAGAGATAAGATGTCGGACTGTGTTATCATTACCACCCCAGATCGTCTACACAAGGTACATATATTTCCTTCATGAAAAAAGTTGTTTACTTTTTGATGTAGGATATATCTTGAAGAAATACATTTTATTAAATTTATATTTTCTATCTCCTGATCTACAAAAATCAAGAATAAGAGGTTAAAAAAATATACTGTGGATTCATTTATTTTCGTTGGGTTCAATTTTGTTGTTTACTACAAAAAATCATAAAAGTGGATTTTTTATTCTGAGGAAAAAAATAAAAACGTTAAAAAAATATAGTAAAGTCATTCATTTTCGTTGGGGATTTGTGTTGTTCAGTCACAAATTCAAATGTCCACAAATTGTTGACATTGGTAGACTAGGTAGATTTATTACATTGATTTCCTGTGTACTGTAAATCTTCATGAAAAATTAACAGGTCTAGGAATTGTTAAAATAAGTATATGTAATTTTTTTAAACCACATAAATTGAACCCTACAAAAATGTATCGTTTTACAGAAGTCAGTCTTGATGTATGTACAAAAACATACATGAGAAATACCGCCCAAACGTAAGAAGCAAAAGGATATATTTTTCATGTATTAAAACCTGAAATGGACTTTTGGGCAAAGGGTAAATGATGACCTCTGACTCAAAAAGTTGACAAGAAAAACAACCAATTAAAAAGGCCTGTACTTTATAGGGATGAGGGGGGAGGGGCACAGACTCTCGCACATCTATGATCATATGTTGAACAAAGTTTAGCGGAATTGACTACAGTACATTGTTACCATCTTGTTTCCTGTACTCTATGATCAGTTTGCTATCCTGCCACACTTTTTCAACTTTATTTTACTCAGGATTATAGTACAGACAATAAAGATGGTTGATTCCATATCATCTTGTACAATACATATGTCAGTGCTAGTACACTCTTCACTGGTCATTTGTCTGATAAAGGTGACAGTGTAGTCATCAAAACGTCACACTCTAATCCTCTACTGGTTGTATTATAAGAACTTCTGTTCTTTTGACGTTACCAACCTGAAGAAATGGTTCCGGAAAAGAAAAAAAAACTGACTCAATGTCAGCAAATGGGCTTATTAAAAAAAAACAATAAAATAGGTCACATGGTAATCCTGTGAAACAATGCTTGATAGATAAGGTTATTACAATGACCAGACTTACTGTCATATGAATAAAGGTAAGTTGATAAGTAAGTGTGATGTCGTTAGGGATTATTGTTACCTATAATTTTGTCGTGTACTTTTATTTTCGAAGGATCCTGCCATCGCTTTTGCGAAGAAAGGCTACAACATTCTCCTGGAGAAACCAATGGCAGTAAGTGTGTTTATCACTCTTACCACGATTTACCACAGTGAATTTTCTGGTGCATGAAACTCCTTAAAGAAACACCTTATTCTGCCAACATCACCCAAAGTCTCTTTCCTCTTTCAATTCAGCTGGTGCATTTGCGTTGTTGTTTGTCTTTTCCTATCAGTGTATTAGTTGTTCATGTTTTTTTTCCAAAGCCATGGCTGATATTACATCATCCTATTTTTAGACATATGCTAAATTATTCCTAGGTCAACTTGTTATATTGATTTTGTGATATCTATATATACTGTGAAAAGTCGTTATCTCTAACTCATGTAACTCGAAGACCCCATTTAATTCGAAGTTTCGTATGGTCCCACTGACTTCAAGATTATGAGGTTCATAAGTACATGAATGTGTGTCTTTCTATTAAGTGGTATGGTTCAGGGTATATTGTCTTTCTTTGCGTTATTCTATTGTTTTTACCTTGTAGTCATGACATTTTTGTTATACTATTGAAAAGGTAAATGAAGAGGATTGTCGTGAAATTGTCAAGACTTGCCAAGAAAATAATGTGACTTTGACAGTATGTCATGTGCTCAGGTACACACCATGGGCCATTAAGTTAAGAGAACTGATTGACAGTGGCATCATTGGAGAGGTTGTCAATATCAACCATACTGAACCTGTGAGTTGAAATACTAGTCCCATGAAAACCTTTTTTTTTTATTCTGTTGCAAGAAACTTGTCAAGATAAATCACAAGAGATATTGGTAATTTGTAAATTAATGGTAATGTCATCTATCTAAGAATTGCATTGTTATGTTTAATACGTGTAGTTTGTCTATCAAAACTTTCCAAACTTGCTGAAAGTGAAATGCTTCATAACAAAAATACATGTTAAATAAAAAAATGCCTAGGATTATGTAGAAAACAGTTAATGATATAGGGACATAAGTTCCACAACGGCATACTGTAAAGTTTGTTTTGTGTTGATTCAAAATTTCACAGATCTACCATAAGCTTGAAGTAAACTTACAGATTTAACTTCACCAAGGTTCATAATCAGACTTTGATATTATTCATTAAATTCATTTTCAACATATCCATGGTATTATTTGTTCAAAATTGAACTGTTCGTACCAAAAAAAGGTTGGCTTCTGGCACTTTGCTCATTCCTTTGTTCGTGGCAACTGGCATAATGAAGCCAAAAGCTCCAGTTCACTGCTAGCCAAATGTTGCCATGACATCGATCTGATAAACTTCTGGATGGCAGGAAGACGATGTACAAGTTTATCCTCATTCGGACATTTAAGCCATTTCAATAACGAAAGTAAGGTAAGATAACTCAGTGTCACTTTGCAGACTCTGAGTTGCTAGATGTCACTTTCCTACAATATGTATCTTTGGTGAATCTGTCAAATGTGACAGATTTTAGATAATGGCTTGTTGGGCTTGCGTAGTTATACATCTCCTTCCCCCGTCGATCTAAATACCAGCAAAAACATGATGACAAAGAAGTGAAAGCACAACAGAAATCAAACAAAGGAGTGGAAACATTATATAACTTTCAGTTCTTCACTTCCTTTCCATTTTTATAATGCTCCTTCAAGTTTAGGCCAAGGGAGAGAACTGAGGTTCCAAAAAATTGAACATGGTTATAAGGAACATTGTAGACTGTTTTATCAAGTATCAGCTTATTGTTCAATTAAAAGAAGGCATTTTATAGCCTAATCATAAATTTTGGCTGGTTTGTGAAATGATGACACCCATCAAAGACTTATCAAATGGTTAGATACATCTTGTGACATGAGACAGTGACATCTAGTGAATAAAGTGTTTGTAAAGTTTTCAAGTGTAAAAAAAAAGGGCAATAACTTGTTCATGTACATGTTGTAGGTAGGGTTTTGGCATTTTGCTCACTCTTTCGTGCGGGGGAACTGGAAGAGAGAAGACGAGAGTTCGTCTGCACTCTTGCAAAAATGTTGTCATGACCTGGACCTTGTTAATTATTGGATGATCGGCAAGAAATGTTGCAGTCTGTCATCTTTTGGGTGTCTTAGTCACTTCAAAAAATCAGATCAGGTTAGATTTGATAATTTTCTATCTAGCATGTACCCTGGACTTCTGGTGAGAATTGTTTAATTTTCATTGCGTGCTTGTTGTCTGTTGTTTTGGTGGAAGGTCTATACTTTTCATATCATACTCTACAGATATGTTATATTTTAAATCATTACTAATCTTGGTATCGGTAATATTAGATACAAATGTGTTGTGCTTCCTCAAGTCTGACTGATCGCGTAATGGTTTCTTTACACCATTGGTTCTGAATTGATCAGTTACATTTTTTTTTGTCAGTGAATTATTTTATCCTGTTCCTTGTCAATTTGTGTGGAATATTTCCCAGGATTTATGTAAAAAATAGGTAACCAAATCAAACTGCAATAGTCAAGATTTATGGATTTATGAACAGAAGTCAAGATAATGCTTGTTTCTGATGAAATAGACACTTGAATGACAGACCTTTGTTTTTGGGAAAAGACTTTGATGCTCTCTGTAGAATATGACTGGAATTTTTATAAGATAAAAGATGATGGTGTGTAGTTGTGAGGCTGTAACATATTTATAAGGTTGTCTTCATGGAATAAAAGTTGGAAGTTGCATTTAATGTATAGAATGTTGAAGATGGTTATAGAAAAGTTGCATGTACCACTAATATTGGCACTTTTTTTTGGTAACAAGCCCACCCACATCAGCTGCTGTTCAACATGAACTGTACCAAGTATTGTTTCAGTATCCAGTTTAAGCCCACCCCCTTGACTTTGAGTCAGAGGTAATGCCTTGGCCCCTTTGAGGGCTGTAATAAGCCCACTCCCTTGACTTTGAGTCAGAGTTAACACCTTGGCCCCCTTGAGGACTGTAATAAGCCCACTCCTGAATTTTAGTCAGAAGTACTGCCCCCTCAGATCCTGTAATAAGCCACCCCCACCCCTGACTTTGAGTCAGAGGTAATGCTTTTGCCTCCTCAGGTCCCGTCATTACCCCACCCCTAACTTTGAGGCAGAGGTAATTCCATGGCCCCCCCAGAGGACCTTTGATAAGCCCATCCTTTGTCTTTGGGGAAGAGGTACAGATAATATGTTGGACCCCCGAGGTCATTTCAACTCTTTCTGTCTTTCTCACTTGTTTTTTTTCCTGTTTTATATCTACTTTCCATGTCTATGTTTTCATCTTTCCGTCGCTCTCTAACTCTGATCTGTTAATCCATTTATATTTTCAATTTCCTGACTTATTGGCATCTTCCTTACTTAGCCTCCTGGAGCAGCCAATCGTTGCATGGAGTGTCCAGCTGATGTAGAGTCCAAGTGTCCTTACTCGGCCAAAAAGATTTATCTAGACCAGATAAAACAGGTAAGAACTTAAACTTAAATAATTTCAGGAAAGATAAATTTTGACAAAATTCCACATAAATGCTAACTTTAGGAGGAAGAATTTGTAAAGTAAATGTGTGTAAGAGGATAGGAAAAATGTGAAAACTTCTAATTCAGTCTGTTTAAAGAGTCTCTAAATGCTCTTATTCTAAGTCCTTTGTCTGGTTTGATAAATCCAACTTGATGGCGGGATGTTTAAATTGCCCTTTGTCCATAGTCAGTGGTCTATTCATAAATATCCTTGTTTTTGCTTGTTTTAGAGAAGTGGTGGAGTGTTATTATTCAACTTTGTTATGTTGGTTTCACACAGTCCCTAGTTTGTACCCATGTGATTTTGAGACTATCAATAAAACAAAATGGTTGACAGGCCATCTTTGATTTTGACAGTTGAAGTTTGTTATTGCTATTTCCTTAGAAGAATTGGAGGAACATTTCTCAAACTTTTTGTTTCACATAGTCCTTAGTTGTCCCCATTAAATTTTGAGACAATCTATGAAACAAAATGGCTGACAGGTGGCTTTCTTGTATTTGAGAGATGGGGTCTGCTATCTCTATTCCTTGAGAAATAATGAAAGGATGTTTCTCAAACTTGATCAGTAGGTCTACTATTTCATATTGTGCACTTTCAGTCTTGCGTCTGATTACTGCTGTTATTGCTATTTTTGGAGTACTGTAGGGATATTTCTCAAAATTAGTATGTACATACCTGTGGTCCCTTTTTATGTTTCATTCAATTTTTGATCTGATCAGAAAAAACACACATGGATTTTGATGGTTGAGGACTGTTAACGCTATTTCATGAGAAGTACTGGAAATTTATTTCTCAAACTTGTTCTGTAGATTTCCTTGATCCTAAATTTTGCCTTCTGTGTCTGCTCAAGAAAACAATGGCGGACTGAAGACATTCTTAGATTTTGACAGTTGATGTTATCGCTATATTAAAGTTCTTGTTAGATCGATCTTAGATTTCACAGGTAGGATTTCTTTGTAACCAAGAGATTGAGAGAAAAAAGAAGAGAAAAATAAGTGAGAAAAGAGCATTCTTACTGAGAACCAGTAAAGATCATTCAATGGTGGGTGACATGATCCCTGTGAGATTTCTTATTGAAATCAAGTGTTGATCAATTCTTTTATAACTGTTCTTATTGTTTTCAAAATCAGAAATACAAGTGATCAACCAATGAAATCCTTTACTGTATCACTAACAAGAAAGAGCACCGATTGAAATATTTCTTAGTGTAAAAACCTGGTAAGGATGTTTATGAAAATACATAATGTTTTCGTCTAGGGAGATACAGGATTCCCCGTATGTGTGATTGCTGAAGAGCCAACGATGGAGAGTGTGACGGCAGCTCTCAAAACCGGACCTTATGGTGTTTGTGTCTATGACAATGATAATGATGTCATGTCCAACCAGGTGTGTAGGGTTTGGGCTTGATGATCAACCAGGTATATAAGTACATGTAGCTTATAAAGGGATGACTAACCAGGTGCCTGGAGGTAAGGTTGTGAGGGTAGTGGGGGATAAACACACAGGTGACTGGAGGTAAGGTGCCAGGGGTAGTGTGGATGAACAACCAGGTGACTGGAGGTAAGGTGGTGGGGGTAGTGGGGATGAACAACCAGGTGCCTGGAGGTAAGGTGGTGGGGGTAATGGAGATGAACAACCAGGTGACTGGAGGTAAGAAGTGGGGTGAACAACCAGGTGCTTTGAGGTAAGTGTGGATGAACAACCAGGTGACTGGAGGTAAGGTGGTGGGGGTAGTGGGGATGAACAACCAGGTGACTGGAGGTAAGATTGTGGGGGTAGTGGGGATGAACAACCAGGTGCTTTGAGGTAAGGTGGTGGGGGAAGTGGGGATGAACAACCAGGTGACTGGAGGTAAGGTGGTGGGGGTTGTGGGGATGAACAATCAGGTGACTGGAGGTAAGGTGGAGGGGTAGTGTGGATGAACAACCAGGTGACTGGAGGTAAGGTGGAGGGGTAGTGTGGATGAACAACCAGGTGACTGGAGGTAAGGTGGTGGGGATAAAATATATCCAGTCCCTGTCTGTTTGGTGGGTTGGGTACTTAGGTAGAAATCGATATTTTCACTCTGTAATCTGGTAAGAAGTCTGTGAAGGTATCACTTAAATGTTAATATAGAAACTTTTTATTACATATTTGTGGTGCACTATAAGAGTTTAAGGTGAATTATATACCAAGTAAATGGTACCTCCTTGTGGGAAATTGACTAGTTTTGATATTTTGATATCAGCACATTTTCAATGAAAGTATCAATTCTGATAGAGACAGACCAAGATAAACATAGGAAACTCACACTTCACTTTTGTGTATTGATATGTATGATTTGTGTTGGTGGAGTAATAATGCTTAGATATAGACAGAACAGCGTATTTAAACTGACAGCAATGGAAGGTGTTATTTCTCATCTTATTATCTCAATTGTATCAAGGTGGTCAACATGCAGTTTGAAGGGGGAGCTACGGCCACTCTGACCATGATGGCCTTCACAAAGTCTGTCTGTACACGAGAGGTCAAAGTTTACGGTACCAAGGTAAGATTGCTAAGTTATATTGATCTGGTTCAACTGTTTATAAAGGTCATTTGTCTATAAAGGTCACCTGTTTAAAAGGCCAGTGTCCTGTTCCAAATATAGCATGATCCATTGTTATCAAAACCTGTCAAATTACCGCAAATGCAAAAATACAGCTGCCGAACAGAGCAAAAATATATGTGGCAAGCATATTCCAACAATGGCAGTGCCATTTGCAGGATAAAACATATTATAGTGTCAGATTGAGATGATAACATGATGTCACACATTCCCTGACGGCAGACTGAGGTAACAAATGAGACTATATAGATATAGAGCCAAAATTACTTCAAATTTGAGGTGGTTTTGTCATAAGTTACATTTAAGCTTTAATAGGAATCTCAAAGCTTATAACTAATTTCTTTTGATAATTCAATAAAGTCACGACGCATAAATAACAAACTTTTCCCTGATAAATTCATAACTCATAGGTGCCTACATCATTTATTGTTTGTGTGCATTGTAAGATATTTTGATATTTTATGGTGTTGCAGTCCATTTCTAATTTACATTATTGACTGACACTGATTCACACACCAGGTGAATGTGTAAATAGATATTTCATTCATACGACAAGAAGTTCCATGCAACAGACCTGCTACCACATGGGGAGTTGCCATAGATGGACTCCCCTAATCAGGATTAATTAGGCAGAGCTAGTTTTTTAAAATCAGGAAATGAATAGAAAGACAGAAAGCTGCATTTTGTGTACCAACAGTAAAACATTTATTTCATCAAAGAGAAACTCATATTAGATCCTATATGTATTTCAGGGAGAGCTTTCCTGTAAGGCAACAAGTGCTCCAGTGATCCAGCACTTTGACTTCCTGACTGGAGTATCCCGTAAGTTTCCTTACAAATACATTGATTTTTATCTGAACATGAAGTCTTGGATCAAGTCAGTGTTAGCTACAATTTTATTTAACATAGATTCTACTTCAACAAACTCCTATAATACATGTACATGTGTATATACATTGCAGCTTCTAATATTAATAACTCAGGACATACCACACTTCGTAACCACAACACACTTTCCTCAACCTTTAGCAATAAAGCATTACACTTTGCTACTTCAGGCCACACTTGTATAAAACATCTCAACTTGAGATTTCCTCAAGTCGAGATTTTCCTAAGCTGATATCTCCTCAAAAACGGCTTGTATAAAATTTTCTCAAGGAACAGGAGGAAGGCATCGGTTAGGATGTCCTGAAATTCCTTGCGGAATTTTCATACAAGATATTTTCAAGGAGATATTAGCTGAGGAAAATCTGGGCTTGAGGAAATCTGAAATTGAGATATTTTATACAAGTGGGGCCAGGTGTAGATGTGAGATGGGTGTTTGATCCCTATCTCAGATGGTTTTGTGTGTTTCAGGAAGTCAAGATCAGCAACCATCCAGACCTTGGACCACTTTACACGAATAATGTTATTGATAGCATCCAAAACAAAGAAATGTTGACTAATTATTTGGGGTCCTTTTTCAGATGAGTACCAAGCAGAACCACAAATGGTCAAGGGAATGATGGGACATGGTGGGGCTGACTTTCACTGCATACATTCCTTTGTCAATAGTGTGGCTGTAAGTTATCATACAAATTTTCATTTGTTATGCCATAACATTTCTTTTTTATGGATATCCCTTCTTTTCGAAGACGAAATGAAACTGGAAAAAACGTTTTGAAATCTATCATGTCTGTTGCATGATTTCCTTGAAAATGACCTCCTCTTTGCTTCAAGTTTTTTTTACATACATAAAAATTTGAATCTTCCAAAATTCAACAATACAGTACAGTATTGTTATCATTTTAGATCAGTTAGGAAGAGTGACATAAGTAGAAAAAAAGTCCTCTTTTGTCTATTGTTTTTTACAATTTTTTTTCTCTCACTATATATTTCAACGATACAGAAAAATTCTCCTTTCATATTTGTGTAATAATTGTTCCATGTTTTTATGACATTGAACCACCCCAAATGAAATATAAAATTGAATCAAAACATTTCTGTTCATGTGAGATGCTTTTTTTATAGTGAAGCTGAGGCAGGAATATGAAAAGTTTCAAGCATAGAATAAATATGAATATTAAAATCTAACAAGAGAAACTATGGATATTTATACAGGTGAAAAACTGTCACTCTTCTTTCTAAGTATCTGTAACACTTCTTTTTAAGCAATTTAGCCTTCTGAAAACTAAATCTCTTCAGTCAAACTTGTGATATACAATTTGGGTCCAATATTGGTGTGTAAGAATTTTGTACTGTACAATTATCCTGATTTCGTTTTTCAGAATGGTGATAAGACAACCATCTCAACAGGTCCCGAGGAGAGCTTGGGTAGTCATTTACTGGTGTTTGCCGCTGAAAAGGCAAGGAAGGAGAAACGAGTTGTCATGTTACAACCTGATGGCACGTACAACTGACCAGATAACTGACCCGACAACTGACAAGATTATGGCCTGGCATCAAACCCATGTTGTTGGGGTTTTTTTTAATTCATATTTCTTTGCTTCACTTAACCATAATGAACAAGTGAAGCAGTTCCCTATTTTTATACTAATAAACCTATTTTCACCAACATTCTTTTCAAATTAACCCGATTCATTCATTTAAACACAACATAGGTAAATAACAAAAATTTATGTCAGGGATGGGGATATTTTAGGGCAGGGCAGGGGGCTTCACTTTACCCTGGCCAAGGTAAAGTGAATAATTTCACTATTTTCTTACTAATCAACTATTTTCTTTAAACACATAAACAATAAAAAAAATATTGTAATGATAAATTGAAGCCCCCCTGCCTCATCCTAAATTTTCTAGCCCCAGACATATTTTTTTTGTTATTATGTGTTTAAAAGAATCAGTCTTAGAATTTGAAAATGAAAATTGTTGAAAAAATGTTAACTAGTAAAAAGAATAGTGAAATTCTTCACTTTACCATGTCCATGGTAAAGTGAAGTCCCTTGCCCCACTCTGAATTCCCTTGTCCCACTCTGAATTCCCTTGCCCCACTCTGAGTTCCCTTGCCCCACTCTGAGTTCCCTTGCCCCACTCTGAATACCCTTGCCCACTCTGAATTCCCTTGCCCCACTCTGAATTCCCTTGCCCCACTCTGAGTTCCCTTTCCCCACTCTGAGTTCCCTTGCCCAACTCTGTATACCCTTGCCCCACTCTGAATTCCCTTGCCCCACTCTGAGTTCCCTTTCCCCAAACTGAATTCCCTTGCCCCACTCTGAGTTCCCTTTCCCCACTCTGAATTCCCTTTCCCCACTCTGAATTCCCTTGCCCCACTCTGAATACCCTTGCCCCACTCTGAATTCCCTTGCCCCACTCTGAATTCCCTTGCCCCACTCTGAGTTCCCTTGCCCCACTCTGAGTTCCCTTGCCCCACTCTGAATTCCCTTTCCCCACTCTGAGTTCCCTTGCCCCACTCTGAATTCCCTTGCCCCACTCTGAGTTCCCTTGCCCCACTCTGAGTTCCCTTTCCCCACTCTGAATTCCCTTGCCCCACTCTGAGTTCCCTTTCCCCACTCTGAGTTCCCTTGCCCCACTCTGAATAAAGTATATAAATATAAATGGCATATAATACCACCATAAGAGAAATTGATTTAAGTCTCTGTAATTATTAAAAATTGTTGACAAAGAAATATATGTTTCAGAAACTGAATCAATGTGAAATCACATTTCCATGGTGGCACTTTGGTTCATCATCTTACTCAAGAAATGGACGAAAATATTTTTAAAAATCACAGAAATTATGGATTTTTCAGTATCTGACTATTCTCTATTCAGAAAGACAGTTTCCATTTTCAGCTGTTTAATTACATATGGTATGGTTTCTGATACAGTCATATGAAGTATATTTGATACTGAGATATGATGGGGATCATTAACTGACATAGAAAATGTAAATTTCTAGTCAAATTTTGATTCTGTAACAATTCATATTTGTGTTTGTTCATGTCTTTGATGTTTCTTTCATTAAAATTACATTTAAACTTACAGTCAAAGATTTGAGTAATCTGCAATATCATAACCTTTACTTTTATTTTTTTTCTTACATTTCACTGAGTGATTCAGTCTCTTATATACAGCATTCTCTGGTCATATAGATGGTAAATCATACAGTTATGAAAAAGATATACCCAGATTGTCAGATTATTTAGAAAAAGACAGGAATTGAAATATTTGTATTTTTGTTAGACTCAAATTTTGTGTGTTTTTTTTAAAAGTCCTTTTGTGTGGTCATATGATTAATTGTACTGAAAAGTATTTAACAAGATCAGTAACACTTCAACCATTCCTAGACCTATGAATTCATGAATTAAAACTATCCAAGTCAAAAAAACAATGATAATAAAAAATTTCATGAATATTCAAGAGTTCTACAATATTCATTACTTATCAGGTGTTGTTTGTGATGTTCTCATTTTACCTGATTTTAATTATTTTCCTATTTATTTATTTGTTGATTGTATTTAAATTCTCTGTAATTGTTGTATGTTTAAACCAGAAGATATTCTAGTGATCTGATCTAGTCCTGCCTAGTACATTCTCCAATAATCACAAATTTATTTATTTTTATATCTCAACATTTCAAACATAATCTTTTTGAATTTTGCTTTTTGTGAAACATATTGTTAAAAAAGTTTAAATTTTAGAATGTGCAAATTTATTGCTTCATGTATACTGAAACATCTAGTTAGAAAGAACACAGCCTTATTTACATTGATTTAAATAATATTACATATCATGAATTAATGTCATGTCAAATATATTTTACAAAAGTTTATTTTTGTCTGTTACAATACATGTATTTAATTTTAGTGAATATTTATTTTCAAAGATGACGTCAGAAATAAAAGTGAAATTGATTGTTTACTATGAATGTTAAAAAAATATTGAGAAATAGCTGTAAGCAGTAAATAGAACTGAATAAATGCCAAATGATTTTGTGAACAAAAGTATTTGTCTTTAAAATAAAATCCTAAAGGGCCGAAAAAATTGTAAACATACGTCAACTTAAAATATGGACATCAGGCACTGCTGGAAATATGGATGTGATGCTGTTGGTTTAACCAAATTAAACCATGTCCATCAGGTAAATGTCCAGCAGGAGGTCTGTGACTCTCGTTATCATTTCAAGGCAGTTTTTTATATTACTGGGTTCATCAACCACTCAACTGCCAGGTTCGTTTTGAGACATGAAATCCTTACAGTGGCTAGTAGCTACCTTGCTGAAAGTCATGCTGGAGGCCCGTCACATGCCATTCAAAGCATTTACGGGTAAAATGCTAAACCCAAGGATATAACCCTTGCAGTACAAGGAGTATGTTTACCCGGCTTAAAAAACATGTAAACCCTAGGAATGATCATCAAACCATCCACCTGTGACCTTTACCTGAGGGTTATGAAACCCGATGCTCCATGAACTTAGCTATTGCTTCCCTCTTAGTTTTGGAACTGTTTTGCTGAGCATACACTTGTTACACTTGAGAGTCCTCCTATGCAAGTCTCATTTTGAGATCATTTCTAGTAGTAATAAGTGGCACTTTATTTTTCTTAAAACAGTTTTCTGGTTTTGTGTTTTTTGTAATTCTTTTTCCGTGATATGAAGGGAGATTATTCTCATTAGTAATGAAATATCATCATAATTTTTTAGGTAGAGAAACCATATTAACACTGATGCAAACTTTAGTTGACTAGGGGATTCTTTCAATCTTTTTAATTTATATTAGCCATATTGTAATGATCCTGCTATGCTCTGTAATGAAAGGTTACGTGAGAGTGTTAGTGCAATTTGTTCATGTTATATCGAACAAGATCCAACTTTGTTGAAAAACAAAAACTTTTCCTCTGTTTGAGGAAACACTGGTACAGCTTTGATGTAGCCGACTGCTAGGAAATGATGATGTCAGACATCTTTGATCTTTGATTGTTTTCTGGACAAGTGACAAACCAGAAGGTTGATTTTCTCCTACATATGCAAAAACTTGTCTGGATGAAGTGGCAGTTTCAGAAACCCCTATTGCTTTTCAGCAATCATGACTTCGCTTTTAACATGTTCCTTGCCATTGCAGTATATGACTGTTGGCCATTTTGGAAATACTACAATACCCGTCGACATCTCTTGAAACCTAAAAGGGAGAAACCAATCAGTATTATGTTCTGATAATGGCACTGGGAATGAATCAGCTGAAGTTCTAAAGTTCAGACATCCTCGACACATGTGTTTGAAGTAGTAGATTTAACTTTTATACACAAAGATGATAAATTAAATACTTCGAGCATAAGCTTAGGTCCATATTAACCTAGTCATGTATGTACATGTATGTTTAACTTCTGATAGTTTTTTTGTCTCAATTTAGCCATCGTTATTGGTGCAGGAATACGAGGTACCATTTATGCTCAATATGCACATTTATATCCAGACAAATTAAAGGTTAGTAAAGGAATACAGGGGTCAGCGTACAAAATATACTGGGCAACAAAACAGAAATTGTTGTCATTTTTTTCTAAAGCTACAATAATATTCATGAATCTGTTTCAGAGAGGAAGATTTTTTATACTGAAAATTTTGCTCCATATCATCTTCAATGTTGGTCAAATTTGCATGATTATTTAGTAATTATAAATGACTACATAAATTTCTTTAGTTTGTCTATTTTTACGTCCAATGAATTAGCGGTAAAAAGAAAGAGAAGAGTTTTTAACAATATCATGTTATTTTTCTTTCAAAGAGATCTTCCAAACACAAATCTTGGTTTTAGAATCATCTGAGTAGAGTTTTTCTTAAAGGGAGAGCATTTAATATTTTGTAAATATTATATGATTTTTTTCCTAAAGAGAGAAGATATTTTATAAATGTTACTAGTAAGATTAAGCATAAACCATAAGATTACAATTGACTAAAGATGTGTAGTGTAGATTTCACAACAATAAAGGACAAGCTGTAAGCCATAACATTATTCTTTGGGTGAGATGCAGGTATTTGGATCTTTTGGTAAATGGGAAATCAGTTTTGTAAAGAGATGGGAAAGGGCCCCTAACATGCCCTTTGGTCTGAAGGCAGGACGTTATTGGATAAAGGTAACTGAGTTTTGTTTGAAGCATTGATATCCTTGTCCGCAGGACTGATGTTGAGAGGCAGTCTCTGGCTCCTTTTGTGTATTTGAGATCAGATGTCTGACTGTGATATCTTTACTTCTCTAAATTGTTTACATCAAGTAGATCTGTATAAATAATAAAAAGGTGGGTGTCGGGGATGTCGTGGTGGTGTAATGGCAGGTAACCCCTTAACTCCAAACTACGCATATCTACGCATTGTGACGTCAGTGTTGGGAAAACAGTCCTATCTCCTTTATTTGTGGAGGTATTGATCTACTGATAATATCTCATAAATTTGGGGAAAATGCTGGACAACTTTTGTTCTTAGTAAATTATTTTGATCTGGTAGATATTTTTTTACGGGTTGAGAATACAAGGCAATTTTTTCCAAACATCTTGAATTGATGACGTCGTGTGCACGGTGTACGTAAATGTCTATTCGCGGATCCGGTTTGTATTCCACATATATGTTCATAAAGAACGCGACATTTAACTCGAATTTCAATACAAAAGGGGATATGTCCCAAACTGAAGATTGTACAAAAGGCACAATTGATTAGCACCTTTAAATACAAGTTTGGAGTTCGATAGAGAAGAGCCAAACATTTATCTTAACTGCATCATACAGCAGTTTCGTCCTTCTTGGAGCCTAGGAGGCAAAAAGGTGAATCCAAAATACTTAAAAGATTAGTCCAAATCTAGATAGGAAGGTGCACTAGACACATAATTGCATGCTGTTTAGCTGAAATTGTTTTCAGCGTCGCGTTCTCACCTCCTGTTCATCGCGTTTTCAACACCTTGACCTTGTTTAGATTACTACGATTGCGCATGTTATACATGATTGATAAGAAATAAAACAAATATAACAAACTGCCAGTTTTAACTTACCAATGCTTATCTTTGGGTTGCTTCCAAACCTGCAGGAAAATGCCCTGAAAATCTGGTGTCAGATTTGTAAGTATCTTAACGGAAGTTTCGTGTCTGAAGAGTCGAGTTTACCCAAACTAAGACACTAACCCTTCAAAAAATAAGTAGTTGCCATGGAAATGTCGCGAATCATTTTGATGGAGTATGTGTCACATCTTTTGTCGACCTCATTGTATGAGATAGCGAGACATTCCTCATGACGACAACGCTTTGCACACTCCATGATTCTAATTATTTGACTCGAGTTTATAATATGATTTGTAGGAACTACTTTAATTAACCTGATAAAGAAGACACGCCTCGTCACAACTGTTGCATCTATGGTTGTCAAGACTACCACCAAGCACTAAAGTTCAATTAAACAGCCGCTAAAATAAGTACGTGTAGAGTACACATATTCCATAAATATAAGCAACCACTGGGTGGATTACTATGACTCATAACACAGTTTTTTTATCATGTTATAAAGATGAACATCCCCATGGAAATATTTTTTCTCACATTCCAAATTCGGAATTTCGCGGTATTTTTTCAACAAGTAGAATAGCCGAAACCATCACGGAATGTTGCCTCGTGTTTTTTTTTTTTTTTTTTATCATTCTTGGCAATAAAGACACAAATATTGATATTAACATTATATTGCATCAATTAACATACACATTTCACATTTTCTTATATTTTTTCAGATAAAGGGCGAGTATCATTGAGATTTCCTCAAGTCGAGATTTTCCTCAGCTGATATCTCCTCAAAAACGGCTTGTATAAAATTTTCTCAAGGAACAGGAGGAAGGCATCGGCTAGGATGTCCTGAAATTCCTTGAGGAATTTTCATACAAGATATTTTCAAGGAGGTATTATATTTTCTGTGTCAGTCAATGAAACTTCAAAATAAAATTCAAATAAACAACAACATAACCATACCATGTTACAGAAATGACATTAGACACTATCAGTCTGAACTCATAACAGGCTGATGATGTAAAATTGTTTATTTTGTGGACTTTTTTTGTTTTGTTCATCTCATGAGAATGAGTCAAAAGTCGCCAGTTTGGACCTTAAGACAAATTCTCTGCCTTACAGACGTGTCTGGTCAGTTGTACGGTCAGCTGGTCGATTAAAGAGACTCGGTGGTTAGATTTTCATTTCATATCTGATACAAAGTAATACAACATTTAAATATCTCATAAAAATTTTGCACTTTCTGTTAATTATAATATTTAAAAATTTGCATAACTATCTTAATTTAAACATCCAAAATTAAAATCAAATGGACCGAACATTCATTCGTATAATTTTCGTTCGGATAGTGTAAACCATGTATTTGCGCAAGCGCGATGTGCGAAAATTTAGAAATCATAACAAAGTGGCAGCGAAAGATCGCATGATAAATTGATCCAAACAGGCAATAGGCACAACAGCTTGTATCGAACACTTTTAGTTTATACCTGATGACATAAAATAAGATTTCTCAAAAAACTACTATAATTTTGTGAATGGTCTAATTTAAAGTATTACAACACTTGCCCGAATCAAACACATGGGAAAAAATAACGAAATCTAACAATTTAGTCCCTGTAATTGTGCAGTTAGTTTTTTATTGTCTGGTCAGTTGTACGTGCCGTCAGGTTGTAACATAACGACTCGTTTCTCCTTCCTCGCCTTTTCAGCGGCAAACACCAGTAAATGACTACCCAAGCTCTCCTCGGGACCTGTTGAGATGGTTGTCTCATTATTCTCCTGTAGAATGAAATCAGGGTTAAATTGAACACACAGGATAAAACCGTCTGTAGAATGAAATCAGGGTTAATTTGAACACACAGGATAAAACCGTCTGTAGAATGAAATCAGGGTTAATTTGAACACACAGAATAAAACCGTCTGTAGAATGAAATCAGGGTTATATTGAACACACAGGATAAAACCGTCTGTAGAATGAAATCAGGGTTAATTTGAACACACAGGATAAAACCGTCTGTAGAATGAAATCAGGGTTATATTGAACACACAGAATAAAACCGTCTGTAGAATGAAATCAGGGTTATATTGAACACACAGGATAAAACCGTCTGTAGAATGAAATCAGGGTTATATTGAACACACAGGATAAAACCGTCTGTAGAATGAAATCAGGGTTAATTTGAACACACAGGATAAAACCGTCTGTAGAATGAAATCAGGGTTATATTGAACACACAGGATAAAACCGTCTGTAGAATGAAATCAGGGTTATATTGAACACACAGGATAAAACCGTCTGTAGAATGAAATCAGGGTTATATTGAACACACAGAATAAAACCGTCTGTAGAATGAAATCAGGGTTAATTTGAACACACAGGATAAAACCGTCTGTAGAATGAAATCGGGGTTATATTGAACACACGGGATAAAACCGTCTGTAGAAGGAAATCAGGGTTAATTTGAACACACGGGATAAAACCGTCTGTAGAATGAAATCAGGGTTATATTGAACACACAGAATAAAACTGTCTGTAGAATGAAATCAGGGTTATATTGAACACACAGGATAAAACCGTCTGTAGAATGAAATCAGGGTTAATTTGAACACACAGGATAAAACCGTCTGTAGAATGAAATCAGGGTTATATTGAACACACAGGATAAAACCGTCTGTAGAATGAAATCAGGGTTATATTGAACACACAGGATAAAACCGTCTGTAGAATGAAATCAGGGTTATATTGAACACACAGGATAAAACCGTCTGTAGAATGAAATCAGGGTTAATTTGAACACACAGGATAAAACCGTCTGTAGAATGAAATCAGGGTTATATTGAACACACAGGATAAAACCGTCTGTAGAATGAAATCAGGGTTAATTTGAACACACAGGATAAAACCGTCTGTAGAATGAAATCAGGGTTATATTGAACACACAGAATAAAACCGTCTGTAGAATGAAATCAGGGTTAATTTGAACACACAGGATAAAACCGTCTGTAGAATGAAATCAGGGTTATATTGAACGCACAGGATAAAACCGTCTGTAGAATGAAATCAGGGTTATATTGAATACACATGATAAAACCGTCTGTAGAAAATCCGAAAGAGATTTTATCTTGTCGGCACTAGAATCATGTTACATTTTCACTTCTTGTGCTCATGTATTACTTATATTCTATATACGGATTATTGAAATTATTGCCTCAGCTTCGCGGTTATGATAAACATATGACATGATCAGGACATACCTAAATGCATTTCAAATCTATTTTTCTGAGTGACCCGATGATCATTTTAAGTTAATACATCTTTAGAAACTATGTGTCTTCTACGTGGATATACTTATTTTTTGTCAGCTCTCAAAACAATATTGGCGCCCGCCAAGTGCTGGAAATATATTTCTCAAACTTGATGTGTAAGTTTATACTGAGTCCGTAGTATTTCCTATTTAATTAAATGGGCACTACTAGGGATCAAGTGAGGCATCAACGTCATATTTCAGAAATATTCAAGCACTGCCTCTCGAGAAATAGCGATAACAAACTTCACCTTTCAAAAATCCAATATGGCCGCTTCTAAGACATGTTGTTTTCCTGAGCAGTCAGTACAGGGAATGAACACAACTAGGGACCAAAGGATACCTACATGTGAACCTTGAAAATATCCTTTCAGTACTTAAGAAATAGTAACAACTAGTCATAAATTGCTAAATTAATGAGAAAATGTACAGATTTTCGATTATTGAAATTTTCACACTTAATAAAAAATCTTTGAAGCAAAGAGAATGCATTTTTTTCAAGGAAATCATGAAACAGACATGATAAATTTTAATATCAATGTAGTTTCCTCACAGTTTTATTCTTTCCTTGAAAAGAGTGAAAACGAGAATCGATCGGGGAAAAATCTACAGTATAACCGATGAATGATTTAGTATTATTAACTTACGGTCACACTGCTGACAAACGAATCCATACAGTAGAAGTCGGCCCCACCATAGCCTTTCATTCCTTCAACCATTTTGGGTTTTGCTTGATACTCATCTGAAAAAGAACCCCCAAATCTTCGTCAAATATTTTCGATACAAGCAAAATACCACTTTTGATTTTTTTGGTTCTGACATTTATTGCTAGAAAATCTACTCGGTGCAGTCATAATTTGTAGAATTCAATAGTCACATTTTATTCGTGGAACTAGGCATTTAATCTAATAGTATTGGTTTGATCATTTTTAAGCACAGTTCAGATTTTTTTCAGAACATCAATAAAGGTACAGAAACGATAATACCAAAAAAAATATTAATCATCGCACGAACCACCCAATTTTCATAGACTGTAATGTTTGCAAAAGCAATAGTAAATGATAAATAATGAATTTTGAAAACTCACAAACAATGACTTTCATTTACAAGTATGATATTGAGATAGCGAACTTCAGGAAAAGATTATCACAATTTACAGAACATAAAAATTAACATCTATTTGTATTTTAATTCCAGTAGTAGCTGGTGTCGCCATTAAACATCATGTTGGAGACCAGCTGGATACTATTAAGAGATACAGAGGTATTTATCTTGCCAAAGGACAGTCAGATCAATGATCGTGACTTCCCAAGAAACACAATCCATCCCACATAGGGATCAAATCACAGACATCATAATATGAAAGGCTGGCGTGTATATATAGGTATTATAGGCATTTGTATAAGTAGACAATTTTTAAGAAATTGACCTGAACTGAGACTCTGTGTTCGGATAAAAATCAATGTGTTCGTAGGGAAACTTACGGGATTTTCCAGTCAGGAAGTCATAGTGCTTGATCACTGGATCGCTGTTTGCCGTACAGGAAAGCTGTCCCTAAAGTGTACATATACATTTTCATTATGTATGAATATTACATTGATGTATTCCTTGATGTACAACCTCATTCTTACTGCATGTATTTAATGTTCACAAAAACGGTACTCGACATGAATAATCATTTTTACATTACTTTATATTATTCTTTATATGTGGATTTCGTGAGTACTGCTATCTTGAGTATTTCTTGTTTTTCTTAACAGAGTATTTGAATGTCACAGAAATATGACTTAATATTATTAGTTTTTACTACGTACCATCTGTATATGCAGTAACATCTGTCTACGAAGGCCATTTAAATGATCAGATTAAAGTGGCATTTATGTAGATATGACCTCTTTACACAGGTAATCTTTATAGAGAGGTGGTCTTTATAGACAAACCACTTTTTATTGACATTTATAGACACGTGGTTTTTATGTTTACTGACATGACTGACTGTACTTAGATTATATAACTTACCTTGGTACCGTAAACTTTGACCTCTCTTTCACCGACGGACTTCGTAAAGCCAGCCATGGTCAGAGTGGCTGTGGCTCCCCCTTCAAACTGCATGTTGACCACCTTAATACAATTTTTTGTGGCATTGAAACATCTGGTTTGTTTTGCTTTGTTTTGTTCTAACCAGGAGTGTAACACACGTATATTAACTTTCTTTATATTATTTAATTATCAATGTCTTAGATGTGAAATTTGTATATATTATCAAGACAGAGAAATGTTAATCGATACTTTTTACAGAGAAAGTCTAGAATAAAAGTAAAATAAAATAACATAGTGTATCTTTGATGAATATCTAGGGTGGAAACGTAGATATTTTTTACTTGAGGTAATACCCATTCTTTCATTTTTGTCTTGTAATTGTGTGTGTGTGTGATGTGAGGGACCCTTTAAAACTCTTAACCTGTCTCTTAAAAAACATACGTGACTTTGTAACATTCCAAACTTTAATTGATCTGGTTTACAACTAATCCAATTTCTTTGAGATGTATTTGTATTCGCCCATTCCAGTAATTGACCGACACGTTTTTAACGACCATGATATTAGTTTTTAATTGATTATGATTATCACTATCCCCGCCACTTGACTTGTTATCTCGCCTTATCCTATTTCCGAAGACCTATATCTGATCAACCCAATTTCCCCTCACCTCTAGGTACGTGATTTGTTACAAGTTTGTTTCCTCAATATCCTATAACCCTATCTACACTTGTAGTCCCTACCAAACCACCTCCACGGTTCTAACTTTCCTTCCCCATCATCTCCACCTACATGGACAAGTGAATAGGCATCCCCACTATCCCCATCACCCAACCTCACATCTATAGACCTGAGACTTTACTCACTTTACTCCCTCCACCTCATACCCATAGACCTGACCATGCCCACTACCCCCACCACCTCATTCTTACTAGCCTAGTCAGTAACCCCAACTACCTACATATATACCTGGTTGATCATCCCAAACCTACACACCTGATTTGACATGACGTCATTATCGTTGTCATAGACACAGACACCATAAGGTCCAGTTTTTAGCGCTGTCGTCACACTCTCTATTGTCGGATCTTCAGCAAGCACACAAACAGGAAATTCTTTGTCTCCCTTGAAGAGAAAACGAGGTATATTCGAAAAAACTCTTCACAAACATTGTAATTAAATTGTAAATGCCCTTATCAGTATTCTATGACGCTAGCTATACAATGACATTTAATAAAAAAAAATGATTTTTTTTTTTAATTTCTGTTCCAAAAACTGATTATCCTGGCAACTCTTGAATTGCTTTGCTGTTTACTTGGAAAGTCTCAAATAAAGGAAAACAGATGATGATTATACAGTATTTGTAACCAAAACTGTTCTATAGTATCATATTCAGTTTGAATGCCAAGAATCCATGAACACTTTCGATTTGAAAAATTACTACGGCAGGACAATGACGATGAATAGGACCATTTACCGCATACAACTTCGACCGATTGATTAAAGCATACCGTGTCTTTACCGTATCCTGTTACATACATTTGCTTCATGTTTCTTTCTCTATGTTTTAAAAGTGTGCATCCACATTTTTAAGGTTGAAGTTCTTACCTGTTTTATCTGGTCTAGGTAAATCTTTTTGGCCGAGTAAGGACACTTGGACTCGACATCAGCTGGACACTCCATACAACGACTGGCTGCTCCAGGAGGCTAAAGAAGATAAAGAACAAAATGTAAAGAAATAGAAAAAGTCCAAAAAAGGACAGAAAAATAACAGAAAACATAACTACATATAGAGGTGGAAAACAGAAGCAAGTTATGAAGTAAAAACGAAATACCTAAAGTGAAAGATAGATGGTGGGCTTACTATATTACATCAGGGATGGGGGACACATTACATCTTAGTCAGGATGGGTTTATTACACAACTACAGAAAAGCTTTTTTTAGCTCAATATTTTTTATCAAATCAAAAAGATTTAATGGGAATTTGGTAAAAGGCAATGTCTTTACAAGCCCTTTTCCTTAGAACCTCTACATTACAAACAGTTATAGTCTTAGATGTATTGGCGCTTGCTAGGACCTTTAAGTAGTTTGGTTATACATGAATATATATTAGTGTGTATTTCAAGTAACCGTTTTTCAAATCTTTGAATTTTCTTTGAATGTACAACTTAGTGTTCAAAGCCAGTGCTAATATGTTAATGACTACGATATAATTATATTATTGTTTGCATATGGAATCCGCGTGAGATTTAGTGTATAGACATTGTTTGTCGCCAAAGTGTCCCTAAATCTTTTTTATTTCATATTTTGTGGAGATGAAAACGTTTTCCTTTGATCAATAAGTTTGATAAAATCAGAGCACCATACAAACCCATCCACATCCATCCAAATTCTGTTGTAAACAAGAAACGTTTTTTTCGCTTAATGGCATAAGACTATATTTTTCATCCTTGGTACATGATGAGATAAAAATCTTCTGGGAAAAGACATTCAACAGATTAATATTGTAGAAATGTGACATCTTGCAACTTAGAGTCTGTAAAGTGAAACAGATTATCTCACCTTACTTTCCTTATTGAAGTGGCTTAAATGCCCGAATGAGGATATACTTGTGCATCGTCGTCCCGCCATCCAAAAATTTATCAGGTCGACGTCATGGCAACATTTGGCTAACAATGAACTGGAGCTTTCGGCTTCAATATGCCAGTTGCCACGAACAAAGCAATGAGCAAAAAACCAGAAGCCAGCCTTTATTTTGATAAGAACAGTTTTTTTTAAACATTTGCTGTACAGGTGTTATATCTACTATATATTTCGCAATTTTTAGAAAAAAAGTAAGATTTATAATATTACCATAGTTACCTTAGAGATATGTTAAAAAATCACAAAGTGGCATAAATTTATGTAATGTAACGCTTGAAAAAAATAAATAATCTATTTTTTAGATATATGAGATTTCAATCAATTTTGATCTTCAAAATATGAAAGTGTTCATGGAAACATTAAACACTTAAGTTTTTATCAACTCACATTTTCGATGTGGTTGATGTTGACAACCTCGCCAATGAGTCCACTGTCGATAAGTTCTTTGAGCTTATTGGCCCATGGCGTGTACCTTAGCACATGACATACAGCTACAATCACGTTGTTTTCTTGGCAAGTCTTGACAATTTCACGACAATCGTCTTCATTGACCTTTTCGATTGGGCAATAAAATATCATTATAGCTGTTAAAAGAACATATTTATTCTACAATAAGCCCAAGGAGCCAACTCATCACTTTTTTAAAAATAAGCCAGGCCGTAGGCTTATTACAAAAGTCAATTAAACAGCTTTGATTAATAATTTAAAGAGAAATCATCTTATCATATGATTGCCTCGTTTACATTTAACTGACTGAAAATGAACCGAGTAATGATTAAGATTTGATTAAAGTGCAGACGAGATCCACACCCGAGAACCAAGATGAAGTCAAACCGTCCATAGGTAACGAAATAAACCATCGGAGACATTGATAAGAGAGCACAAACATTACATTTGTCACACGGACAAAATTTGCCTGCTAAACTGAAGGATGAGAAGAAAGTAGACTATGTCTTAAAGTAGTTTTAACCAGAGGAAACTGCATCATAATACATAGGGGAAAAATAAGTAAAGCACACTTACTGCCATCGGTTTCTCCAGAAGGATGAAATAGCCTTTGTTTGCAAAAGCAACGACAGGATCCTATGAAAAAACATATATGAAACGATTACTGTTAATTATAAAGCTTCTTAGAGATGTCGAATTATCGTTTGCTCATAGTAGCAATATTATGCTAAGATACATATTTACCGTATTTATCCGACAATAAACCCACGCATAGTAATAGAATAGAATTATTTTTTAAAGTGACGAATTACATTCTATATGTTTAGCAATTTTCTAGATATTACTAACACAAACTAAAAATAGACAGAAGGAATGCAGAAACGTATGACTTTTTTAATGATATAGATCTACCTTGTGTAAACGATCTGGAGTAGTAATGATAACACAGTCAGACATTTTATCTCTTTCACTGGCCTCACTCCAATCTACAAGAAAAGACAAGTGCGATTGTTCACACACATTTTTTAAAATTTGCACTTAATCACCCTTTTCTGCTCGATATTTTCACTCCTTTCGAAAACAATTTTAATGTATTTTTTATAATTACACTTTTGATGGATTGAGAAGTGAAATCTCTTTATTCATTGTTTCCAATACATAACATTTCCTTGTCTTATGAAATCCAACAAATATCGTTTAAAAATCATCCTTTTCTCCTTAATCTAGGGCAGATATGCACTATATTTGAAATGAAATCTGAAACTTATTGATGAAATTATAGGTAAACTTTGAAATGAACATCCTTTTTTTTCAGACCATTATGTATAATGGTACAAAGCATCAACATGACCGCAAAAAGAAATGCAACTTGTGGCTGTCAATTGAAACTACGGTCTGTAAACTGTCTTACTAAATCGAATATTTTAATGTGAATATCAAATTTGTCTAATCATTGCAACTCCGTACAGTTTTCTGTAAACTTATATAATCCCGACAGGACGTGTAAAATAGATAATAGATATTTCAATTACAAAGCCATTGAGCACAGAACACAATCACAATTAGAATATGATTTTAAAAACTAGAAAAAAAGAGAGAGAAGACGTAAATCGGAGCCTATATCACATATGAATGTATAAACACAATGTTGGTAAACGATTTGAAGAAACAGCATTTTTATACCGTTTCTGGGAATTTCACAATAAAAATGAGGTTTATCATGAAATGGAATAGATATAATTCATTCAACAAAAAATCGTGAAATCAGTTTACCAGAAAAGCAGTTATCGTCCTTGATATCAAAGCGCTGTTGGAGCTTCCCACGATAAAATTCCCTTGGGTCAGCCACTCCAACGATCTAAAATTATAGACCATTTGAAACTTAAAATATTCTTAACACAATTACCTAACTTTTCAAACAAGAGTCTATAAGGCCTGTATCGTTCACCTGGATATTTCAACAATCACATCAAGCCATTTCTCTCTCCATAATGTTGTTATTTATTTCTAAAACGAACGGGAATCTTAATAACGAAAACAACTATTGGTCCATATCCCTCTGCCTAATTGGACAAGGCCAACAAACATGAATCCTATTCACCCAAGAATGCTCAGGTTCAAAAGCCATCCATGACTGAATTATTTTGTCTGGTCCTGTAGTTCAAGAGCGGCCAGACGCTGCCTCTCAACATCACTCCTTTGTGCAAGGATATCTATGTTTCAAACAAAACTCAGTAACCTTCATTCAATAATACCCTGGCTTTCAGATCAAAGAGCTTGTTAAGGGCCCTTTACGAAACTGATTTCCCATTTACCAAAAGATAAATTGGTCCAAATACCTTCATCCCATCAAAAGAATAATTTTATGGCTTACAGCTATTCCTTTATTGTTGTCAAATCTACACTACACATCTTTTGTCAATAGTGATCTTATGATTTATGCTTAATCTTACTAGTAACATTTAAAAAATATGTTCTCTCTTTAGGAAAAAAATATTTATAATATTAAGAAAATATTAAATGCTCTCCCTTTAGGAAAAACTCTACTCAGACGATTCTGAAACTAAGGTTTTTGTTTGAAAGATAACATGATATAATTAAAAAAAATCTTAACCATTAATTCACGTAAATATGGGCAATCATCTGATGGACAAACTGAAGAAATCGAAAAAATAATTGATGTATACTCAATAATACCATGCAAATTCGATATACCTTTGAAATGACAAGGCAGAAACCAATATCATTGTAGCTTTAATAAAAAAAAATGACAACGCATTCTACATTGTCGCCCACTCTATTTTGTGTCTGACATCATACGCTGGCTCCTGTATTCCTTTACTAACCTTCAATTTATTTGGATATAAATGTGCATATTGGGCATAAATGGAACCTCGTATTCCTGCACCAATAACGATGGCTGTTAAAAATGAGTTTCCTCGTTTTTCCGACATGTTTTCGCTCTAAAACAAAGAGAACAGTAAAGTTAATTAAACATACACCTTGATGTACAAAAACAGTGAAGCAAGACTGTTTATATACATTCGTATTGATTTTTGTGGCAGGTCTATTTTCGATTTTCCTTCATATTCACGGAACAGGCTTTAGCTCGGTTTGATGGTATATTTTATTCTTTGAAGAGGAGTGTAACCTATAGGTTGACATTATGCAATTTTAATCTCCAACTTCGGGCTTCATTTCGGAGAAATCCATCTTATCTGATAAGCACGTGTAAGAGGAGGATTTTCCTGTAGCACATTTGTGTTACTGGAAGGAACAGCGATGAACAACATATTGTGACCCCTATGGTGCTCGAAATAGCGACTTTCTCGAGCTAACTAACTACCTCTTGACTAAAGGGCAACCCCATGAAAATTTATTGATCAAGCGGGTGATTTTTGGTGATGTAGGATGTTGATATAACTAAAATATATAAGTAAGGGTGACTGTTCTTATATACGTTAATGGCGTTTCTTTTGAAGATGTGGTGTTGACCAATTTGATATTTTAATACTTTGTAATTTTGAGTTTCTTTTTTCAGCAAGCAGGTGTACTAGATTGGGAACGGAAGTTTATGAATGCAGTATATAAACTATCGATAAAAATGTCGTGCTAAGAAATCGTTTAGTACTTGGAATTTATATAGATTTTCAGGGCTCAGTGTGGCCAATGTTACACAATTGATGTCGTGATTAGAAAAAAGATAAGGAAAAAGAATTAAGAGCTTTCTATGGTTCCATAACTTCCGGTTATTCAATCACACACTACTGTCTATTATGTCGACAATGAATGAAATGTTGTTAGAGCATATTATTAATCAAACAGGAAACAATCTATAAATATGTATTTCAGTAGGAGAAATGACTAATGTCCACAACGAGAAAATTTCGATTCGCCATAGGACTATGTTTGACTGCAGTACTTCAATTTTTCAAGTGTGATAAAAGAAGTTTGATTAAGACTAATATTTAAGAAAATAAGCAATTGACGTTGAAATGTATATAAAAAACATTTGACTTATGTATGTACCGATTGACCAGTGACCTTTCACGGTTGTTTCTTTACCATTACCATAATATTACATTGATTTGTGTTAAAGATATTGATAATAATTCGTGAACAAGTCACTTTCCCAAGAACCGTTAATGGCCAGCATTACACAATATCTACAAATGAGTCAAGAAAATACCACGCATTTCTGTTAATGGACAAGACAGATTGAGAGTGAAACATCATGCATAATTTTCATTTTATATGGAATGTGACTTTTCCTGTTACTGTTACCGTCATGAAATGACGTTTTCATACATAACATGAAACTATACGGGTGTACATGTCAAAACAGTGGACCCAGAACACGTTCCGTTTTGTTTAAATTGTGACCATAAATGGTTCATCCATCGATCCATCGATCCATCCATCCACCTCTATTCTTAATTCATATTTGTACAAATATATTCACAATACATACTTACGTGCTATTCAGATATATGCCTGGGTAGTATAACAATGATATGTAAACGTGATTCGACTTCACCCCATGTCAAGGTCAGTCAGACTCGCCTAGTGTACTGAAATGTGCGATTATCTTAAGTTCAGTTCACATGTTTTCCCTTTGCTCTTTATCTGTAAAGTCGAGTATTTAACAATAGGTATTTGCCCTGATTAGGATACCAGAAGGGAACCTCCGAGATAGTACTTGACACTGTCATATCTGTTATACATTGACACTGCAGTCACTGGCATGGAAAAGAAGGTAAAAGGATGGCAAGTGTTGGCAATTAAATCTAAGCATACTTGAGGACATGGTCAAGGCTAGTGTCTGGATATATCAATCTATATCAGTTTGTGACGACGACATAGATAGCATCTAGGCCTGCTGAATGACAAGGTGGGGTGGGATTTGGGGGTTGGGGTGGGGATGGGGTCGGGGGAAGAGGGCGTCGAGGGCGAGACATGAGTACGTTAAAATATGTACTGTACTGATTTCTCTTCCCTGTTATGGGAATGCCAACTCAACTTAATCCGACAATCGTGTTTTGGGAGAAGTCCTTGAAACTGGTCATATGGGTATCTGTGACAATAGTGCGCCTGCTATTAAATTATTATTCGGAGGTGATCTCTCGAAAAGTTTCAAAAGACACGACATGCAATTGGTATGGGAAGAGGATGTAACTAATACTCTTAAAATGTGGAAAAGATCGAGGGACCACAGTACTCCAATTATAAAATAACACCTCTCACAAAAAAAGATGTAAACGGAAGGACTGATGCGACACAAGTGTCAGCGGAAAAAGGTAAATACTGTTTTTTATGTATACAAGTTGTTGTTAAGTGGGCAAACTTCAAATTCTTACTCTACATTCTAATGTCGAAGTTTACAATAAGAACTTTTTATTCTTATCTTGACTTACTACTAAGTACTATGATTGTATAGTGAATTTAAAGAATATCGGCCTCCCTAGGCCTACTGACAATGTACCCGACGGATTCCAGTGGCCGAAGTAATGTGCGCTCTTGCTACGTCTCTACGGCAACAAAGCAGTCAAAATTCTTTCCCAACTTGGAGTTTAATTACAAACATTGTTGACCGTCGTTAGATTCAGTCACTTAAGCATGTATCAACACAATTTGATTATGCAACTTACTGCATTCAATATATTTTTGCGTTTTATAAATCAACCGTAAGGCACTCGACGTCTGTTTGTGTACTACTGACATGTTTACTCTCAAATCCCCGTAATGACGAAAAAACGAGAGTAGCTGTTTCGCCCCACGTCGCAAGACAACTAGTTATAATATTCACTTGCTCTCACCTCGTGGAGTAGTAATAACAAAGCATTTCATCAAGCAGGACGATAGAGTCATGATTCGTCAAGTGAAAACGAAGACGAGAAGGAAGTGCAGCCTTTTTTCCACGCATGGAGAAGAGGGGGGCATAGCAATGGATTAAAATCTGTCTCATTTTTTTTATCTAGGTATTGCGATGAGACTACATTTATTAAAGGTATTTCCTGCTCAGAAATTTTGTGAATGCAAAAATATATCTTTTGTGACATTATCTGGCTTATTTGACAATCAAAGATTTTATATGTCAGTATTTAAAAATGATTTCTCCGAACCTCAATTACGATTGTAAGTGTATTGTCTTGCGTCTTTGTTATTTGTTTTGAAGTAAAATAAGTTAAACTGTCTTAGAACCCTTTTTGAAACTTGTCCAATCTCTATTAGTCTTAATAAACACTACATTGAAGTCTGTCGTAATACAAGATGATGTTGTGATGTAAAAGATAAATAAATCTTATAATGGCACTTGTTCAGAGTACTTGAAAATAAAAATGAAAACAAAACCAAACTATTTTACATTCCATCTTGTTTTCTGTCATTTACTGATGCTCCTCTTGGCCAAACAATGTGAAAACTTTGCCAAGGGAAGAAATTCATATCGTCTGTAGAAAATTTCCGTGTAGTGAACTGTAAAAGATAACAAGTCGCCATATTAGACTCCGTTAGTGGGTATTACCTTTTTGTCTTGCGGTAGAGTGTCCGACTGCCTCGGTAGGGGCAGAGTGTTTTTCGTTACTCCTACCACGCCGAGAATCTCTAAACGAGAAACCAGTTACTAAGTATTAAATAAAAATGGATACACAAAATTAGAAGAGAAAGTGCACTACTTCTGACAAGATTCCCTCCCATATAGCGCGAATTTTATTGATAACACTGATCTATGATATACAAAACAGTTTTGTTTCCTTTCGGTGTTGTCAGCGACATGCCACCATATTTTAGCCCGACGTCAAACTTTGGTCCTGTCAGCGAGAGCAACTGTTAACAGTGGTGTAGTGTGACTGTTCAGGAACAAAAATTACGGTAGAGATTGAGAAACGTTTGTATTTTGTATTTTAGCACGTGCATTAATTTTACATTACTACTTTCTAACTTAAACATGTCATTGAAAAATACGAACAGCTGTTTTAACAAGTTATTGTGTTTGTTTCTTAAATTCTTAAATCATGTTCTTTTATCTTCCATCAATATTTCTATGATTCTCGGTCGATTTAAATCTATTCAACATTCGTGAAGCATTGTTACAAGTACACGAAATTTGAAAAGTCTTCAATTACTAATTACTGTCAGTTACTTATTAATATGTAATTAATTACAATAACGCGATTGCAATTACCCCACGTCTAATTGTCATGTCTGATTAATGAATATAGCTATATCAAATACCTTTATATAAAGAGCGGAGTAGAGTGACGTTTATCTCCCCATGAACTGCCAGTATCATACTGAGACAGGGTCTCGTTTAAGTAGCCGATGGCTACCCCACTGAACAACAAACGGGAGACCCGTCGCATGCCACCCAAAGCAATTATAGTAAAGTGTCTTGCCCAGGAACACATTCACGACAGCACAGACCGGTCCGTTTCTCAGTTTGCTGGAAAACAAGAATCGTCACTGGCACTGAGCAACGCCTTCGGATTTCCACCTGAGGTTACGATCTCGGTCACAGTGAAGACTTTGATTCGGGATGAAATTGAAATGGTGTAGCCATGAAATAGGACCTGTTTTATGTCTGATGGAATATAGACTTCAGGAGTATCTTTATTAAATACGAATACAATGAAAATAATGAAATCGCGGAGCTTTATTAACATTTTATACAATTACAAAACAAATCTGCCCATTTAGTAACTCCATTCGGAATACATTTCAAGTGTTCAGCAGATCAACCATCCACGGAAAGTTTGCCACAAAAAATATGTTTCTATGCGGTAATATCTACGACAGGTAAATTCCTGAAGGACATAATCATCTATCATAGTTTGGGAAAACCTTTAACGGTATTCGTTATTTATTTTCTGTCATATAATTTTCTAGTAGGCTTTATTGATCCAACAGTCATAAAGAAATTAAAAGACAGATTCTACGTTTTAGAATAAAATACACCGACTAGGTACATGACATAGCTTATGTAAAATATGCCTCTGTATGGTGAGATTTGTTTGGAAGGAATGCATTGAAGTTCAAATTCGGGACGTTTTATAGGCGTTGTACGGAAGGAATTTACTGAAGGTCAAACATGGTACTTTGTATGGAAGAAAGATATAAAATATCAAAAGTGTTGTCAGGATTTAATGTTAGAATTGAGAAATTGTTGAATAAAACAATGGAAACACACAAAACTACGTTACTGTTTGAAAAAGGTGTATTCAAATAAAATTATTTAGCCAACGAGCAGATTTTCCGGAATCAAAGTTTCTAAACTCCTCGCTACGTTGTCGATGGACCTTGGGATGACCTGAATGTGAACCTGTGTCTTGTGACTCGTTCCCATGGTTCCCTCTACACACAGAGCCTCGTCACAGTACTCGATGGTGCGTATGCTACTGTCATAAACGCCGCGTGTAAAATTACCAGACCCTCCGGACATGACGTCAAACATTGAACTTGTATGAGCACTGCTCGGTACGATCCCCACAGCTAGTTTGTTGTCATAGAAGTCGAAGTTGAATGGTGCCTCCCACATCACTATCACCCGGCGGTTGTCAATCAGCCACGAAACAGTTCCTTGCGTACCAGTGGCGGTATAACCGGTTTTTCTAGCCAGCATGACTTCCCGCTGACCCGGATGTATCTCACGCGGTGAGAGAGTGATCACTCCCCTATCGGGGTAGGCAATTGGACTGGTCATCGCCCATTTACTGTAGTTGTCCACTTCCATACCCACCACATTCCTGTAATGAAGTGAGTCCATCTGAGCATGGAGGCTGGTGCCCTGTAGAGAGGTCCCGTCCTTGATACCGCCAGTAATGGCGGACACAATCTGTGGATCTAGCTTCCCGAGGACTAGTCCTGTGTAACAGAAATGTTTTTCCATGCAGTTGCTCATAAAAAGTAAGCCACATGATACTGTTCGTTAATCTAAGATATTAGATACTCATTATTCATGTATAGTGAACACTTGATAACGTTCTAAAGTTCCAGCTTTCTCGGAAATCAATGAAGTTACTATACTAGTACTACGGCCTTGCATGGAAGCTTGTGTGTAGCAATCTTTTTAGGACTCATTATGGTCAAAACCGCTTACACTCCTAATAGAGATTTATCCATAAAGTCTAAATTCATGTTACTATAAAGAACTTTGGGTTTGAGAGTGTAACCAGAAACTCGTTAGTCGGGTACCTTTGGGATGATATTTTGATTGGCAACAACCAGGGTCATTATAGGTCGTGCCAGGTTTGGGAGGTGGAGAAAAGCCGGAGTTACCTGGGTTTGAATAGCAAAGGAGATTATGGGCCTGTTTGTTTATGCGGACAAAACGGTAACATTTCAAGCCAATAGTTCACGAATGTCTTTACAAAGGCTGACTAGAAAGCTGATAAAGATCGGAAGAACCGTCGTTTATCAGCGAACAATGCGATCAAGGAAAACGGTCCTAGATAAAGACTTAAGAAACAAACAATGATATAGGAAATATGACTGGTTTAGGAAGTGTTACAAAAAGCAAGAGGTAGAGAGTATAGCGAAAAATAACTATTCCAGATAGTATAGCAGGTAATCTTTGGTTAGAGAGTAGAACAATTAGAAATGGTGTTAAAAGTGAAAGATGGAAACCTTGGGTTAGATAGTATAACAAAGACACAATAGTTTGAAAATAAAGAACATCGTAGGGACCTATGGGTTTGAGGGTAAAGGATGAACTAATGGGTAAAACGGTAGTATCACAAGGAGACATTCGTTTGTTTGTAAAACAATCGGTTGTAGAACAAAGATCAAGAAACCTTGGGGTTAAGAATTCAAGGAATCTAAAAAAGAAGTAAACACAGCAAAGGCTTTTGGAAATGAGTGAACAGCAAATAAAACCCCAGAGAGTTCGATGCTGTTGTTCTTGTATTGCTTTACAAATTCATTATTTTGTGCTTGGCCGTATAAATCTTACATATTGATATACGTGTCTTGAAGAAGTATTGGCGATGTTGTGACGTCATGACGTCAATGGTTTAATGACAAGTTTAGCGTATTTTAACGATGCTAAAATTCAGAAAATGGTTGCTGTTATGTTATTCGTTACAATTCTACCTTATTTAATCATTTAATTTAGTTGTTTGTCTATTGTGTATTATGAAACATTGAATTTAGTGCTAGGCTTTGACATTTAATCGCACCAAATTTGATATGTTCAACAATTTAGGATCGCTAACACTTAGCCCTGGTAGGATAAAGCAGCTGTTTAATTTTTGTCTATTTCGTTTATTTCTTACCCCATACTGTTTCTGGCTCTATGGTTCTAAATTTGTACAATCTACAATCTTATAACGTCTCTAAGACATAAGCAAACGAAAAGACAAAACTGCAGAAACTTTCGATATTACGACGAGTTTTATAAGATATTACATCGCAAAACCCATAACCTGTAAAACAAGATCATAAGCTGAAGAATATACTTTTCAATTGACTCACCCAATTGTCCTATTGCAAAAAGCACGTACACAGTGTGACCGATCATTTTGACAGCGTTTTGCAGCGTCCGACTTGTTCAAATGTATAGAATGATTATGCTTCAAACAGATGGTCCGTTCTCAGGATCAACTTGTTTTCTGCGAATCAGAAATTCTTGTCTTGGCTAAAGCAGAGGTGTTACAGGAGCGCTTACAGTACACACGACTCTTACGTCACAACAGTTCGAAAGGTGAGCACTGGATTTTTATATAAACTCTTATCATTAGAAAGAGTTTGGGCGGTACTGGAATGGACAATATGTCTTCAATGTACGAATTCTTAATTCAAACTCGTCAAGGACATTTCTACACAGTACACTTGCTAGCTGTGTTACAAAGTCAGAGTGAGGCTCTACACATTACATATGATATAGAGAACTAGCTTATAACCTTACATGACAACACTCCCCCAACCCTCCTTACCTCCATCCCCTTTGTTGGTTCACCAAACATCATTTATGTTATCATCGGTATTAACCAGTCTTTTTGACTAGAGCTTAATACAAAACAGCATAATTTTTGAAATCGAAAATTTCCATATTCAATGTTCAAAACAAAAAATAAATATCTTGTGCACACACTTATTCACATACATGGGGAATATATTTCATAACATCAGACCTCGCTTTTGTATCAACGTTACTGATTGGTTGAAAAGTATCATCTAACAAGCAAATAGAACACCATATGTCGCTGGAGATATGTCTCTATAGTGGGCCTATATCATATTTTCCAAAGTTATCGCCCTTCCATTTGTTAACGTAAGCTGCAAACGAGCAAATCTGGAAACGACATAACAATATGAAAGGTATTGGAATCGACGCAATAAGGACAATAAGGATGAAAAAAAAATACCAAGAAAACGAAAAATGTGTCGATGATCATGAACTATTTCAAAACGAACCTAGCAAGACCCCGATATTAAATCGTAAAAACTTGGATATTGTTAACTTATTAATGCAGAAAACTGATTACATTGTTCATGGTTGTTCATTGAACAATGCTAGTTTTCTTCACTCAAAAGGTTGTTTTTTGTTTTTGTTTTGTTTTTTGTGTTCTTTTTACGTGTAAAAAACAATCGTTTGCCCTAGTTGTAGGGAAATATCAAATGAATGTTCCTTGAGCTTTGCCCTTCGGACATTCATATTTCTCAGCAACCATTCCATTTCTGGATAGCCTGCATCTCCAACCTATGATTTTAACTTTTCGTAGATTATTCAATATTCAATGTCTTGTTCCAAATTTCACAATTTTCGTGTAAAAAGTCTGCAGCTGACTGAAAAACTCATTTCACAAGGTTTTGAGAGATGCAGGTTGATGAAGATTTGGAGAGATTTCAAGGTTGTCATAATGATTTCTTTTGGATTTTGAGTTTGGTGTTCTCCAATTTGCTTGGTGGTTCCGTTGTTGTTTAACTCGTTCTCGTTTGGGAACATGACATTACTTAATTGGTTAAACAAATTTAACTTGGCATGAAGCAGAAGACGTTCATCTTTCCGCGACACCTGGCCTTATTTTCCTTATATCTTTTCCTGAGTCTCCATACAAATATTTCTTTCGTTCATATCATGCCCTAAATCACTTAAGTATTCTAGTCAATCTTCATTCCAAATCAGATGTTATATGAGACAACGTATTTGACCATTTTGATGTTATTTTAGTGTCCGTTGACGTCATACTGACGCAACGACACTCTACTTCCTGTTTGTATCGATTTTAATTGATTCCGTTCTGGCAAAATAAACACACATGTAAAACAACAGACGTATATTAACGATGGAAATTCCGTTCTGGCAAAATAAACACACATGTAAAACAACAGACGTATATTAACGATGGAAATTCCGTTCTGGCAAAATAAACACACATGTAAAACAACAGACGTATATTAACGATGGACATTTCCGTTCCGAAAGGAATTATAACATGCAATCTTGGATATTTTGATTTTTATTATTATTTTTTTTTTCAATTGTAAGTTGTTGCTGTTTTCAATATAATGAAGTTGACGTAACTTATCTGTTCTTTGTAGACAGAATGCGACACTAATGGTTTCAAACATATGAATAAATTACGACATTACGGCAATTATAGCTCTTAAAATTCCCATTCAAACTACAACACGAAATTCGAAAACTTCGAAACGTAACATTAAACAATTAAAGTATGTCTTCGTTGATAAAAAAATATCATTTCTAGCATTTCAACCTGACAGTGCCATTTATACATTATGTATTTCTTCCATACAGAGTCCAAAGTTTTGACTTATTTCCTTCAAGACAACGTCACGAATTTGAAATTCAGTACACCCCTTCCAAACAACGCCCCAAGTTTGACATTCGTTGTCCTGAATTTTACTATCTAACACTGTAATATCCATTCTAAAACTTCAGAATTTGGTTTCTAGTTTCTTTATGACTTCCTGTTCAATCAAGCCTTCTAGAAAATGATATGACAAAACAAACCGCACCTATACCGGTAAAGGTTAAGCTAAAACTTGGTCGGATGATAAAGTTATGTCCTTGAAGACAGCACCTGTCATGGCGGTTATAGTTACTGTATAGAGGAACCAATATCCCCACCGCTTTCCGGTGTTCATTGATCTACTCTGATTTTGAAGTGTATTTAGACTGGAGGTACTAGTAGGGGTTTCCAAATCGGTCAGAATTTTAAAAAAGTAATTTTGTTAAATGGTATAAAAGCTCCATATCATTATCTTGTTTGTGTTCTTAATAATCGATACCGTTGTAATCTGTATTCCAACGGAGACCGTCGAACACTTTTATTACGTCGTGATTCAAGCCGCGAAAGCTCAGACGGGTAGAATATGTGTCTACCTAACCCCATCTTGGATACTCAAGCGGTTACGCTCTCTACATCCCTGGAACATGTCGTGGTAAAAATGAAGATTCCATGTGCGACATCTCGTGGACAAGACAATACTAGTTTCATCCTTTGATATATCAATGTAATTATATATATATTAAACGAATCTCGAGGTCGTATAACGGTGTATTGTAATGCTTTGAAATTGGGTGTCGCTCCTTTGTAATCTTCAAAAGAAGCGTATCAGCCTGTAATTGGTCAGTGTTTTCTCTTGGAACCAGTAAAATTACTTCATTATGCCTTCAATTTTGCTATGACATGTTCCAAGGGTGCAGAGTGAAAGTGATTGTAACCCCGCAGTAGTTTCGCGGATGACGTAACATCAGCCCGTAGAGGCGTTGACGCTCATTACCCGTGGCAGTTCGTTTCTGAGGAAGATAGGAAACAGACCAGTCTGTGCTGTCGTGATTGTGCTCTTGGGCAAGACACTATATCTTTATTGTCATAAATATCATGCGACGGGTTTCCTGAATGGTGTTCAATTAGGTAGCAACCAGCTGTTACAATAAGGATAACCCGCCTCAAAATGATTCTGGACAATTGATCTCTCTACCAAGTTCTTTTCTGATATATGTACATATATCTTGATGTTTGGTCAAACTTTACACAATAGTAAGATATGTATGTGTTCGTGTTTCAAGGTTTCTATTTATAGAAAATAAACTTTATTAACTTCATTTCTCAAGGGATTTCTTTTGTCAAACTCTTCACAAAGGACAGCTATGAAATAACTCGAGCGTGAGTATGTATCAGGGAGAATGTCACAAGTTTGCTTTTATTTCAATGTTATGTTACTAGTTATTTATGAATGTTTGTAAAACAATTTTACAAATGTGAGTCAAGGTAATTAAATTGAAGAACCTAGGAACCCCTTCAGCCTAGCAAGCTGCAGCCCAAATATCAGTACCCTGGACCTCTTACTTACTGAGAGATTTTAAAATATTTGACCTATGTGACCTTGGAAGAACTTCAGAGCCCTTCAACTTAGCATGCCACATTCCCATTATCAGTACCCTGGGCTTCTTAATTATTGAGAAGATCTTTAATAAAAAAAGATGACGACAGCTAAAACACTTAGGTTAAGAGAGCAAAATATGAAGTGGCAGGGTGTAGTGTGCCTTTCTCTTCCAAGGTTGACTTTAGAAATATTTCACACCCTTGGATAGGTTAGGATGATCTAAATCCAAGGTAGATGTTCTTAAGTTTGCTACACAAGGCGTGTCAACATAATAATCCTTTCCTGGGATTTGAGATTAAAAGGATTTTTATGTAGATATGTTTCATGGACAGGAAAATCTTAAAAGCAGTGAAAAAGAGCTAGGCAAAGCAGACGGAGACTTCCTTTTATCTGCCTTTGAAATACAGAATAATATTTCCAGTTCTGTACCAGTTCTGAGGGGAAAGAACAAAAGAACATTAAAAACATCTAATATTTTATTTAAAAAGGAAGAACATACATAATTATATAGAAGACACAATGATGCTGCTCTACAAATGAGGTTGATAATGAGAAGAAGCCATTTTAATCCAAACTTTAGGAAATTGGTAAATTTACCTCCAACTCCATGTTTATACATCAACATTTAATGACAAATTAATAAATTGTTTGATATCCTAATTTTTTTCTAAAATTTATTTTTACATCAAAATAGTAAACATTTCTTAATTTAAAGCAGAAAGCCTAATGTTGACAGAACTGACATTAAAACAACAAGTCTTTTTCTTCTCTCCGTTAATATTTTTTTTCTTCTTTTCTGATTGAGATTTTGTTCTTCTTACTTCCAAATAACTGAAGTTTCTGTTGTATGGATATGAGGATATCACAGTGATTCAGTAACAACACAAGCTGCATATTAACACACTAAAGCATGTGGACACAATAGCACTTATAGAAATATAACTAAAACACAAACTGTCCACAAACAGCACTGAGTATTCTTAAACATGTACATTTATAACAAACGAAAGGGAAAAAGTTCTACAACAAACTCTTAATTGTTATAGTGTAAATTTTTCCCACACAAAATAATATTTTATAACATTTGTAATAATCATTATTTCAAATCAATTATTTATCTTAATGTCAACTCTTTGAAATTCATACAATATCATTGATTTATGCTGGAGTTCTTTACCTTTTAACAGATGCACAGCACCATTATCAAAACTGCTAAATATTGATAAGCTTCTTTCAACATAGAATTTTATTTATTAGTTCCTACCTCTACATGCGATAAGCCATTATTACACAGAAGAATATTTTTCAACCACAGAATTCATTTTCTGTTTGTTATTGTTCCATATATGTATATTTTGTAATATGCTGTTTGTAGTTTGTAAATTATCATAAATATCTACTCTAAATATAATGCATTTCCTTATTAGGAAAATCTCATAAAAATTCAATGGAGAAAAAAACATTCTACCGTAGATTTAAAATTCGGATTCGCACTTCCCGAATGATGTCTAGTTCCTTGGCTACTTGTCATGTTTTGAAAGGCTGTACCTGTTTCTTTTATGGTATAAAGTTAAATACGATTCTAACGTCTCCAACACTCAGATCTTTGGTAAAACAAATTCTTCCCCTAAAATTTTTATCATACTCAACATGGAATATTACCATGAAACACCAAGCATTGATGAATGGTAATGAGGTCTACCCAACACATTCACATCAACATGAACAAAATTCAATGTCTTCTTTACCTCCTGCAGTAAAAGTCATTCTTTGAGTGTGATGACTAAGACTTTTGGAGTTATTCCCCTTTACTAAAAAAACGTAATCCAGCTTGTTGCTAGGTATGTAGATATCAGGTGAGCAAGAGACATTTTATGTACCATTAAGTTATAATGAGGAAGTCTACCAATAAATGAGTCCTTATGTTTTTCTTGTTATGTCAGAAACATATTAATGAAGAATTTTACTCTAACATCATAATATTTGTGGGGATTTATTTTCATTGAATTCGTGTTAACTCTTAATCCATTGATTCATATGTCCACAAAATGATAACTAGATACAAATTACAATGGATTATGTGCCAGTGGATTTGTTAGATAAGATTTATCTATAAAATCAAGTGCAAAGATACAAATTTTATCACACCACGAATTTGGAGTTCAAAGAAAATATATGACTTCACTGAAATTGACAACATTTAATTTGTATCATACTGCTTAAAATCAGTTGCCATAAGAAACCCTCAGGAGTATCAATATACCAGATCCAACCATTTGTAGAAATACCTTTAGTACAGTAACAATCAAAGCTTGGATGTCTCAGTTCCCAACCTGTGTATTCAGTTTCCTTTACACCTAAAAAATCCCAGTAATCTATCATTTCATGATTCTGCCAAAAGCTGGGGAAGCAAAAAAAGGATTATTGGTACATTGAAACAGATTATAATAGAAGCTTTTACATCATCTGAAACACTCAGAGTATACACAAAGATGGGTTCTCATACAACAAGATGAATATCAATGCACAAATAGAATGTTTCTGGAAAAGGCAAAAAAAGAAAAAAAAATTAAAAGACAAACTGTGTAGATTGTAAATAATTTCAAAATTTATAGAATGCAATTCAAAATGTTTAAACTGTAGACAAAAAAACATTAAACATTTTCCAAATAAATTTTCTGCATATGTTTTTACTTTTCTATAGCAATGCACATTATATAGCATTTGTTACAGATGAAGTTCAAAGTTTTCAGACTAAAATAAAGCTACCAGTCATCAAGAGCTTCTATCACATTGAAGAAAATTAAATTCTAAAATTTGAAATAGATGACATCCTATATCAAGATCAATGATAAGATATCACTTGCTGGTTCTAGCACACATCATTTCAGCATTTTGTGTCATAACATTGCATTGCATCATACAAAATTGATCGATTCTCAACTTGCATTGTAGATAAATAAATATTTATGTCCATATACAGTGCATTCGAATCTACATGTGAATACAACAATATTTTAAAAACACAAGTAGACTTGGTCTGTTCACAACACATAAAAGACAAATACTTAGCTCAAGAAACTCTAATGTAACAAGACCAAACTTCACACTTGTCAAGCTTCCATGGCAAGCTATTAAGGTGGAATGGTGTCAGCATTTTATCAAGAATTTTCAATTTCGGCAGTGACTTGATGTTTCATAAATTCTCCATTCATTTCAGCGACTAATTCTCTCAAATAATCCACCAATTTTAATATTAAATGAGCATTAGTTCTTTAATCAGATCTCTAAGGTTAAAGGGGTTTTTTTTGTTCAGTAGGACATCCTTGCTTAATTCCCTGCTATCATTAAACCTTTAATTTTTCAACATTAATAATCAATTTCCTTCATTTCTTGTTTAACTAAAAAAATTGCATTGCAAGAGAATATTTTCCTTTGTTAATATGTGATTCAATCATGCATGTACCAAGGTTGCATAGTGTCAGAACACTTGCACCAAAAAGTATTGCAAGTATTTCTTTTGAATGAAGGAATCAAGATATGTTCTGACCACTTAATACACAACCTGCATGAATAACTCCTGATTACAGACAGTTATAGAATATTACACAGCAATCACACACATCATTCCTTTAACTTCTGATGCAGATGTTTTGCCACACTGACCTCCTACACCAAAGTACAACATCCACGTTGTTAGTGCATTGTACATCCTATGTATTTTCCAAAACATGATTTTTCAATAATATACTATACATGAAATAATAAATTTTCTACCAATGAAACACCAATCTTTTGGTATTATACTTTTCTTTATAAGTTTATTTTAAAAACCGATAATTCAGATGTTATGTCAAGTTTACAACTTGGAAAATATATATATATACACTGTAATGAGTAAAACCTTTGTTTAAGTTGACCACTTAAGTTATCTCCCTTGTTTTTAGTAATTGCCCTTGCTTTTTTTCAACCTTAGTCTTTTGAAATTGCAGTGATTTTCTGTTTACACCCGTAGACCAGAGTTGGGACCTCCCAGGACCTCATATCTCACTTCTTTAGACCTGCAGAACAGGACACAGCTAGAGATCATTCCCAACACCTGTAACAGACAAAAATATCGTCTACACTTGTATTAGAACAAAAGTATCATCAACAACTTTTATAGGACGAAATCAAAATGTCAACAGTTGTAACAGGACAAATAATGTAAGTGTCAGAGCTGGACATGCTGACAGGGATACAATGTCCATTTTCTGACATTTAGAAATGAATAAAGAAGTTACCTGGATCACAGCAAAGGCCACAGCGATTCCAGCTATGTATCTCAAATTTGTCAAAAACTTGTTGTTCAGCTCAGGCAGACAGGCCTTAAATACAAACATGAAAATCTGATTGGATGGCCATCACAACAGGAATATCTGATGGATAAGGAATAATACAATGGAGGATCTGATTAAATAAGCAACTGATAAAATAAAATATCTGACTTCATCATCTGTAAATATTTCAATGCCAAAATAAAGCACCTTTCCCTTTCATAACACATTCCCTTCCAGACATCACATTTAATTCTACTGACAATATTTACCTCCATGGATTACTTTTCCTTACATAAAGTATGCACTAAAAACACATGACACTTATTCCCACCTTCTGAAAGATGTCTGTTCCATTGATGTTCTGGGTACAGTTGTTCTGGTGTATACAGCAGCTCAGTGGCACCTTGCCAGGGTGAGACAGGGACCATACTTTGGCTGTTTCCCAATCAGACACATTGTTGACACCACAACACTTCAACTAAAGAAACCAATACACAGCAGTCAGCATGTAGCTTTGGATGTGTGTTAAAGCTGTATTTCTATTTTAAACATCTGGGTAATGGCCCATGTCAACATATATCTATAAAAGCAGTAAGTCATCTCACCGATGAAACGAAAATATCTTTAAACAGTGTTAACTTTAACAAGGACATAGCCATCAAGATCCCCTGCCCATTTTCATTTGTAAAATATATACATTAAAAGTGAGCAACATAGAAAACTAGAAAAGATATTAGCCATCAGGTTACAGCAGCATCGTTAAATATGTGCAGAATTTGTCGATAATCAAACCTGAACAGGGAATTAAGGTAATAAGTCTACAAAGCAAGTTTCCTAAAAACCTTGTCATTCCTTCAGAAGATGATGTGCAGAAAGATTTCACATAGAGTGATTAAAGAAATCAGTAAATTAGGTCACAGCAGCCTCATTAAAAATGTGTGAAATTTGCTGTTAATTAAACTATTGCAAGGGATTGAGGTAACAAATGTACCAACCAAGTTTCATCAAAATCCTACCAGTCCTTCAAAAGATATGCGGAAAGCTGCATTCGGACGGTAGGACGGAACCCATTTGAATATCCTCCGCCAATAATTACTATGGTAATTTTGTGATCTTTTTCTTTGAATACTTTATCAGATTTTCATTCACATATCATTGAAATAATTGCCTTTGTATAAATATGCAATATTGTTTTTAAATAGGGAGCATCTTTGATATCATCAATTTATCGTGTACAAACTTAGAACTGAATCAGCAAAGCAACTTTTTCAAGCATATAATTTAGGGGAGAATCTAATGTCAATGGAAAGCAATACTGAAAGTACTTGTAATGTGTACCTCTTTCTGCAGGTACTCCATCTGGTGGTCACTCTTTGTTCCATTGTACTTATCAATGGCCTGGTTCAGACCATCACGAACTGATCCCTCCATCTGTCAATCAATATATATGATATAGCATTGAATGTAGGAACTCTGCAATAGCTTGGGAGTTTTTACCTTTCATGATTTCCCACATTTTGTGAAATGAAAATGTTTGCAACCCTCACATCACAAACTTTGGCAATCTTGGATAAAAACATTTTCTACAACTGAAGGTGGGTTACAAAATTCAAAACATCTGAAGATTCATTAAAAACCAAAAAGTGGTAGGGTTATGTTTAATGAAGGGCAATAAATTGAACAAAATAACATTTCTTTGTAACTTTAGTGTAGAGGAATACTATGACAGTGGGGGTCTATCATCATACATAGGCTTATTACAATGTAAATAAACATGGACTTACATCATCTCTGAAAGCATATCCCAAGGACCCTGCGGCTATTTCTGCTGTGAGAATCACAAGGAGAATAGAAAACAGCTGCAACAAAATCATTTCAATATATGAAAGTTATTGCTGCTACTTTTTTAGAATGACATTTTTAACTTTTTAGATATTTCTGAATAAACCAAATTAACAAATACATACAGGTTGTAGATCTAGATTTTAATAATACAATGTATTTATCATTTCCTAGAAAATGTTATGAAGATTCTGGTTGTTTCAAAGCCAATTGTAAAGAATGTTTGAATATTAAGACAATTGCATTTTAGAGATATTACATAATGGACATCATCAAAACACGATACGTACAACTGCCAGAAGACATTTGTTTTCTTTCATTGAAGATGCGCAGGCAAGGAGTCCAACGATGAACATGAACACACCCACTGCTATCACAATGGAAGCAGGGATAAGGGTCAGATTGGCTGTTGTCAGTTCATTGAAGTGCTTGTATGTCTCAAACACCCATCCTCCAACAAAAAAGAGACCTGCTGCAGCACCCTGAAAAAATACATAAAAATCCCAACATAAATTTTCACTCCTGTAAGTATCCACAGGGATAGTATGGCTCAATTGGTTTTTACATTGAAAACGTCAGGATCGTGTCTTAACTCGATTTCATTACACCGTTCACCTGGTTAACATATACAGTTAATTATATAAGTAATTTGTTACTTATTGTTTTTATGGCACTACAGTTGAAATATGTCATCAGAGACTTTATCTTTTAGTTCCAATGACTATGTAGTTTGACAGTAGATCTTGCATTGCACCAAACATGTCACACCACCAGCCATATCCAATACAATTTTGCTATGATAAACGTATTCCATACAAGACAAGTGAACACAAGGTATGTTTATGAAACACTATGCCCCTGGTTACAAGAAAAGTCTTAAGTAGGACATTAAAACTGTACTGTGTAAGGCATGTGCTAATTGCATGCACACTTTGTGAAACAAGTATGTGTTCATTGTGGTAATGATTTTACAGTTTTAGTTCAATAGTTATGGCTATTGTTAAAACTGTCACAAGGAACACACATGCCAAATATGAAAGCCCTACCTCTTATGATGCAATAGTTATGGGCAAGATTCAAGCTGACATCAGACAAACAAACAAACAGCACAAGAACAATATATCCCTGATCTTTCAATCCACTGGGCATTGAAAAATATGTATGGGGTGATATATGATTGGACATCTAGTGTATAAAGGGGTATTATATGCATGTATTATAGATTTGATCATATTTGACAGTATTGGGTAGTATTCTGCTTGAAATTATAAGATTTTCTGGGACAGGATTTTACTAGACAGAATTACAAGTATAATATGTAATTATTTAGAGTTAATACTCCATAATTTCATGTTAAGGACACTCTTAGACACTGTATATGAGGTACATGGACATAATGGAATAAAGGATGTAGGTATATCAGTACATAAAATCAGAAAATAATTGAAGACAATTGAATTTTGGATGTATAAAAATGATCTCCAATTATTGGTTATATTGATATATATATGTATAAAGGTTCCAGACATATACTTAAAGTATGATCTTCATATGATCATTTTGGTGGATGAATGTGATTGGAGTGGTAATAATTGATCATGCCCAGTCAAATGGTTATAGAAGGTTGAAAGTAGTGAACTTCCAAAAACGGGTTGAATATTTTCTCGTGTATTGGGGATGGGTAGGAATTTCAACATCAATTATCATTTATTATAACTGGCAACTGACAACCGATCAATTACTTGCTTAGCTTGTATATATCCAATTACTGAACACAACAGTGGCCAATAACGTTTCATCAATTCACAGTTTGAGCAATGCATATTTCAAGTTCCCAAATATAAAATATATGTTTTAAATTGATCAGTCCTACTGATACTAGAGACTGTTGTATTATAGAAGATGAGGGTAGTCATGGTTACGTTTCTAGTCTTGGCTAGTGCGAATTCCTCTTTAGTCTAATGGTAAATTTCACTGTATAGCCTCTGCACCAGAATCATCTGTATAAATGGAGGTGAAAATCACAAAGAAGAATTCAAGTTAAAGGCCTAATTCAAGCCCCAACAGGAGCCATGTTTTTCAATACTCCTGCCAATTACCATTGTACACATTAATCAGATGCATCATAATTTAAGAAGATCTAAATAGTTTCATTTTTAAGTAAAAACATAAACCAATCATGTTCTCAATTTTCAGATACTATCAACAATGACAGTGCAATTGGTTTCATTTCACAGGAAAGAGTTAATAAATCCTTGCATGCAGTTGTATACACGCAACATTATCACACGAGTGTATAGTGTATACTTGATTTCAGTGACTGATAAGCTGGAAAGTTAAATTGTTTGGGAAAATGAATTGAAATATTTTAACTGCTTTGGCACTTAAAGTGAAAGATATACAACAGTTAGACTAGGATACTGCAATTGAAAATTATTGAGGCCAATTTAATTGGCAAAATCGTATTGCAAGAATCAACCAAATCCTACAGATTAATTGATTATGTATGCAACTGATGTCCCAACACTAGTAGTTGGGTCTATTTTGTGGTGTAATATTCGATCCACGCTATAAATATTCTAGCTAGCCGCTGATATCGGTAGTATCTATATACACAGAAAGTATCTAAAAGTTTTGAAGAAAATACAGTTTACATATCTCAGATATTACATCATTTGCAATTAATAGTTGATATTGGAAGTATTTCAGTATCAAGTTGGTATTGGGTATTGAAATATGCTGCTGGACACTGATGTTTACTTCATTAATAGATAGAATCTAATTTAAATCTTGGAAGGTTTATCAACTAAATATAAGTGTACAAATTTCCTTATCTAAAATAAAACCACATGAGATTCAGAATACTATCTGATGGACTCCTCAGTATCTTTACAAAATAAAACTAGTTATTTTATTCCAGGCAACTGATTTAGCCTTTCGATTTATGCGACAGATTGTCAGACTGAAATACTGTGGTAAATGAGTGCTTTAACAACATCCTTACCAAATCTGTAGGAATCTAAGTTTCATTTGTGAAACAGCATGACAAAGATGAATGATATTGCTTTCTTGGCATTAGCCCTACATTTTTTATGATTTCAAAATTTCAAAACTTCATCCTATAAACATAAACTATTATACCACATCGAAAGCATCAAATTACATTATTTTTAACACAACATCATTCACTGATCAACCTTACAATGTCATCAATTATCAGAAAATGCGTCATTGCTGGATCTGTCGAAATCGTGAATAATGACATGGACCGATCTCCATAGATGATGCGGTCCAAAACGTAAACACTAATTTCGTGACGAGTTTAGAACAACTCCAAATGACAAATACCATTTTGGAACAAGAATACTCACCCAAAATATCAAACCTATGAAAATCAAGCATATCTTTGACGGTAATGTACATCCTGACGACATTTTGATGGTTTTAGTCTACGGTTTTTCAATCTCTCATACAGGACTCCGTTCTCCTTCAATGACAGTTTGTCATGTGATTCGAGATATTGTACTCTCTAACCTAATTTTATCAAATGTTCTCAAATAAAGATTACATAAATATGACCTCAGATTTAATGACAAATTTAAAATATATCAGATAGTTTCTGCGAAACGTCGAGTTTTAAAAACGTTTTTCTTAAAGATATCGAGGTTAAAGAGTATGCTCACGATTTTTTTAAAGGAATAATGAATATAACGAAACGAAATTTAGTGATAACCAAGAAATTGATATCAGTATTTATTTATATGTACTAGACACTCAATTTCTACCTATAAAACTATACATATTTTTAATGAACCATTTATATAATTTGAGTTATATTCAATCCATTCCGTAATAATAATAATCATTATTTCCCATCTTCGCTATATGTGTCATGTACAGAAATTTGTAGACACTATTTGTATGGTGCTGTTATGGTCATAAATAATTGAGAAAAGAATAAGATCACGTGTTCCGGAAGAGTAAGCGTTTTCTGCTTCATTGACGAAGCCAGCTATGCATTACAAGAGTATTTATCCGCTACGGTATGAAATTTCAGAAGCCATCTATGCGCTTCTCTAGATCTTACTCAGATAATTAAATTTGAGTTATCGTTAATATTGTACACTTTCCGTATTATCTGCATTTAAGTTTCTTGGTGGTTAAGAAACTTTGAACCCATTTGATTATTTCTATTGATAGCCTGTATGCGTTTAATTTGATTATGAGTCGTAGATGTGGGACTGTGTCGAACGCTTTCATTAAATCTATGCAAACTGTTTGATTTTGCATTTAAAAAGTTTATGTCAAGCCCAAGATATTAAACCTCATATTATTGATAAGACGATTATATCATATATGGGATGTTTAAAGGGTGTTGTAATTAATTGCATCGCCTAACATTTTTACGTTCAGTAACATATTTTGTAACTGAATATAAAGTCAATTTCATATAATTTAATTAACATCATATTACAAAATACATGCAATTAACAATTACATTTCAAAAACACGCTTCATTTATGACTGAAGATGATAGGGTAAATTTTCCAGCAGCATAGTTTAAAATATGGATTTCCCTCAATGCAATACAGAATTATTCTGTCGTTTATAAATTAGCTTTCATGAAAAATTCTATGCAAGTCGACACACAACTTTATGTTCTTAATATAAATTTTCCATTGTAAAGGTTATGTATTTTTATTAATATCATCCTTGTAATGGAACATATCCTGATATATTTAAGGATGTAAATTGAGAGAAATATAATATTCGTTTCGTTTATATTTTTGATTGTTAATTTGTAGAAGTTGATAAACTTCCCATCAACCACCATTCAGGTCTCCCGGCGGCCATTTTATTGGGCTAGCACGAATACACACCACCGCAAGCATGCTTACGGCACGGTTTGCATCTTCCTTGGCTAGGCAGCTGCCAAGAACAGCTACAAAGGTAAAAGCATTCGTGTTTGATAAAATTTATTTGAAGAATTGGAAAATTATTGTTGTATTTACAAAGTTATTCTGATTTCTTTCTCCAACCTTGAAAGCCCGGTCGCCGGTGTGCTTGTCCTATCAAGCCGGTGTGGTAGATTTGGTTCGTCCCAGGAGCTGTTCATTAGAATATAGAATGACTTGCTGCATATTTCTGTAATCTCTTTCTAACAAGCATCAAACGAGATATTCATCTGGTGAATTGTGCGTTTCCAAAGTCTACCGCTGGTTATTAGAAAAATCCAAGGTGACCAATGCCAAGGTCAAAGATTTAGAATTTCAGTTTGTCAAAACTAATATAACATTTCACTAACTGTACTATGACAATCATTGTAACGTGTTTTGATAAACTTGATGAAACCTTAGACTTGCATTCATTTTTCATGGTCTAAGTAACAGGTTTTGCAGATAAGATTTGAAAATAGTTTTAACCTTGTTTACTGCGCTGATTGACTGAAGAACCGAACAAATCATTGACAGTTGACTAACGTGATATATTCGTCTTTCGTTTCGGTTTCATGCATTTTTTTCTTTGAGCAACTCTGAAATCAGCATTGACATTTGGACCAGTCATCAAAAGTTACATTCTTTAATATTTCAGTAATATTAAACATTGTGAAGGAAAGTCATTGTCTAAAGTGAAGAAAATGATTAAAGGACAATCAGGAAAAAATAAGTAAGATCTAATGTAAATATGGTTTAGGAAACAAGAAAATGTTTTTCTTGTCAAGCAAATATGTAAAGTCTAAGCAGTAATGTACCTTCATGTGTGTGTTTTTCACAGGTATCTAGACATGCCTTGGGAGCTGGTTTGGTTGCATCAAAGAAATTCACAACATCTCCTGTATCCAAAGTAGCTGGTAAGAAACAATATTGATAAATTGTATTTTATATAGATGGAAATAATTATTTCAACTCCCTTACCCATTTGTATTATTCGCATTTAGATAATAAATGGCTCATAATTACCTATTTTCCTCCTATTCATGAAATTATTCAATAGTTCAATGACATTATTTGAACAATGCTGAACATTTCCTGAAATATAGGTTTTATATCAAAAGTAGAATACGAAATTGAGATTTTTTCAAGCCCATGTTTTAATAACAAGAACAATGAAGAAGTGATAAATTCTATGCTGAAGTTAGCAATTTCATTTTGGGAATTTTATCTCTTAGTGATCTCAGTATTAAAGATCATCTTTGAAAGTCAAGGTTTTGTATTACATTCAACCTGACCTACTCTTTATATTGATTTTTACTTGAAGGTGGGGAAGTGTCTTCAATTTTAGAAGAAAAAATTCTTGGAACCTCTGCATCACAGGGAAACATTGAAGAAACCGGAAGAGTACTGTCAATTGGAGATGGTATTGCTCGTGTATTTGGACTTAAAAACATTCAGGCCGATGAGATGGTGGAATTTTCCAGTGGTCTCAAAGTAATTGTTGAATTACAATGCATAACATATATTAATGCCATGGAATATGAATTTTGTTATTGCTAGGGCATAGCATATTTTTTCTGTGATTTTCTTTGATATGGTTTTAAAAGAAGAAGAGATAAGATTAATGTTAGATTCAATGTTTCTGTAATTTGGGGTTTACTGATTTCTGTAAAATTTGATTCTGGTCTTAGTTTTTTCAAATCTATAGACATAGGATTTGTGTTAAAAACATTTCATGGTGTTTTTAGGAAATTTTTGTTCTGGCAAACATTTTATGTGCAGCACATGTGTAAAATTAGGGAAGGAACATGGAATAAGAATTTCTGCATTTTGTGTTCTCGTCAGAATTTGACAGGATTTAAAGATTTCAACAATTCTGATGACTTCATTCCGTGATAAATCTAAATGCGAGTCCCAAGTCCTGTACTCTTATAGTTTTGATGGGAATAGTCAAATTTCTGGAACTAATGAAATTTTACATTGTGGGACCCTTTGTTTTTTGCAATAAAGATTTGTAGTAAATTAACTTAAGTGTATGCTAACTCCTTTGAATGATTTAATTGTACAAAAGCGGTACAATTCCTGAAACCAGGTTCCAGTTAGTATTTTCTTCTTTTGTCTACTGTGCTTGTAAATGTGTCTAAGATTGGTAACCACTGACTTTATTCGAAGAAAAAAATTAATATTCCTTTTAAGCAAAACACAAATTCTTGTGTACATAAATAATTGTTGGTGATGATATGGTTTTGCAATGCGACTGTCGTGACTGAGTTGGGGTTGTCACATTGATAACCAGAGATTTTCTGATATTTTGATAAAAGTGTTCAAATTTGTGATAATTTAAATCCCACAATTTGGCGAGTAGATGGAAAATTATAAGACTGAATTTAGCACTAGCTTACTGAATTGAAATCTAAATCTTTCTACATAGTGTATTTTATACGTAATAACAAAAACTTTCCTTCTTAATTTTGTACTTGAAATATCCTTTTTCATTCACATGTATATACGTCTTGCCTACAGTATTTTGTGTTTACGTTCCTAGGGTATGGCCTTGAATTTGGAACCTGACAATGTAGGTGTGGTAGTGTTTGGTAATGACAAGCTCATCAGACAAGGTGATGTAGTCAAGAGGACTGGTGCCATTGTCGATGTTCCAGTCGGAGAGGAATTACTGGGAAGAGTAGTGGATGCTTTGGGAAACCCCATTGATGGAAAGGTAAGACTAGTGGTATTTTGGCAGCGAAATTGCTTAGCAGGGAAAGGGGAAGTGTGGTAATATTTCAAATTGGTAGGGATTGTCATAGAAAATAGTTCCTAGCATATTCAGTAGTTATGACATGTATAATTTGAAGCCTGAAGTTACAAAACAATGCAAAATGCTGGATCTTTCAAGTAGATACTTTTTCCTTCTATCAATATGATAGCGTGTCTACAAATAAAACATTTTAAAAACCCACTATTAAGTATATCACCCAGTTAATCATGATGTTTTTTATTAATTCGAAATTGTAAGGGCACATTTTCATTATGTATTGGAGAATGCTATGTAAAGTATACAGAATTAACAATATACTAATATTTGTATGTTTGATCTTTTGACTACTTTAACTTCATTTACTTGTCAGATTGTGTTCTTGATATCAGGTTTTTAATTTTAAAACATTAATCTTGCTCTAATTTACATTCAACCTTTATTTACTTTTTATAGGGTGCCATTACCGCTAAACAGAGGGCTCGAGTTGGAACAAAGGCACCTGGTATTATCCCCCGTATATCTGTAAAGGAGCCCATGCAGACTGGTATCAAAGCCGTGGACAGTCTAGTGCCAATTGGCCGAGGTCAGCGTGAGTTGATCATTGGAGACAGACAGACTGGGTATGTATTAAGTTCATATCGAAAACACTAGAAGCTTCCTCCTTTAGTAACTATGAAAAATACAAGATAAGAAATTTCATTTAATGGAGAAGCTGGTTATCTTGTGATGTTTCTTGCAATATATATGTATGTCATATTAATTGTTATTATATTGTAACAACAGTAAAATATGAAATAATCATACATTAATTGGTGTGCATTTTATTTAAATATATCGTGTGTTTATCTTAATTATTTTCAAGTAAAACTGCTGTTGCTATCGATGCCATCATCAACCAGAAGAGATTTAATGATGGTACTGACGAGAAGGCTAAGCTATACTGTATCTACGTTGCCATTGGCCAGAAGAGATCAACTGTTGCCCAGATTGTGAAGAGGCTTTCAGATGCCGGTACTGATGTGAAAAATTCATAGTGCTTGTCATCGAAGATCAATGCATCCTCTAGAGTAGTAAAAAGAGGGGAAAAAGTCTTATTTTCAATTTGTGACTTCTAGCAGAATGTTTTTTTTTTATTAAGCAAACACTGATGTACTGAGTTTTGGATTTGTAAATTAATTACCTTGTGCTTCATACAGTATTTTCTGGGGGTAAAACAGCTCTTTATTAAAATCATACATCTGCTGTTAATAAGGCTTTGATGTCGTTTTGTCAAAGGTAAGAGAATGGCAGTCATAATTTCCAGGCTGTGTTAAGATGGTAAACAGTCTCAGGAAATCCTTGTGTTTGTTTCAGATGCTATGAAGTACACCATCATTGTAAGTGCCACAGCTTCAGATGCCGCTCCTCTTCAGTACCTAGCTCCCTACTCAGGATGTGCTATGGGAGAATTCTTCAGGGATAACAACAAACATGCTCTCATCATCTATGACGATCTGTCTAAACAGGTACTTTTATTTTCACTGCCTGATTTAATTGTTTTTAACATCTAACTGGAGTGTAACAACCATTTATTATGTTTCCTTGTTCATCAAATTGGTCACTTGGAACTCTTTTTAATTGTTGTGAAACTTTTGTTTTGCCTTAGCAAAGCTACTCCTTTCATATGTAATCTTCCCATTACTTCTAATGATGAAATGAAACAAAGGCAACTGTGAAGAATAACAATAAGTAGTACATGCAATTTGCCCAAAAGAGGACAGGTGAATTTTGTGAAAATAGAAAAAATATTAAATGTTGCAAGTTATTTGACTGAAATTGTATGTTTTAAGTTGAAGGTTACAGGTAGAATATTTCCCATCTAAACATTGTACAGTCGGAGACATCTGTCAACTCACTGTTTCTATTTTTGTGTTAGGCTGTGGCTTACCGTCAGATGTCCCTGTTGCTGCGTCGTCCCCCAGGTCGTGAGGCCTACCCCGGTGATGTCTTCTACCTCCACTCTCGTCTGTTGGAGCGTGCAGCCAAGATGAATGATGATCACGGTGGTGGCTCCCTTACTGCTCTCCCTGTCATTGAGACACAAGCCGGTGATGTGTCCGCTTACATCCCAACCAATGTCATCTCCATCACTGATGGACAGATCTTCTTGGAGACTGAATTGTTCTTTAAGGGTATCCGACCTGCCATTAATGTGGGTCTGTCTGTCAGTCGTGTAGGATCTGCTGCCCAGACCAAAGCCATGAAACAGGTGCGGAAAGATTCTAGACGTTTTGAGCAGTCAATGAATAGATATTGTAGGAAATAATGGTTTCTTGAGCCAGAATTTTATTTCTGTTTTTAATAAATGAGAAAAGAGAAAATTCCTGATGAGTAATTTAAGTAACAACAAGAATAAAATCATACCTCATCATCTAACATCATTACACCTGACTGTGATTCTGTTTGTGATAGGTGGCTGGCTCCATGAAGCTCGAGTTGGCCCAGTACAGAGAAGTTGCTGCCTTCGCCCAGTTTGGATCTGATTTGGATCAGGCTACACAGAACCTCCTTAACCGAGGTGTCCGTCTCACAGAACTTTTAAAACAGGGACAGTATGGTTAGTATTTTATTAATTGAAAATATATGATGATGATATTTCATATGTAGTCTTTGTATTTTATCCGAGTTAGGATAATTAAAAAAAAAATTGTGATTTCTGCTCTATATGATTACTTCATAAGCTCCCGTAATGGATTGTGGTAGTCTGCTAAAACTTGATAGAAACAACATGATTCAATGAGCTGGAAAATGTTTTGAAATTATAACACTATTAAGACTAGATCCAGGTGGCCACGAAGTCTCAAATATTCAGTGAACCCAATTATGCTAGTTTGACTCATTTCATGAGGTACAAACTCCTTTTGGCCAAGTTTATTTGATTCATAGTTAATAATCAGTTGTCCATATTCTATGATGCACACAGGAAGTGATTGCTCAAGTTACTTTTTGCATTTTCCTAGTTAAGTATTGATGGAGTCTGAATAATGTTTGCTTCCCATGGTAGTGATTTGAACTGTTAATACATGTTTCTATTTCAAGTACTGTGATTGTTAAGGTAGTTATTTGACATTTTCTGTATGTTTCAGTTATTTTGATTTTGACCTATTTATGTTTCAATATCCATGACTTTGACTTATTCATTGATTTCAGTTCCTATGGCTATTGAGGAACAAGTATCAGTCATCTATGCTGGTGTAAAGGGACATCTAGATAAACTTGACCCTTCAAAAATTACAACTTTTGAGAAGCAGTTCCTGGAACACATTCGCTCCTCACAACAGAGCCTGTTGCAGAAGATCCAAAAGGAAGGACAAATTTCTGAGGAAACAGATGCCAAGTTGAAACAAGTAGTCACAGACTTCCTTGTTGGCTTTGAAGCTTAACATGTTTTGTGACTATTAGGAACTCATTTATATCACAACAATAGTGCAGACGGTTTCTTTTCTTACGCGCAACAAAGTCGACAATGTGAAATCTGAGACATATTTATGGGACAGCGAGGTTGTTAGCGGTGTGTGTGTTTGTAAACAAAGGTAATAAGAAAACCAGGTACATTTTGTACAAGTGGGATTTCTATATTTCAAATGTGCTAGTGTTTCTTGAGAAACATTCTTGTGAATCTGGACTCCAAATGTGTGTCCTGACAATTACCAGGAATCTGTTGAATGATTGAATTAAATATTAACATCCAAAACTTGTGTGTCTTGTCTGTCTTTAACACAGGTTGACATTTAGCAAATTGATATGAAAAGATAATTTAGTTAAAGATGGAAAGGGCCTACAATTTTAAAACCAAATAAACTTGCTCTCTGGGCCCCTTCAGAAAGAATTCCTTGTAGATGTGTAGATATGCCAGTGATGAGAGGGAATCATTATCCTCATAATGATATATTTTAATCTCCAGGTCTACAAAATCTGGGACCAATTATCTAGGTTTTAAACTATGAATATGTTAGGTAAACAAAACATTAACATCACCATACTTTAGTCTGACCAGAATAAATCGTGTCATGTTGGAATGTTTGTTAGGTGGTAGATTTTTTTGTTAATGCTAGTTGTTATATCCCATCTACATAAAAGCTAAACTTTATGTGAACATATGATGATAAAAGGTGAACATAAAAGTCTGAACCGACTGCCAAAATGTCCAAACTTCTGCAATTCAAGTATCAAAGCAATGTACCAGTCTTGTATAAAAAAACATGAAGAATTTAAAAGATTTTCTATTTTTATTTCATAATAACTTAAATGTAGTCTATAAATAAATGAATGATAGAAATGGATTATTGCACAGAAAACAGAAAATAATAATATACTTCAGAATCCAAATTCTAATCATCCTGGCACAACACCAGTTAACAACTTCAACGGCAAAACAAAACATCAAAGCACTGAAGCACAGGAACCTAAAAGTTTTCTGAAAGTGCTCTATCCCCACCACATGAAATGCTCTCCCGAGTAAGCTTGAACAATCTCAAATTGCAAGCTCACCCGAAGCTACTTGCAGGGAAAAGATGTACATCTTCAAATCAACTAGATTCATTCTTAACATCAATAACATTTCTTCACCCTAGGAATAAGTCCCAACAGACATAAAGGCTGTACAGTTATATTTGGGATGCTAAGTCTACAAATTGATTGAAGGATCCAGCATATCTCTAATAAAAGAAATTTAAATTTTGACTTTTTATAAGGGCGACATGTTAGGACATATTCTAAGGTTGCAAAGAAAATATTTCTATGAGAAGTGTAACCTGTTGAATTTGAAAATGGCTAATGTTAAATACAAATAAATGTTGCGATAGTTCCAGTAGAGTTAACACACAAAAAATAAATATTGTGTACCTATATATACACATGTAGCCAATATAAACCTGTGTACATGATGCTGCTTCTTTTCAAACATGTTTTTAAATATCTGAATGAATGCACATTTCCACACTGAATATACAAAGCATGTATTTTTAACACTTAAAAGCAGTATTGCAAATATGTACAACTTAAATGTTCAAAAATTTGATTATTAAAACTTAGTTTAGTTTCATCCATGAAAAATATCTCCATCTCAAATTCAACAAAGAGTTTTACCACAAACCAGCCTTTTGATGTTAAAAACAAACAAACAAAATATCTCATTAACAAAAAACAATCCATAAAGAAAATAGCTTGAAAGCCATTAAGGCAAATTCTCAAAAATAACTTAAATATGCCCAAGAAATCCACATGTAGGTCGAAAGCTAATCAACAGTTCTTCTGCACAGAGAGTATGTTGGATAAAGGTAATGCCTCAATTCTTATCATTCTGTATTTAGGTGTTTTAGAACTAACAAGTTTGTGATATAGCTATAGGTACCAGATAAACTCCTTACATCTCAGAAAACAATGTAACAGTTAAGATATGTAATGAAATAGCTGAAGTTATCTCCCTTCAATCAGTCTATGAAGATGACAAAATGGAATCTTTGTAATCATGCTAAAAATATACTTATTCTCTTTATATCCTTATAATATGCCTGTTATAAAGCAATAATTAAACTTAAGTTTTTAAATTTTTTTTTATTAAGAAAAAAGATATGGTGTTGATATTTATTTCTACCACAATAGGTTGATGTTATTCAACTATCAAGGCATCAAATAATAATTCTAACTTTTGTGAATTAAATAAACATATATGTTATACAACGTGTGGTTTCACAATTTTACATGTTCCTATTGGCTGACAGGATGAATTTTGTTCGAAATTGCACTTCATGCCCTCACAGAAATTCAAGCTCAGAATAAAACAAGTTTATACTGTTCTTTTCATCATCTAATTTTTATACATTTACTGTATAACAGATGGACTTAAAAATACTAATTTGTTAATTTCTTGTTATAAGCTGTAATGAATTAAAAAGTTCTGGATTTGTGATTTTTGGAAATAAATTATCGGCGTTTTACTTCTGGTCATTCTATTGCACTGCAACCAAAGCTAGTAAACAAAGTCAATAGATTCTTAGTGTAGAATTTTTTTTCTTGTGGTAGAAGCTGGTCACACAAAGTCATGCTTGCTGTTCATAGTATTAAATTCAATTTTGTCAGTTTATTTTTCAGAAGTTACAAAAAACACAAGCTTTAAACTCACTTAAGCTAAATGAGAGAGAAATAAATACCATAAACAACATCCATGAGTTTGTGTAACCTCAGTTTCTACCAATTTGGAATTATTTTGGAATAAATTGTAATTCACAATATCCATAATAAAAACTTAATCTGACAAAAGATCAAACCAGATTCAAATCTTCATGCAACACCAGTAATTAAAAACTGATTCCCATAATAACATTAAGTAAACAAAAGAAAGCTATGTAGAAACTTTTCCACCATTAGATACGTTTCACCATGGACTTTGTAGTCTATGGTTTCACAAGGTCAGCATTCCAACATCTCCACATTTCTGACAGTGCATGATTAAAGCTAAAGCTAATTATAAAACATGTAAAACTATAAAGCTATTTCTCTAGACATTAAAAAATATATCTTTAAAAGCAAATGATGTGCTAAAAGTCTTTCAAAGACTCATAAGAAATGGATGGACTAGCACTGTTGTGAATACTGAAGCACTTTACAATAACCTACCCACCACTTAACAAATCAAGTTTGTGCCCTTCTCATGCTGAGATTGTGTTCTAATGGGCGTCTAAGCTTGAGAAGGTCTGTAAGAATGGACATTATATTTCTTTTGGTTTACTTGGTGTGTAAAACAAACACAATGACAAACATACTTTGGCATCGTTAATGTGAACATAACTCTACATCACAAACATTTTCACAAGTATGAAACACACCAAATAAAAATCCAAACATCAACAAAATTTTTCAAAAAGTGTGAAGGAATGATGAAAAAAATAAAAAAATATTGAACAGAATATTGTTCACCAGCAATTTAACTCCAGTCACTCAATTCTTACATTTTTCCAGAAAATATTACTGGTTTTACCAAATTATCTGAACAGCTGAACTGCCATATTGGAATTTATCAATTAAGCTTACAGAGAGTATTGAGAAAATGCCTGTTCAATTAAAATCTTAAAATGAATGAATGTAACCCTTCACATTAATATCAATGAAGGTGTTTAGTTTTAAAGGCTACTGAAGCATCACATATGTCATAACCCAAAGAGATCTGAATGCTAAATCACTAGATGTATCAGAATCGGTTACATGTACTTATCAGTAGGTGTATTAAACATTTCAGAACTTTGAGAAAAGGGAAAGGGAGAATGAACAAAAGGCAAAATTTGATCTGGCATCTTTCATGTCCATCTGAAACTGAATACCTTTCTTTTCAGTTTGTTACTGGTGAAATGCTATTTTTATCAGCAAGTTAGCCCGTGCTCACAAATATGCACCCTTGTTAATGTTTGTAAAATAATCAATTTTACAAAAAAAGTATCTGGGTAAGCAAAGTTTACGAAAAAAGTCCTACCGAAACTTGAATACCATCATTTTACACCAGGGGCTTACTTAAGCATAAATACTATATTATATTTATGACTTTCTTGCCTATTCAGGAGAAAGTATGTGTTTGGAGATTTTATCATACTTGACCTCTGTATCCTTGAAACAAGGGTCAAGATAATTTATCTTGACAAATGCTGTAACTCTTTATCCCAACATGCTACAATAATCCCAGCCCTTTGTTGATTCTGAGGATGATCAATGGAATATAGTGGGAAGTCAAACAGACGAAAGTCGTACCACTTGCCCTTCAGTCAAGCAAGCTACTAAAATTTGGCATTCAATGTATGAAATTTGGGACATGTCCACAGAGGAAGTAACACTTATTGCGAAATTTTAAATACACAAAAAAAAAAAAAAAATCAAGAATTACAAATTTATGAATGGAAGTAACTTCTTTAGGTTGCTTTTGCCTAATTCAACTGTAGAGTTTTATAAGAAAACACAAATCAGAAAAAAATATTTCTGTATGTAGTTAAGACTGTTTTGTACATTTATAAGGTAAAGTGACCAAATAGTTTAAACAAACAAGTAAGGACACAAAATTACACACCAATGCTTTTTGTTCGACCATTAACAATCAACTTGGATACGTTTATATCATACATACTTTAAGACTATGACATCAGCAACAAGAAACGATCACATTGGAAACAAAACTTTGTTGTAGTTGTCTATTTCATATAGAAACCTTTTCTACAATGATTCTGACTATATTTCCGCTACATATAAAACAATCACAACAAAATGATATGGTGTCCTTACTACCCTGCTGTCTATTCAAAATACTTTGATTATATTTCTTCATATTCATCTTTACTTTTTTCCATATTTAAGGTCTAAATAATGTCTTCTTAGTGTAAAAAATCAAAATTGCTGTAAAAGTAAAACCTACTACAGACACCAACATAATTAACACACCTTAATATCAGCTTGTGATACCTAAATAACTCTGGGTTCAATTCAAAAGTTTCAGTTTTACAAACATTCTCAACCTCGGAACGTTCCTTAAGTTTAATACAAGATAACATTATCAGTGCAAAGAAACAAATCACATATGAATATTCTTTTATATGTTAACTTTTGAAGCATTCTTTGGAGTGTTTTCCAAAAATGAATTTTCTTTAATTTGATGTTTGTCAAAGCTTCAGTCTTTTTGGAGTCTGACTAGGATTTCACACATATCTCACTAGCACACTTACTGTACTCAAATGACGCACACACAAATATACCAAACAAAATAGTAAAGCATTATGGAGCCCAATCTGTTTGCATTGCTGTTCTAGGCTTCATGTGTGTGAACGGCCAACATTTCTGCTGAGGAGGGAGGACGGAGACAATCCTGGATAAATGAATCCTCAGGTGTTAGGTGACCGTGACCCCTTTTTGAACACATTAAGACGACCAAATACCGAGCCCAGACGACGAAAACCTTTTGGTTTATGCGTTGATTTGTTTTCAAGTTCCCAAGCATCAAGTTCTTTTCGTCGGATCTCCTGCACAAGTTTGTGAAACACATCATCCACACATTTCCTTAAAACTGCTGACGTCTCAAAGAATGGACATTCTAGCTGTCTGGCCAAAGCTAAACCCTCTTCAACAGACACCTGTAAATATAAACACATATCTATCATTTGGCAGGCCTTATCAATTATGTTACATTTGTTTGTTTGTTCTTTGCTTCATCACAATTAACAGTAAGAGTACTTTTGAGGCAGGGTCTCCATATAGTAGCTGGTGGCTACTTCACTGAAGGCCCCTTGCATGCCATTCAGAGCAAATTGGTTTCTTGCCCATGAACACAACCACGATGACAAAAGACTTATTTGTTTCTCAGGTTGCTGAAAAACCACAACTGTCACAGATAGGGCTTGTTAAACCACACACCTAGTGTCTTCATCTGTTGAATAGACTATTGGGGACCTGCCATGTTATATGTCCAAGTCACAGATAAAGGTTAACACACATGTTATTTTAATATTGTGCTTTCATAAATAATTAGGTACCAATCTAGACAAAGAGCTTATTACTGAATTACTATCATAACTTTACTGTGTTATTTACCTTTCTCTTTTCCTCCAAGTCACATTTGTTGCCAGCTATTACTATGGGGATATCCTCTCTACATCGTACCCGGTTGATGAGCTTTTTGTAGGTGAGGACCTCGTCAAAGCTACGACGGTCAGTGATTGAGTAACAGATGATGAAACCCTCACCTTTTCTCATATATTGCTCCCTCATAGCATTGAACTCCGGCTGTTGGATAGACAGAAATGATTTCATAAATATGTTTAAAATCATTCCATATAACATGTTTGTATTGCAATGTTCATATGAACAGTAAAAAGTGCTCAATATCCTGTGTCATTTGTCTAAAGAAAATGTGATAATATTTGGAATGTGACATTAAAAGTTAACATTTTAAATTAAATGTCTAAATGCAGCACCTCTTGGGGAGCAACACATTACCTCTTTGGGAGCAACACATTATCTCTTGGGGAGCAATACATTACCTCTGTCTCAAAGTCAGGTAATGGACATTTTAAAAAATAATTGCTTGTTTGCTAAGTTTATCACTGAGCCATGATTATTTTAAGGCACAGTTTACCTTGCTAACTGTATGTATATTTTAAAGGATTTCACATTTGATAGGATTTCAAACTTCACTGATCAGTTACAATCAACTTCATATATTGGTGAGGTTATGGGGGAATAACTGCAATTGAACTCGAATAAATTTTACAAGACTGGTGATTATCCCCTGCTAACCTAGACAATACAAAAGTTCAATCCTGATCTTTCTACTGTTTTCCTTCATAAAAATATGGTTTTGTTTTTATTGATTCCAAAGCTTACACACACAAAAATAACAAGAACATTTAGTTTGCTAACGAACAATTACCATCATTGAACAGACAATCCTTTCTGTCTTTCTGATACTCCAGTGACAAAACAAGAAATTTTGTAAAATTTCACATATGTTTATACATCATTTGCTAAATATATTAATGCTTATCTTATTGAGATTTCGTGAAAGGAAACATTACTAATTTGATAAATATTTGCATAAGGACCATATTTCAATTGGTTTTTGTTTCATGGAGATATTTTTAAACAGCTGAAATTTAGGCTGAGTGTGTTAAGATGTACGTAGGAGTCCTTTATAACATAAGATTTCTCTGCAAGTGAGTGAGACTATTTATCAGTGTATAATGATAACTACAAATGTTACTGGTTACAGAGTCAATTACAACTGTAACTGTACATATTTAAGTATTTATATAAGGATGTCTCACCTGACCGGCTGTGTCCAGGATGTCAAGCTTGGCTGGTTCTCCATCAATCCTTGCCTGTTGCTGGTATGCATCCTCTGTTACAATAGAAACAGAGCTCAGAGTACAAATGCATTGCTAACCAAATTTTACATTTATTTGACTAAATAAGATCAGAAACAGTTTAAAAGTATGAGAAACTTTCATACACTGTGGTCTGTGAATCCAGTTACCTGGGACATGAACAAACATAAACAGAAATAAATGGATCATGTTTTGATAGGACAAATTGACTCGTAATTCCAAACAAAACAGAAAAACAACCAAAAACTGACATTTGGTAAGAACTAATTTCAAATTTCAAACTGTTGCTTTTCTAAAAATTAAAACATTATTTCTTTTTTAGGAAACAAATTTTGCTTATTTGATTTAAATTTATCGAAAAAAATATGAGATGAAATATATACAATCAAGAGACATAAAGTAGTGATAGCTTGTAATAAAATTGCCCACTGATATTTATATGCTACATTACACATCTGCACATGCTTATTATATACATGAAATAAAATATGTTTGAAACTAACACTGTAACTTACATTGAAAACCACAGATAAAAGGCCTGAAATCTAAATACTACTATGAAAATGACTAATACTGAAAACTTCTCATACATCTCATGTTACCGGGGTGGGAGATGTAACTGGACTCTGCTGAGAAGGTCAGACAGGTACAAAATTTTGTCTCCCAACACACCTGTTTATGCTTTTCTACCAGTACATAACAAGGACTTACTGCCTGTGGAACTCAAAGTAACTGATACTATATATTTTTAAAATTGCAAATAATTTACTTATTTTTTTCAGTACTTTTTATTCACAAGAATTCTCAGTTGCTTTCTTTTTTTATGACTAAATAGTACACATCAAACAAGAAAACAAATGAATTCATCATTCTTTTTCCAAAAAAATGTTTTAAAGTGAAATAATCATATTGGGATGAAATATTGCAGGGCAAAGGAAATGCATTTACATGTATTAGCATATTTATTGCTTCCTATACAGTGCCAGAATAGATATAGGTAAACTGATAATGAATAAACAGAATAATGAAAAAACATGTTTGTATTACTGCAGACAAGAAATAGATATGGATGGACTTCAATTATAATATTACAAGATTATCTGTTTGTGTTACTGCTTAATGGAAATAAATATAGGTAAACTTATAGAAAAAAGAACAGAAACAGATAAGGATGAGCACATTACCAGATACGGGTCTGTTGCCAGACATAACAAAAAATAACACAAAACATGAGAACATTGAATGCATAATGTTTTATATTATTTCTAATTTGTGTACAGTATATAGCAGTGAATAAGATATCAGAAAAGTTTGACAGGTCTAGTTTCCGCCTACACTACCTACAGTATCAAAACCCACGTACAAAACATGACCTTGATTCCATGACTGATTTGATTTAAATAGCAAAACAAGTTCACACGAGTCAGTTTCCTTTATTTTGCCTCCTCTCTGATTTACGTTGTATATCATCATAACATATTACACTGACACCAACCCACTCAAAATTCTCCTTATGAAATTTGATGAAATTCAAACATGTTTATTCTAAAGTAATTTGTTGAAAATTCATGTATGTACATTCTTTGTAATTTGAAAAAGATACATTTCTTTGATAGATGTTTGGAACATGGTTTTTGATGGAAAAATGTTGAATAAAAAATTATAATTCTTATCAGGCCAAGTTAGAAACCTCTAAACACTGTTACTGTGTGTGCACTGCTCACAGATAACTTTATACATGTTTGATAATAAAATTCATGCTGCACCAAAGCGTTTCTACACTAATAACATTTCCTGTTATATCATTCATAACTTATTTCTGAAATCATGTAAGATAGCTTAAAACCTTCCAAGAAATGAAACAGAAATGTATAGCTCAGGAAACTAAAACACACAAAATTTTTCATGGTGTCTAAAGCTACAGCAGAAATGCTACAAGACACTTGTCAACATAACATATTCAAACCGAGGAAGAAATTAGTATAATGCCTTATCTCTCTGAGAATAATAAAAATTTGTTTTCTGAATGGAAGCAAGTTTAAGGAATTCTACAAAAGCAAAGTTTAACAAATTAAATGAAAATGAGGACTCTCGAAAAATATGGAGAGTTGACACATATGGCTTCTGTCTAAATATTAAGTATCTGATACAAGAAACAACAGGGTAACATCACATTTCTCATCTGTCAAATACGTTTGAGATAAGATTAAAATCAACAACAGAATTTTTTCAGAAAGTCACAAAAGATGTCTAAATATCAACAACCTTCCGACCACAAATATTCAATGTCAGAGTAAACAGATAAAACGAAAAGGAAGAAATGTTAAAGGGCATTTGACACATCAATGACATTCAGGTAAATTTTCAGAGTAAATATGTAATGACTAATCGTCAAACCGGTGGTTTTTTCTGCTTCTATTGTCTGAATAATTGACTTTTTACTCTGTGACCTATGTAAAATCTTTGTTTCTTTTCCCTCCAGGTGGCATGTCATGAAAAACCTCTAACTTTTGAAACATGAGACAATTTTCTTATCTTGTATTTAAAGTTTTTATACAGAAAACTGTGGTGTCTACAAATTCAGTGAGTGACCTCATCACATAGGCTTGAGCATTAACCATGAGAAAAGTGACAAGTTTTAAGTGTCTCAAGTTTAAAGCATGTCAATTGCTGAGATAGACCATAAGGTATATTTTTACTAACATACATACATGTACTTCAGTTTATAAAGGTCCGATTTTACAAGTACCCATGGCCAAGTCCTATTGTCATAAGGTGTATGTGTATCTTACATTGCCTTCTGCCTCCATCCTCTTAACAAAATCAGAATGATACAATTTATCATCATGTTTGGCTTTTTTAATAAAAACACTACATGAAGAAAATCAGGAACTGTTTTTTTCCCTTACCTTTATCAAATAAAATGTGAATAATTAAAATGCCTTTGTTGCAAAGAACACATACTATAATGGTATGTGTTGTACAACACTGTGAAACACTATTTCTCATTAGCTAATCCAACTACCTGGTATTTTTTTTAAATATGAAATTTGAAAAAGAAAAAAAAAAACAAGAAAATTTAGATATATGTATATTAGGGAAAAAAAATGTATACAGTATATATATATATATTAAAAAAACAAGAGGCCTAGTGGTCTTGACGGTCACCGATAAGCAATACTGAATATAAAGGTTAAAAAAATTGTTATCAAGTGTCATGAAACAGAAATTATGACACTGAATACAGACAGTGTCAATTCATGCATTTTATCAAAACTCATCCTATACTGATAATTCTTATAATGTTATATAACCAATGTTATGCTCAAAAATACAATTTTTCTATGAAAATAACAGTGAAGTCAAAAAAAAAATTCCTCCCCAGGAAGAAATATGAGACTCATTTTGGTAAATAAAACACCTTATGATGCTTCCATTTATGAAGAGTATTGATTCTACCATATTTGGGTCTTGAGAAGAAAATTAAACAAATTATACTCAAAAATCCAGTTTTCCTATATAAACTATAGTAAACTTTACCCCCCTTCCCACCAGGAAATGTAAGACCCTGGGGGAATGAAATTCACAATTTTGGTAAAGCACCATAAGATGCTTCCATTCATGAAGGGTATTTGATTCTACCATATGTGGGTCTTCAGAAGAAGATTTTTGAAATCTGAGTCAATTTGACACCTTTTGGCCCCGACCCTCAGGTCCCTGGGGGTTGAGGACTGTATAATTCACTATTTTGGTTCATCTTAGGCCAGGGAAGGTTTCTGAAAAAATTCATTGAAATTGGATCAGGGATTTTTGAGAAGTCGAAGTGTTAAATTGTTTACGGATGCACGATGCACAATGCCAGATGAAGGGTATTAGGATAGGTCACCATGAGACTTTGTCACTTTGTTTTGTTTTTGAGGTGTTGGATGATAGCGTAGTATACTTTTAATTTATGAAAATTATTCTACAATAGAAGTCTTCTTCGAACTTATTACTTGAATAATATGGGATCCGATGAGACAGGGTTTCACAACAATAACATTATATGTGGGTGTATATATAAAACCGCATCAGGAAGCTCATTATTATCTCTGCTGGACAACAGTGATCCTTCAACACCAAACAGAATGACAATGCTTTCCGCTACACTTATTTTTACATCTATAGCTTATAAAATTCAATGGACAAAGGTCACAGGGATGTTGTGTGAATGAAAAAGCAGGATATTTATCTTATCCTTATATCAAGTTTTACCTTGAAACTATTCACATCTGTAGTAATACCAATAAACATAACTGTTAAGATCAGAGTGCTTCTGTATATGTTTTTTGTAGCTGTACATGTAATCAAATTTTAATCATTGAGATATTTAAGTATCAGCAGTAAATATCCCAGCAACATCTGACTTGATCAAGGAAACATGACACATGGATATTATACTGGGAAATTTGAAGTACAAAAAGGGGACAGAAGGAAAAGAGTTATCACCGGTTCTATTGAATATAGTTAGTAACAGTTTGGGAACAGCTGACCAAGAACCGACCAGTAGTACCAGTGTAAGGGCTTTCTGATGGACAGAACACAGATATTTACAAGTCTGGAGCCTACTGACAGATTACACTACTGTAGAGACATACATCTCTAGTCCCTCTAAAGGTACTGGTCAAGATAGGAAAACAGACAAAGGGGAGACCTCGTCCCTCCAAAGGTACTGGTCAAGATAGGAAAACAGACAGAAGAGAGACCAAGTCCCTCCAAAGGTACTGGTCAAGATAGGAAAACAGAGGAGAGACCTAGTCCCTCCGAAGGTACTGGTCTAGATAGGAAAACACACAGAGGAGAGACCTTGTCCCTCCAAAGGTACTTATCAAAATAGAAAAACTGGACAGAGACCAAGTCCCTCCACGAGAGACCTAATCTCTCCAGAGGCACTGGTCAAGATGGACAAAGAATTCTTGAGTCCCTACAAAGGTACTGGTAAAGATGGACAGATTGTTATGGTCAGATGGGCACATCATATACCTAAAGTGTGGAGGTACAGGTCATGATAGACAGATAAGAGACTGTAAATCCCAATGGAAGCACTGGTCAAGATGGACAGATGAAAGACCTACAGTTCCTCACAAGATTCTGGGCAATATGGATAGGTTACAGATCACTTGTCTCCTTGGCCTGTGGCACCAGTCGCAAAATCAATGACAACCGGTTTCCTGTAGTCAGGTCTAAATTTATTTGTAAATTAAAATCTTGATTTACCTACATGAATGTAATTTCTAATTTACTTTATAGAGAGAGTGAGATAATCACTTTGATCGGTATCATGGGAAACATGGGACCTAAACCAACAATAACAATGTTGTAAAACTAAACACTTACAGAGTCTATACACCAAATACATTCTCACAGAATGTTTGATGAAAAACTCAAAACTCCCAGACAAATAAACAATTTCAATTTTATACACAACACTTAACATTTACACCTGCAATTTCACATCCATTGAAATTCGGTGAACTGTGAAAACATTTAGCTGTAATACCACAGGTTCAATTCTTCTACATGTATACAGGACTAGACACGGAGACCTGCTTTGGCACTAAACATTGATTAAGCCTTAATAACATCTGTATATACATACAAGTTAACGTCACACTGGGTATTTTAAATGCTGTATAAATATAAATTAAATATTGACAAGAAAGCTATGAATTGCTCCATAACATGTATTTGAACAGTATACCAGTATATATAGTCAACAAACAGCTTTTGATCACAGTAGGGAATAGGTAGTATGAACACATCCACTTAACAACCAGTGTTGGTGTGTATGAGAACCTACTGCTTTTATTCCTAACACTTTGATTTAAGGCACATTTTGCAAATCCTGTAACATCTAGCAAATTGTTACAGGAAGAAGTATTTTAAATGAAAAAGACATGTTCTTCCTCTATTGGGGGTCGAACTAGTGACCTCTAGCTGGACACTCTACTGTTAGACTCATGAGAAATTCCCACTCACCGTGGTTAACAAGGTGACTTTATCTATCCCCTTCTGCACTACTTTCTCCTTCATAATTTTCACAACTGAAGATGACCACAACCATGGTTCAATATCTCAGTATGCATTGCATTCTCTTTCACTCTACTCTTGGAGTGGTCAAGGACACCAAATATAACCAGAATTTGAACGAGTAATGAAAAACGTTTGAGCTCTAACTAGTAACCCTTCTATCTCTTGCCAGACACTCTACCCCTTCACTTTAGGGTAATTCCCAGTAGCCAAAGTTAGTAACCTGACCTGCACTTTCAAATTCTATGATAAAACACTTATCAGAAAGAGGGCATTTCATACATGGGACTACATTCATATTATCTAGACTTCTAAAACAAGAATTGATGCTTTTGAAAAAAGTAACTTCTTATGAAAAATAGAAATTTCAACCTTTCATAGGAAAATTAAGCATTTGGGTGATATTAAACAACAGACATAGAGCAAGCATTGCATTCAAGTCATATATCATAAAAAAGTTGACATTATCTTTATAATGTTAATGGGTGTTGAGAAATTTACACATCATAGCATAAAAATTTACCTATGTAAGGACAGTGTGTATCCTATACAGTGGTCAGTACGATTTACCTTGTTAGGACAGTGTGTATCCTATACAGTGGTCAGTATGATTTACCTATGTAAGGACAGTGTGTATCCTATACACTGGTCAGTATGATTTACCTATGTAAGGACAGTGTGTATCCTATACAGTGGTCAGTATGATTTACCTATGTAAGGACAGTGTGTATCCTACACAGTGGTCAGTATGATTTACCTATGTAAGGACAGTGTGTATCCTATACAGTGGTCAGTACGATTTACTTATGTTTGGACAGTGTGTATCCTACACAGTGGTCAGTATGATTTACCTATGTAAGGACAGTGTGTATCCTATACAGTGGTCAGTATGATTTACCGATGTAAGGACAGTGTGAATCCTATACAGTGGTCAGTACGATTTACTTATGTTAGGACAGTGTGTATCCTACACAGTGGTCAGTATGATTTACCTTTGTAAGGACGTTGTGTATCCTATACTATGGTCAGTACGACTTACCTTGTTAGGACAGTGTGTATCCTACACAGTGGTCAGTATGATTTACCTGTGTTAGGACAGTGTGTATCCTACACAGTGGTAAGTATGATTTACCTATGTTAGGACAGCGTGTATCCTACACAGTGGTCAGTATGATTTACCTGTGTAAGGACAGTGTGTATCCTACATAGTGGTAAGTATGATTTACCTTTGTTAGGACAGCGTGTATCCTACACAGTGGTCAGTATAATTTACCTGTGTAAGGACAGTGTGTATCCTACATAGTGGTAAGTATGATTTACCTTTGTTAGGACAACGTGTATCCTACACAGTGGTCAGTATGATTTGATGTGGTTTGATGGTTCAAATCTCACACAATGGTCAGTGTGACTTACCTATGTTTGGATAGTGTGTATCATTGTGTATCCTTCACAGTGGACAGTATATTTGGCTTATCTGCATTTAGATGTGTGTATCCCAGAGAGTGGACAGAGAATCTGACTTACCTATAGTGGGATCATGGTATTCCAAAAATCTGTGACACACAAATTGGATCACCAGAGCTGTGAAGAAAAATGACAAGAATTTATATACAAAATAACTTCTATTAAATACCTAGCAGTAATGCTCAAGGCTGCTTTCACACACAATCTTGATAAACATTTTTTTTAATCTACATATATGTTTATATTTGGAAATATACTTAAAGAAATATTTTACCTAGGTACAAAGATATTGACATATGTTATTTTGTTAAATTAAACAACCATTTTCAAGTCAATCTTTCGATAATTAAATTGTTTCTGCATATCGGGGTCCCATGTTATCAGAGCAATTCTAAAATTCCTCAATAAAATAACCCCAAAACTTTCCATGTCAAAACATGTTTGAATAATACAAGTAAACCAAAACAAAGGTGAAACTTTTTCTCTAGATTGGTGGGTATATACAGAAAATGAATATTTTTATTATGACCAGTAAGAAATTATCATGTGATGATTTCATAACTACACTGTCAGCTTAATCAGAAAAAAATACAAAGAGTACAAAACAGAAATGAATCCACATGACTTAACTGTCCCTTAGTCCAATGTAAACTTCACTGTAAAAAAGTGTGACCAGATGGTGACAAGATTTCCATGAAAACAAGATGAACTGGTGATTAGTTCGTAATTATTTATCTGAAAATTTGGTTTTTTTTCACACACTTCATGCTGATGCCAGAGAGACAGACTTTTTGCCCACTAAAACATGACCAACCCAGGAAAACCTTTACTCCATGCTCTGTTAGCTGATTGACAGAGACCTTATTTGATAATATTTGTAATTAAAAGCTCTATAGATTACAACTTAACTTCTGTTTCAACAAAAAATCACAGATTAATACATTCAGTTGAGTATCAAGGGAGTCATTCCAAAGCAATCGATACACAACAAGTGATAAATTGGGATAAAATATTGTTTTATTAAATTCATTATATCCTACCTTCCCAAACTCTTATTCAAATTTATGCAAATTGAAAGCTATCTGTTGCTAATACCAAAATGAGTGGGTTTTTAAATTCTTTCCCTCATTTGTTCAAATGTGTTATATTTAAGTCTGTAAGATTGATTTCTGTTCCATGGAACAGAAATTAATCACTGCTTATGTACAGCACAGAAACAAAGCATTCAACAGTCAACTTACTAAGCAGATACTCTATATCAACATTCTTTTTAAACATTTTTGTAAATCAAGAACAGTCGTTTGATAAACAGTATAAAAAATGAGACAATAACTGGTGCAATTATATATCTGTCCATTGCCATGCACACTGTTTTTTTTTCATTTTATTTCTTGTATAATACTGAGTGACTCATAGAATGACAAGGAGAAAACATGTATACATAAGTATTTGTTAATGGACATGCTGACAATAACCTGTGCTTTTTTGTTTTTAAAGTTACATTATGTAAGTAAAAAATATAACAAATTTGGTTAATGCTGGAGATATAGCCAGCTAATGATGGTAAAAAGTATGTCCCAAATAAATTATCATAATTCTGTTTAAGTTTGGTGTCCACATTGTGTGCATCAAATGGACACCTGAAGCAAACACACTTGAAGCAAAACGTGTAAGTAAGGGAATAAAGTTTGGTTATGCTACAGACACAATTCAATTCATATTGTTGACCCATGACTTAATCAGCTAATTCTTGGCCATGTGTCACTTCAGGTTTACATAATTACAAAATCTGAAAGTTTGCAATACATCTTAAATAACATGCTAGAGGGTTATTCATGCTCTCTTTTTTATCATTATTTTTGTTATGTAAATAAAAGTGTTCCAAGTTGTTTAAATCTTTGAGAAGAAGTATTGACTATCATGGGACAACAGCTCAAAGATCTTATTCTTAAACAAAGATAATAGTCCCAGTTAATTTACAGACGTACAAACATTGTGTTTAATTACTAGACCAATCTAACACTTGAGCTTAAACTTATCATAGATCGCATAATAACTGGGGCAAAATATTTGGGTCTTATAACTTTCAGATAACACATGTATAAATTGGACCATGTTCCTGATATATTGATTTGCTTAAGACTAGAGACAATGCATACACTGATGAGCTGATAGGTTTATGATCATGTTATGATCTATTTCGGACATCAAGCGATGCACCTGGGGCTACATACGTCACAACCATCATCAGTTTTCTCGCCTACCCAAAGTAAACAACAAACATGATCAACGTATCATTTTATCGACTTATTGTTTAGAAAAGAAACAAGAATTGCCGTGGTTTGGGAATATTCTATGACTCACAGACGCTAAAATGTTGATACAAACATCAAAGGATACACAGTTACTTTTTGACACTTACCACTTTTTCCGACTCCACCATCACCCAAGATGACAACTTTGTAGTCTCGAACTCCATTTGCTTTGGAAACTGAACTCGATTCCGATGTCGTCATTTCAAATCAAATCTGTCATTTCCAGACACGAGATCGTTCTCGATATTTAAATGTAAACTCTTCCTCTCAGGTGTGACAAACAATTGTAAATAAACCGTCACCGATTTTAGCCACAACTTATATGACAAGGTACCCTGCTAAAAATAAACTCAGGGTTCATTGGTGTGATAAATGAGTCATGTGCGTGTTTGTTAACATGAACGCGATTGGCTACTGTTTATTGTAACGATCGTGTTGATTGGTAAATTTACAGTCAGATCCAAGCTCTGTTCTGTTCATGGTCGAATACACATCGACGTACTACAGCTCGACACTACGGCCAAATAGGCTGCAATCTTAGATAAAAGCATTTTTTCGCTGAATATTTCCGCGCATATGAAGAATTTTATAATTTTACGAACAAAGCTAAACAAGGAGTACGAGTATATCCATATGAAAAAAAAAAAAAAAAAATAAAAAAAATCTAGAAATATTCTGTACCTTAAAAACAAAACAAAGTTTATTTTATTTTTAATATGTTACACCACAAATAAATAGTTCAGTGTCGTGTTTCATGTTCAAATACTGAAGCATTACAACAAAAAAGGAAAATGTCATAAATTCTTCAATACTCAAAATTAACCTAAAAATACTACACTTTTTTAGCAGGGTATTTCTTTCTTTAAAAGGAAAACTTGTCACTGATATTTTAGTCCTTGTTTCAATATGACTAAACTGAATCTAAAATGAACAGAACAAACGATAAAGACTTTTTATTATTTTTAAATTTCTTAAAGTTCTTACGATATGCTATGAAAACAAATAGAAAGAAATCTTGCATAATCTATTTGATGGAGTCAGATATCCATTCTACAATGTAACCATTTCATTGGATTCACACTGGTTTATTATATTAGAAACTGAGCAAAATGCAAAAAACTTCAAAGCAACCCTAATTTTCTGAGATGTTTGAAGATACTTTGTAACCGATAGATATGTTGTGATGTCCCTTATGTGACCTAACTAAAAAGGTAGGTTTTACACCTTCATTAGTTGAGAACTTGGAACTAAATGCAAAACTTTAACCGAGTGAAGTGTTGACGAAGACTCCTCATGACCATCACTTTAAAAGTATTCATGTAACCGTGGTAAAAATACTAGCTGCAACATCCTTCTTGGCTAGAGCGAACTTCTCTTTAGCTTGATCGGTTGAGCATGACTAGTAAGCCAGGGGTCCCGGGTTCGATTCCTATCGGTGGCATTGAAATAAATAATGACATCTGTTTCATTCATATAACACTATAGTCTCGCTAAAATAAAACCAGTTAAGCAAATCCCTTAAATTGTTCAACATGATTCTCGAAGAGATTTTGAGTTTTGAATTTTTTAACTATATTTAGCTTAGGGCTATGTGCATTTGGAAACACTAATGAAAATAATCAGATTACGGTTCCATGACAAAATTCAGACATAACATGGCGACATGTGGCTGAAAAAAACTACAACAGTCTTGGTTAAGCATAAAACTTTTAAACAAATGTATATTTACACGATAACACGTAGGAAAATCAAGCCACATTCTTGTTGCATTTTAAGTTCTGTTTTCAGCTCAGAATCATAAAATGGCGGAAAGCTACACAAACTGTGAAACTATTAATTTGGCAGTCAGTTATTTTTATCAGTTGAAACATCAAATGTTGAATCATTTATTTTATGACCCGTTTTGGCAGCAAGTGCTTGAAAATTAATGTAGTTGAAGACTTCTCACCATTAAATACAAAACTTACATAAAAAACAATGTACAATATGGCGACCAAATTAAATTATTATTAATGTGAGAGAGTCTATGGGCCCCTCATACCAAATTCAGTAGAAATTTACTAAAAGGTAAATTCCAAATACTATAGAGCCAATTTTAAAGATCATTCGTAAATCAAATTGTCTCTTTGAAAGGACAAGAAATACAAATGGCACTCTGTGGCAGGGTCAACATTTAATAGAATGTGAAATATCTTGTCTTTGTAATTGTTAAATCTTGTTTATTAGTTTATGTCTATACTGTATTGTAACAGAGGTCATTTTTCATCTCGATGCCTCCGTTAGGAATTGAACCCGTGACTCCTGGCTTACTAGTCTGATGCTCAACCAATCTAGCTGAAGAGAAGTTCTCTCTAGCCGAGTGGTATATTGCGGCTAGTATTTTACCCGGGTTACATACTTCCCCTCCAGGAAATAACTCATCCTCAAGTTTCCAAGTGTTACAGCGATGCTGGTGGGGCATGGCGAAGTACTATTCCTGGGTCCCTACATGGGCGCCAATGTGACAGAGGTCATTTTTCATCTCAATGCCTCCGCTAGGAATCGAACCCGGGACCCCTGGACTAGTCTGGTGCTCAACTAATCGAGCTAAAGAGAAGTTCTCTCTAGCCAAGTGGTATATTGCTAGTATTTTACCAAGGTTACAGTATCTTGTTCATTCGCCCTGTGTTTACTTAATTGGTTAGTCTCGTTATTGCCTTTTTATATAATGTTGTGTGGTCATTGGTCAGTTAAATTTTGTCTTATGTCACAGTCTTATTTATTGTTCTTTTGATTTTGCAGTTTTTTGTAAGTTACAGCCATTGTTTGATTGACTGATGGATGGATCAGATGGTGACAGTAAGGTGTGAACCAGTAAAGCTTTACCTTTACGACCGTCAATATCAAAATGTAGACGAACTTCGTGCCACACACAGAGTTCATACTCTTTCAGTAAACTATGGTCAGAACTCTCAACAGATTTTGTGTCTTTATTTGAACATGGCTTAGCCAACCTGTTACAACTCAATATCTATGTGAAAGAAAAGAAGTTTTGATGATGAATGGTTGTGATTTATCATTAGATTTTAAATTGCATGAATTACTGCAAAACGAGAACATTTCACAGCTGACTGCAATTCCAAACAGCTACAACCAAGTTTTCAGCGACTTGAAACTGTTTAGGTTGCTCAAATGGTTGTCTGAATACAATCAAAATAAAAGATAAACAAAAGTCACATTTCATTGTGTATCTCTGTGTTTTGTTTTGTAATTTTGTGGGTGAGGAAATTACATGATTTAAACATTTTGAACCAATATTTTGTCTTGACAATAAACCATGTCAGAAACATGTGTTTTAAGTTGTATTTAAGCAGAACAATCAAGCAAATCATTTTGAAGCATACGTCGTTTGAATGTCATGTTCGGATTTGATATCTCTAGTTTGGAGTAGTCAGCCTTTTATTGAATCTGAACAGGTTATAACATCGTTTGTCATGTTTATTATTTCTATCGTTGAAGTGAAGGATTAATTTACTTTGTTCAGATGTGTTACTACAAAAGGCATAAGCATTCAGGTATTTTGTTTGTATTTGCATAACGCCCTTGAGTTAACTACGATATTTCCAAAATCGCTTCATTGCAAATGGACAGATTTTAGTGTTATTCGAACAAAATATTGAAGGATTTAGATTCCTGTCCATCAAATCTAATGTTTTCTCATTATGTCTATATAAAATGAACTACATAGGTTATAGTTCCTGATAGTTAAAGAACATATTCTTCCACTCTGAGCACATTTTCTGGTGTTTCAAACATAATTATTCAATTTTAAAACAAGTCACTGACCAATTTGACCCAAAACATGTCAGGTCCAGTTTGAATTCTAGTAGAAGTACTGCTCTGTCAAAGTCACATTTTTAAAATGGTGGAAACACTTATATTCCACAGTTACTCACCTTTCCTGTATACATCTTAATAACTTTTTTCTAGGACAGGAGTGTCACCCAACACTTTAAGGGAACACTCAGTTACCTCCCCTTACAATATGTAACTTGGGGATAAGCTATCATTATAACTTCTCTTTCTAGGTCTGGACAGCTACACTTACACTGAAAACTACCCTTTCTAGGTCTGGACAGTTACACTTACATTGAAAACTACCCTTTCTAGGTCTGGACAGTTACACTTACACTGAAAACTACCCTTTCTAGGTCTGGACAGTTACACTTACACTGAAAACTACCCTTTCTAGGTCTGGACAGTTACACTTACATTGAAAACTACCCTTTCTAGGACTGGAGTGTTACATCTCCTTTTCTATTTCTAGACTAAACACCAGTAACTCAGCTACATCAGGGTACTGCCACAGTTTACTTTCGGTAAAGTTTGTGACAACAGTTTTTATATAGGGAAAACTCCAAAACCACCAAACTTCAGTCCTTCAGAACATTCATTGCACAGCTACCTCAACTCTTTACTTTTCTAACTTTCATTCACTATTATTAGATTTGGTAGCAAACTTGATTACGGTAAACAATAACCAATCAATGTCGTGCTTCCAAATGTCCATGATAACACATTGCCAGGCTGTCTGGTTACTCCATCTGAGACAATAAAAATCGCTGATAGAACTACACTTGTATTGTCAAGCACATCAAAGATTCCTATTTCTCTATACATGCACTTACCAAGAAACCAGTCATCTACAGTTGGACAATATTCACTGTGGATGATGACCGAAGAAGGCCTATATCACACCTTACCGATATAAAACCAGTGGCTACCTCCCCTTTATGCAGAATCAAGATAATCTTGATAAAACATCAAGCCATTCAGACATGTGGCATCATTTAATATCAAGTTTTGCAATATAAATCTTGGCATTAAAAGTGACAAAAATTTAGACATTTTATGTCCAATGTTAAATTATTCATACATTCTTACTGTTTCTTATGAACACATGTACATATACACAAGCCAGAATGCATTATTCAGAATCAACAAAAACACCTCAAAAACATAAACAATAATTCTCAAGGCTTATCTAAAAGAAATCTGATGTGAAAAATGCTTAGAAATAAAAAAAATTCCCTTGTTTGTACTAATGTCAATAATCATGGTAGCTGTACATTATGTGGAATTTGATAGAACATCAAGCATCAGTTTTCTCTATCAGACCAGCACTCATGAAAGGCTCTGTATTGGCTAAAGTAGCAAATATGGATGTTAACACCATTTTTAGCTTCTAATCACTTGTATTTTAAATGTAGATAAGTTTACATTTTCAATTACAGCTGAAAGATGTGACACCATGCTTTGCATGTGGAATTTTTTCACTTATCATACAGAATTTGACAACAACTGTAGCTGTATGTGGCCTTTGTAGATGACGTTGACACAATTCTTTGCATGTGGACCCTATATGCTGTCTGTAAAGAATTTGATGTTAACTACAGTAGCTGTGGCGTATGTGGAAGTTGACGACATACTCAGCATTAGTCCTTTGCACACTGATTGCAAACGGTTCACTGGGATGGAATGTAAAAGCTACCAGCCTTCTAGCTGTTGGGGGAGGACTTCGTCCCATCACACCAGCATAGATTTTAAACTTCAACAATCCAGAGTCTCGAGCATAAAACCTAAAATATATGCAATATGCAATGCCTAAAGAAAAACACAGCACAATGACTTAACATCTGTGAATATTTTCACTGCAATATAATTTAGTGGACATATCATACAATTATGGGCATATCGCCAGATGAAAATATGTTATTAAATATCCTGTATTAATCAGTTCATCAAGAAATAATCCATCATTTCAAATATGAAATTTAAAATGGGTTACATACTTTTTTAAATAAAAGAATTGAATGAGACAACACACTTAAGAGAATTTCATTGATATTAAACATATCATCCACTGACTTTTGTGAAAGTGATTAAAATTACAAATTAAATATCCAATAAAAGATAAACTTACTAAAATGTACTTTTTTTTCTCTGAATGTGAAAATAAAACATAATGACCTTATGAAGCTAAAATGTTACCCTATTGTACATTTAATATTTGTTTACCTGATTGGATAATCTCCACAAGCCTTTGGACGCTCCATCTGGGAAACCCACTTATCATCATAGCTAAACAGTGCCAAGTCAAGGTAGGGACTACAACTGTAAGATTGAGAACTTATTGGTAGTTGTGCCAGTAAGCGTTTAACAGCCTCTGTATGACCTCCGAACTTGGCATTGATAATAGTATGCTTGAATCGCTGTTGTATCTGTCGTGCATAAATATTGCTAGAAGCAGAACATGTGAACTGTGCTCCATCATGAAGTGTTGCATTTCTGAATAAGTCACAGAAATTTTCAAACAGTTCCAACAGATCCTCAGAGATGTTTTCACAAACTGTCAGAACCTCTGTTGTTACCATGTTGTACACAACGAAAAAAGATGGCTGAGAATTTGGATCAGAAATTTTCAAAGTAACAACATCCTCACTAGCATATTTAATCAGGAGATGGTTTTCATCCAGTAACTGCATTTTCCACATGCGAAGAGCTTTGAATTGGTCAAAGTATTTGTAAAACTTGCGTAGAGCATATAATGTACCTTCGTTTATAGCCCTACGATACAAGAACACCATCAGCCTGTGCTTTAAGGAATTTATTGTATTGTCATAAAATGGCCTATGTGGTTGCCCGCTCACCCTGTCAAGACCCATATGAAAGTATAATCCATCATCTTCATAGCAAAAACGCCCGATGCTCCTCACATCAACAAAACAAGCATTCTTGGTGTGGACCTGGAAGATATGTATTATCTGTTGTTGGACAGAAAGTACAGCCAGTGTGTCTTTGTACAGATACAGGCCTTGGTTATGAGACAGAAAGATTTTATCACATCGAAACTGCCTTGAGTCACAAAGTCTACCTGTTTCAAGGTCAATTAGGAGCAAGGAATAATTTTCAAGAGGAGAACGTTGATTTGGGGAGACCGATTCATTATTTCGATACATCTCCCAAAAGAGTGGGTATGGATCATCAGGTATATACATTGCTGACCCAACAATCACATAGTTCCCATCATCTGTAAAAAGGCTACATTCTCTGTTCAAATGCTCACCATGATTAGCTACATGTGTCACATGTCTCAACTTAAAAAACTTGTCAAACAAAACTGCACGGACACGTAATGATTCCTGATCAGTGCCCATGAAATCTCCTTTAACATTTTGTAAAATATCTTCTGCAGCGGCTGAACCTTGAAATGAATAAATTTCTATTGATGTTTGGTCTGAAGAAAAAGCTATGAAGTATCTCCCATCAGGAGAAAATTTCCTAAGGAAACATGGAGGTTTTTCAACATTTACAACTGTGAAGTTTGGGAAAACATTTGTGTACAATGATCGTGCTCTGTTGAATTGTGCCCCAGGAAGTGAAGCGTGTGTTTGTTGATAAAAAAACCTTTGGACAATGTTCTGGTTTGGAATTTTTCGCTGTCTGATTTCTTGACCATGGAGTTTCAATCCTTGACCCACACAACTGGCCATTGCATGTTTGATATCCATTTCATGCTGTCTTGTGGTCTCAATATAGCGTCATCAATGCTATGTTAAACTTTCGATAAAGTTACCATTTACCTGTAACAACGGAAATAAATGTATAACAATTCTATAAAAGAAAGTTATAATATAAAAAAAAAAATTACTGTTGCCAATTAAATAATCAAACCTCTTGATGTTCCATATGTTTAGGCAGGGACGTATATGACACATCCCTGGTTTAGGCCATGAATGAGAATACAAAAAAATAAAAATAAAAGGAAAAACGGGTAAAAATCCTTAATTTTGAATTCAAAGTCAAAGTTTACGTCAACAGCAAAGCTTATTTATATATTATTACTGATACTCACGATTTCGTCAAAACAAGAATTCAGCAAAGGTGGTCTTGCTTGCATAGGAGAGAATTTTTCATCTGTAAAAGTTAAATGAAAACAAGAATAAGATATTTTTCTGTAAATCAATACCAATATATTCAACACATGCTATATTGCTCTTTACTATTCTTTGTAAATAACACTATAGATGATACATGGTTTTCTATTTTTGATCACCTCTAAACGCAGTTCTAAACAAAACTATACTTCGCATTAGTTAAACTACAGAAATTAAGACAGTTCGATTAATAATTGAATAAAATAAAATTTAAAGTTATACCTGTGGAAAAGCACAATGTCATGAAGACGATATAAAAGTAAAAGTTTTTTTTACTATCTTAAATTCAAAGAAAAGTAAGGCAATTTTGAATTGTTATGGAGAAAGCTGATGACAGCATGGCTAAATAGCTGATGGTCGAAGGGAGGTAATCATTTGGAAGAAAGCTATCACTGATTTCCAAATTGAATTCGATGCATGTCAAATTGACACAACGTATTGTTTTTTGTAACGTAACATGGACATTTGAGTGGTATTGATTTCACTAAAACACCTCCAAAGTAGTCTGTTTATCATTTTCTCACGACGAATTCTCAGGTCTGCACGAAATTTGACTGCATCAATTAAAAGCTTTTGAAATGGCTACGAATAAAACCTTTGAAAGATTAAGATTTACATTTATAGTCTCTAAATCACTTGGCAGATAAAACTGGACAAGAACAAACAACCTTCACGTACTTCAAATATATGTAAAATAAAAATTACATGTAACCCTTATGATTTTCTGCCTCTCCTTAGTAAACGAGTATGCGTTTAGTTCCTATTAAACTAGATTATCTCTCTTGATTAGTTTACAATTTTCTCCGCTAGATCGCGCTCGATGAATTCTTGCGAAGTCTAGCGGAGAGTAGAATAACTACGACAGGCAATCCAGTCTAAGTTTCTCTTTGTGAGAAATGAAAACTCTGAAGGACTTCCGAAAATTGGAAAACCCACGCGGCAGCCATCTTCGAAGACAAAAATTGCAGCAGGTGGGCAACTTCAAAAATTCCAACGCCTGAAAGGTACTACAATGCATTTATTACGTGTTCGCACGCGTAACAGGCCTCTTCCCCAAACTATTTCCTATCAAGAAATTGCGAGTTTGAAACAACAATATACTTTTAACGTAATGATTTACACAAATCCGAACGGTTTCAGCTATCGTTGTATTAGGTCTAGCATGATCATGGTAATTTTGAACAAAAAGTGACGAACGCGGATGTAAATTAAAAAATAATGAAGGTCACTCTGGGTGGTAATTATAAGCTAAACATGATGTAACGGGAAGCTCCAGTTGCTTGTTTCTTTAGAAGGGAAAAACTGTGTGTCTGTAACATGAAAAATTCACCCATGGAATTTGTGCTTAGTATATTTAGTTAGTCCTGTAAAACTGACATCCTTCTCCCAAATTGTTATTGGTAGACTACGAAGTCGTTATTTTTTAATTTGCTCAGTAAAATAATTGATAAGCTTTGCTCTGTATGGTTGAAATAATGTTACTTATGTTATCTTGTATTTCTTCAAGCATCAATCATATTTCCTCAACAATAGTCAATAGGTATTAGACATTCGGAGGGATAATCAATCCAATAAATATCAAACATGTCATTTCACTTCATTCCAGCACCTTTTTCCGAGAGCTGGGTTGTTATCACAGTTCTGAAGGCCCCTGGTGAAATATCAGCAGCCAGTTAATTGCTATATTTCAACTTTTAGATCTTGGTAGAATGTGAAAATTTTGCCAGAAGTATGGTTTGAATTCCAAAGAATCTTTTCAAATAGGTGTTGCTAACAAAGCCAATATGGCAGCATCTTTGAAAATACTAAAATCAACTTTTCTTATCCAAAAATGCCTTTGTAGAAAAGTAGGTTTAAGTGGATGAAATTTTCACCACCTTGGTTTTCATTGTATTGTTGATACCAAATATTTTCCAAAAAATAACATTGCTTACAGCAAATAATTTTCCTTAACTTTGAAAAGTCAGCGATTAAGGATAGACAAATCAGTAATGGATGGTCATTACTTATTAATGAACTGTATATTACTAACAGTGATTCCCATGAAAATGTGTAGGACCCTCCTGTAACAATATAGACAGAGGAAAAAGATATGAGCAATCTGATATTTAGTGAAGGACCAGGTGGTACAACTTTTCCTTGTGGCATATCTTAGCTGTCATGACTATAGATGTTGCCAGGACAAAAAACCTTGAAACAAAATTCCAAAGGCTTTACGATGGTGCATCTTTGAAATTGAATACATTCCAAGATAAACAATTAGGTGATAAGTTTTACTCATTTATAGTAAACTGTCTGTTCAGTCTTAAATCAACTCCATCCATGCAGATAATGACTGCATCCTTCCAAATTAAACAATACCTTAAATCCCACCTCATCACAGTCCTTTGTGTAAAAAATATCATTATTTTTGTACTTTCCTCAAGGAGAACCTCTTGTAATATCTAATAAAGTGTAATACTACGTCTGTATGCATGGTTGTATGTTCGAGAAATGTGTCCCCCAAAATGACCAGAACAGGGTTTGTTGTAGTGATGGCAAACTTTGTCTGTTTGACAAACACAGTAACATATCATGTCTGTCCGTCTGTAATTGCGTACAACTGTTTGATTGTAACAGTTTAAAGTTGACACTGGCAAAATTATTGCCAAAGATACTTCATATTAAGTACAATTCAGCTCATCTGCTATTTAAAAAGGTAGGGTTTTTTTGGTGGTTTTTTTCCAGATGTTTTTATAAATGTGCATTTATTTTTTCGATTTCAGAATATTTTATTGTTTTGGTGGTATTGACAATGTGCATTTATGTTGTATGAATCACTTGAGCACATATTTATTTAAATGAACTATCTTGGTTTTCAAAATTGTTGCACGATGTTACCTCTAAATTTGAGAGGAATTTCATGAATAAATTGAGTGGTCAGATTAGACCTTTTGAAATGGACTGAAAATGGGAATAGCTTGATATGCTTGCATAACAGAATAATGTTTTTGTCACAATGTCCCTTAAAAATCGTGTAGGTGCAGGGATTTCAATCATGGTAGTTGTAGTTTTTGATAGTAAATTAACTTTCAAGTTTTATAAAATTGAAGTTTTAAAAAAAATTGTAGCACTTAAAAGAGAGAGTTTGACTTAATAATAATGACTAAATAATTATCTACTATGCGATGTCCATGATACAGACTTATTTAGGTCTATTATTTAAACTTAAATTTACGGCAAATAGAGAGGACCAGACAACATCTGTATTAAACTGTTTAATAGTTGAAATGTTTCTGCATATTAGGTTTGCCATCCTCAGTCAACTGTTAAACAGTTTTAATTCTTCCTACGGATGTTGTCTGGTCCTCTATATTTACTGTTTACACATCTTTGAACAGGACTCCTGTATTCCACTAGGAATCCATCCTAGGAAGACTGCCGATATTACTGAATCTCCCAGACCAGACGTTGGATCTCATTTCTATGTATTTTCTAAATTTAGTTCAAAGGCCTCAAGACTTGTGTATGCGCAGTGCCAACTAAATCTGAGTGACATATCTGGCAAATTTTTTATTAGATTCTGATGTTTTTAAAATGGAAGATAAGGAAGGGAAGAATAAGGATATTTCTTTTTGAGCTAAAAGCCCTTTTGAAAAGTTGAAATGTATTTTTGGTGATGGAGAGTGCAAGAGTTGTGCCCCCTTAAATATAATTTTAACATTGTTCTGTGCTCTTGTAATTGAATGAAAATAATTTTTTCATGATCAAAATGCAAAGTGTGTTCGTCTTTTGTTTGATTTCAGTTTAAAACGTAGAAGATAATAACATGATTGGTCTTTGAAATGGAAAATGACAATCTCTTTAATTCAAATATTGAAATAATTTCTTTTTCTAAAATATAAAGTTCTACTTGATTCAATAGAGTTCATAGATACAGATCTATTTAGAGTGTACAACAAACTGACTGTGATTGCCTTAAAAGGGAGACTGCAGATAACCAGTGTACCTGTATGATACAATTTCATTAATTAATATTCTTAGGTCTTTATTCGAAATCAAGAGAAAACAATTTCAAAATGTGCTGTTTTCATGCCAATTAAAAATCTGCTTAGTATGCAAAAATTTCAAGACTCATATTTGACCCCCTTTTCATAAAATAGCAGGCATTTTTTCAAACCAAACATTTGTAACAGTCATATTCTAAAAAAAAAATAGTAATTTTATGCAGTGTTATACTAGTACATGTATCATCAATCATATGAAAATATTTGATATCGCTGCTGTGAAAAAAAAAGGATTATGCTTGCTGTTTTGTTTCCAAGGCAAGTTGACAGCATATTCTTGGCGGCCACTACCACATTCTTTTTCAACTGCTCATGGTTATATACTTCACAGTCAGTTTATATTGATGATTATACAACACATCAAATTCAGATAAGTTTCCAGTAAAAATTGAAACATGTTAGTGACAGTTTTAAAATATTTAATTGGTTGGTTAATGTAGAATGTTAAAAAAAACATTGTTGTTAGTACCAGATTAAATAATTGTTGCTTTAATAGTAACAGTAGTAGAAACTATGATTTGTTCTCATTGTAAAAAAAAATATTGGTCTATATGTTTTTTAAGCCCCATACATCCAACTTTTATTTAAGAAAAGTGAAGAGAAAAAAATATTCATGTGAATGGTTAAAATGAACTTACCTAAAAATACTCTAGGTGGTTTAATGCATTGCCAAAAGGTGGTTGAAATTCACTGTTAGTAAACATGTCTCTAGTTAGGATCTTTTCCTAACCAAATTTGAAAATCTTTTAAATGACATTTATGTGAGAGTTTGATATTAACTACGAACATGTAAACATCCTATATTTAGACTAAAAACCCTCAAATGATCATGACTGCCCACTTGTTTACTTGTAATATGTTACATCACACTTTACCTGTATTTCAGATATAGTTATCAGAAAACAGATTTACTACACCTGTGCTTTTTTTCTATGTATGCTGAGTATGCGAATTGGCCACGTTTTTTTTGTAGCAGCTTTCGAAGCTTTGTATAAAAAGCATTTCGTATTTTCTTAGTATCCCACTTTTATAAATCTTTGTTTCATTATCCATGTCCAGTATTGATAACACACAGCTTCAGTATGTTTTAATGTTATCTTTATACAATTAACAATTGGAAGCTTTATTTGCCAAATGAAGTGTATATTAGGACTTAAAATCATAGTTGTAACGTTAATGCCATTGGTATTGTACTAAGTGAATAATTTGGTTTGTTCTTTCGGTTAAATCTTCACAAAGATCATTCTGAGATCAAATTTTAAAAATCATGACTTACAGTGTATATATATATTCTCATTAATTTGTTGCCTTAAGTTCACTCAAAATCCCCTTATAGAATGAGGCCAAAGTGAGGATTTTCATTAAAGCAATATCACAGTAATACAAATTTTTTTTCTTACTGCACATATGTAAATATTCACATTATGAACAATGACAGTTGGTTTTTGCTAAAATATGCAAATTAAGAGGTTAATCAATAATTATAAAAAAGACTCATCTGTTAATCACAGTTTGGATGTGTGAATTTTTATGTCATATATGATAACGTATGCACACAAAACACTGTTGCTTATAAACAAAGTGACTTCCCACCTGAATATGTTGGTGATAAATGTTACTTGTTTTGTAATTCCGGATTGACTTAAGAGTTATGAATAAAATGCCACACCCATAGCAAAATCTGGTGCTGATAAAACATTATTTTACTGACTTTGTCACTACTGTTTTTATCACTTTTGGCCACAATCATCAAAGCTATCACATGATGTTTTCAGCTGGACATTGGAAATCAACTGTGGGATAGCATAGAAACGTAACAGGAAGTGTATAAAACATGCAATCAAAAACATTATTAATGTTTTACTGTGATATTCCCTTAATTTATCATTACAAAATCAAGTTGAGATATTCTTGGATTCAAGAAAAGGAATTCAGGCAAAATATATCATATCGACAAA